TTACTATACATAGAAAACACTCAGAACAGTACAAACAATCATATCCATGTATACAAATATTTGTACCGTGCCAGGAATTGAATCCCCAACCATCGGAAGTGTAAACCGCGTGATCACCGAGGGCGTCTAAATACCTCAAAGCATATGTATTAATTGTATAGTATTAATGTAGTATATACATTGTAACAAGCTCTGCTTAGCTTGGGACTAGATGGAGTTTGGGACTTTGTCCAGGGGTAGCCCTGGACAATACACAATTGTCCAGGGATATAAAAAAATTACTCCAAAATTGCACTACTACATATGTTGCTATTCCAGAGTTTTTTTTATTAGGGAGTCACATGATGATAATATCCATGACGCCATATTTACTACTCACCACCAGGGGATCTGTCAGCTAGTTTGCCATTCCAGTTCCATAAAAAAAAAACAGTTTATTGCGACAGCACTTCTGTAGAAATATACGTCTGTAAAGTTATTTTTTATGAGTAATGGGGGCTGCCTGATAACCAGCACCTCATGCATCTCATTCAGGTTGTACTTATATCAGCAACAGCTGAGGCAGCCTATTGCCAACTTTATACGTTTTTGTTACAATGAGAATGACTGGCAGTTTTTTATATTCGTTTACCCATGTTTAAAATATGAGAATTATTTTTATACAATTGTTTTATAATAATTTTATCACTGTGCTCTGCTGTAATAAACGTCTATAAGTATCTTATTTTCATTTATTATTACAGTTTTTTTCTTTTTATTTTGTGTATTCGATTATTTTGAGTATTGGCAATAAATGTTTAATCAATCAATCAAAAATCATGTATCTTTACATAGTATAAAACAAAGTCGCCGTCGCTGTCGCGCTCGCTTATATCTTTTAAATTACTCAACGGATTTTGATGCAATTCCCAGCAATAGATAGAGTGATTTAAGAGGAAGCCTTATATTTATAATACATGCATGTTATAGTACAGAACAGGCCGAGAATTTCAAAGATTTATAATGCATCCGTGCGACGCCGGGACTGGTCGATAGTAGTATATAGAACAGTCAGTTTTCTGTGCCGTTTTTAGATCAACCGTTACAACATGTAGTAAATCTAGTTTAATAGAAAGCGTCATGAATGCAACAAAACAGTGCTCCATTCGTCTCGTGCATTGTGCCATGCGGTTATGCAAATGTTCGTATTGTGAACAACTGACAAATAGCTCGTTCCGATGCGACAAAAACTACCTAAATGACGATCTGATAGTGATTCGTTTTCTGCAGCAATGCCAGATTGTGAGTTTACGCGTTAGATTTAGGTAAATTTCAGGCAAAAGGGGGAAATTCTATCAAGGATCGACATGAAAATCTATTATCTAATATAAACATAGTATTTATATTATTAACCGGGTCTTAACACGAACTAATTTTATGGCAAATAAAGGCAGGTATTTACCTCTCTCGACTTTTCGACCAGGTTGCACTAGCCGTGGTCACGAGCTGACTGGAGTAACAGCGGCTGAAAAGTGTGGGAACTTTCAAACTACACTGTGCGCTCAATTTTCGTAAAAAGGGGTACAAAGTTTTTGCTTCATATATTAATATACAACTAAGGATCAGCCATTTATTGAGAAATAAAACAAGTTAGTAGTGACTGCTGATACCAGATAGTTGTGTGTAGGAATTTTCTTCAAAGCTTATAATTTAGAGGGATTTTGGGTAAAATTTATGAAAAGCAAGATGAGCTTGTATGATAATCTACCAACACAGACTTTCTGACTCATGTCCAGAATATGTAATACTCGAAATCGAACGACGTACTAGTGTTTTGCCGTTTGTTTATGCAAATTTTTGTCCGAATTCCGACGCAGTTTGTTTGTATTGTGCTACAAACGGCTATTATAACTGTACGACAAAACATGCCGCACCAAAATTTACCTATATCGATTTAGATACTCGATTTTTGCAGAAGGTCCTATAGAAATCGAAAAAAAAGAAATTTTGGTAAAATGTTGACCAGCTCCTGCGAACTGTTTACCTGATATCACTGTTAAAAATCATTACGATTCATCCGAATACATTGTGACATTACTGTTAACAGCTTGACCTTGGAAGGGTCAACATTGATAACCTGGCTGTTTAATTCTTTTTTTGATAACGTTTTTATAATGTCAGTTCAACCTACGCAGTTCCCTTGGAAAACAACGTGAACACGAAATGCTAAAACTCACCTGACTTCATGCTCATCCTACCATCCATCACTAGTGCCGCCAACGCATACTATACAGTGCGCAGGCGTGTGCACCATACCGTTATCATCCATTACAAAAAAGTACAGAGACCTAAAAAACTTTTGCGTTCTTAATATCAGTAGCATTAACTTAACATAGAATGTTATTTTCTCATAGAATATTATTTAGAATACCATTAAGTTAATATAGAATATTATTTTCATTGAAAGTTATAAATCATAAACAGTATAAACTATGATCAGTCCCTGCTTACCTTCCGTACGTATTTAGTACCGTACCGAACGAAAGTGAAATTGTCCCGCGGATACAAAACAATTGCTATTAGATTGAGTTCCGCGCCTGTCGGTGTTGCGGAAGCACTGATCTGAGGTGCGCACGCGCCGACTACGTAAGCTGGGGACTTGAGACATTTCAATTATTAAGTTATAGTAAAAAAATATTTCAACTTATATATTACACTAGCTACTCGCCCCGGCTTCGCACGGGTGTACATGTATTAAATATTAAATCTTGAATCACTCTATCTACTAAAAACCTACCTGCCGCTTCAAAATCCGTTGCGTAGTTTTAAAGATTTAAGCATACGACAGCGACTTTGTTGTATACTATGTAATGATACATCGTTACATATTATTAGTGTTAATTATTTTTCGGCCTACTCTAATGCTGTTGGCCGCAGCTGGCCTTTACTGCTTCACCGGACGATAGGGAGCGAGTGCAGATGGCACTCCAAACCTCTGGAAGGACTTATGGAGCTGCTGAAGGCCAACTCCCGCCTGTCGGATACGACTTTAGTCTGAGATCACCGCTAGGGGTTCGAATCTCGGCTCAGACCGTCGTAATTTCAATCGCCGTTTGAATTAGACGAAGAATCGATTGGAGGGGTTATTTTTGTATGCGTGACATAATTTACTAAAAAACATTTCATTAACAGCTTTGTTATAATGTTACAGCAAAATATTATTAGATACATATTTTCTATATTCCACATGAACAATTACAATAACTTGTTATTAACAATACTGGAGTACTAGTATTAATTTTATAGAACACCTTGCTTTTAAACACATAAAAAATATAGAATTATTACAAATCTTAAAATTGTAACTTATTAAAAGTTTCTTATATTCTTATTGAAACTTAGTGAAACGTAATACTACGAAGTAAATAGGAAATGTAAAAAAACTCGTTTCTATTTTCTCGTCAGTTCTGTGAGTTACTGAGTCTATTAATTTGCCTACATTATGTTTATATCGTTGCAAATAACATAAATCGCAATCTTTTTACAGTTGGTTGACGCAACGACCTATAGTTTTATGAGCAACTCAACAAGTTATAAAATTATCCCTAAAGTTTCCCTCATGATGAAAATTTCTCTTCCTGTTTTAAGTCGACGACCTCGATGGTCTAGCGGTCTAGCACACCGCTTTACGATGATCGCGGGTTCGATTCCTCGCACGGCACGAGCATTTGTATTCATGAGTATGATTGTTTGTATCGGCCTGGATGTTTTCTATGTATAATATGTATGTATTTACGAAAAATTATATCTATGTATTTGTATCAGTTATCTAGTACGCATAACACAAGCTTTAGCTAGCTTAACTTGGTTCTAGAAGGCGCTGTGTGAATTGTCCTGAGATTATTATTAATATTATATTATTATTATTATTACATTATTATTATAGTTTATTTATAGATTATTTTTATTTTTATGTAAACAAGCTGTGGAAAAGGGGATTGTTTCACATGACTGAACTGATGACCTTTTTGCTAACAGTGTAGGATACATTGTTAGGTAGACCTCCACGCGGTTCCCCCGTGAAACCATCATGAAAAATTTCTGGTAAATTTCTTACGAGGGGCTAACTGACCTCTTCACGCTCATCTCATCATCCTCTACTGGTGCCTCGGCAGCGTTAACCGTTAGCACAGGCGGGTGGTGCACCATTATCACCCATAAAAAATGGTAAACAAGCTGACGGTTCATCTAATGATAAGTGGTAAACCGTTCCCATTTATATGAAAAGCACCATCTTATAACGATTTATGTGAGACCCATGATATCACTTATTAATTGATTGGTAAGATTAATAGCACTTATAGGGAAGGTCATAACGCTTACTGTAGCGGTGCGGTGGTCAGGTTTCCTCACTAAATTTGTGTGTTCTCACATATGCTAATGGTAACGAAATTAAACAAAATAATATAAATCATAGTAGGGGGCAATCTGCAAATAACACTTTATTCTAACAAAAATATTAAGAACGTCGTGACCTAATAATTTCTGTGTCTTCGAATTTTGTCGACATCAAACACTAACTCTCCAGTAGTGTAAAATATAAGAAATAATCTTTATTCGAATAAACTTAGTATAAGCACTTTTGAATAGTCATACAATATTTTTTTAAGAACCCAATGCCCGTCCCAACACACTGCCGTTTGTCTGTACTTTTAAGCGAGCATGAATGACTCATGACATAATATATTATAATCATATGCAAATAAATTAATTTGACTTTTTTAACTATTCTAATGCTGTTGGTCGGAGCTGGCCTTTACGGCTTCACCGGACAAGTGCAGATAGCACTCCAAACCCGCACAAGGTCTTATACAACTGCTGAAGGCCAACTCTTGTCTGAAGGATACGACTTTCGTCTTAGGGCACCGCTAGGGGTTCGAACCTTGCCTAGGCCGTAGTAATTCGATCCTCGTTTGAATTTACGAGGACTATGTTAAAGTATATATATTATATGTTTACAGAGAACGCACGGTCCGATGCTCGTCCGTCCTGATCGGTGCGCTGGGGCTGTCCCTCGTCGCGCTGGCTGTCTACACCACAGTTCTGGTACTCACCGAGTACAGGACACCCAGACCCTGCATCAGCGAGGAGTGTGTCGGCACAGGTGAGAATATCTAACTATACCAGCATGAGGATTGTTACACCATTGCTAGCAATTTAATTTTTACATTGAACATGTCGGGAGATGAACGCGGCTCTACCAACGATTATGTTCATTAAATTCCTTGTTAGTTTGCCACAATTGACTAACTGATTGATTAGTTTTAGGGTACAATAGGACTGGCATATACTTTTAGATTGTACAAAAGTCCCTAAATTAAAAAAAATGATCCTATTGTTAGCAATGTACCATGTCAGGTTGACCTCCACGCGTTTCTTCCCCGGGAAACCATCATGATACATTCTTGGTGAATTTCACGATGAGCTAACTGATCTGACCTCATACCCATCATATCATCCTCCACTGATGCCCCGCCATTAGTATACATAAAAAAATACAGGATAATAGGTACAAATGATCTCAGCATGACCAGACTAGGTGTTAACTAAGTTCACGGCCCCTACATTTGCATATAATAACAATAATAAAAACTGACGAACTCTTTACGACTAATTAAGACGCATGTAAGATACATACAATTATTTATACTACTTGTAAAAACTTGGCAAAATCTGATAATGATCAACACTTGGTTTTTTACACGACAAATGTTGGTTTATTTTAGCATGTAATTAAAGATTTATGACTGCGATTTACCTAAACAGTCACATATAACGTTCTGACGTTTTGCAAACTTAGTGCGAATCTGTACCTTTAGGAAGATCAACGAAGTGTGACAATAGTAAATTATTATCTCTCTTTAGGGAAAAAAAGGTGTTACATATGTATGTGAATGGTTATAAGACAAGAGAAAGGCCGAAAGAGATGGATGGACTGTGTGAAAGATGATATGGTAAGAAAGGAAGTAAATAACGAGATGACTTCGAACAGGGATGAAAGGAAGAGAAAAACATATTACGCCGACCACGAATAAATGGGATAAGGAAGAAGCAGATGATGATGATGTGAAGCAGAGTTTCACTTTCTGTAACACATATATTTTACCTGTAATAATAAATACCTAAATTTATATAAATAAATAATAATAATAAAAATAATAATATTTATTTCAAGAAAAATACGTTTCACTTGAGTCACAACTTTACAAATATAGATCTTAACTGAACCTTTGTTTAATTGTCAACCTATGACAATTAAACAAAGTGGTCAGTTGTGTTTAACCGCATGAAAAAATGAAAGTATTACGGTGCCTACATCAGTTAATAAATTTAAAAAATATATCTGTCTGTTTATTTTTGCTAATACATGAAACTTCTCAACCGATTTTGACGAAAGGTTCAGTCGCAAAAAGCTAATGTTGTTATAATGAGAAATTTAGGCTTCTTTTATTTTAGAAATATTATATTAATAAAAACAACTCGTATATAATAATAATTATATCAAATAATCTGACCTCTTAGAAATAATTATAATAATTAATTCTAATGTTTGTATTTTGCGAGGATCGCAATAGATAACAACCGTCGCAAAATACTCAGTGGAAATAACAAAATCTAAAATTAGTAAATAAAAAACAAACAATAACATATTATGTCAACATACAGATTATTACTCTTTTTGCGATTAAATTTCTGCCAAATTCAAATACGTAATTCGCTCATACTAAATATTAAATGGAAAATTATAAATCTATAATATAAATAACAATAAAAAAATAATAACATGTTTTTACAATTTTATGAGATTGTTATTTTTGTCTATTTGCGATGGATATTATAAGGCTCTGACGCATGAGAGGGTTCGAAGAACGTCATAAGGTATTTATGGATTTGTGGTTTTACTATTTGTGTATAGGCGGGTATTTCTTTCCATCTGATGGGCCGTTAGAGTGCTCCATAAAAACAAATGGTACAGAGAGTTTTAGACGTATACATATACCTATATTATATTATATATAATGTTTTATTAAATCTACATTAAAATATTATACAATAAAAAAAACAAGATTGAAGAAATAAGCAAGACAAAATGTCTTACATATCAGTAACGCAATCTCTTTCAGACAATCTTATGCTAGAGTGTTACTAAAAATAAAGTAGGCGGCTCTTGAGTGGAAATAAATTAACAAATACTATTAAAAGTGTTTTATTATTTATATACACTTACGTAAATCGAAATTGCAACATTTATTTGAAAAGAATAAGAGCTGAGTTTCTTGTCAGTTCTTTTCATATCGAAATCATTTCGAACTGACGATAGATTTGACATATCATAAGAGTCTATATTAGACCTACATGAATAAAAATATTTTGAATTTTGAATCGTAGCGATGTACATTAGAATGAGTTGAAAAAGTGATTTAATACAGATACAAACTACCACTAAAAATGTATATGTATAAACATACATGCCTATATACAAATATAATTATTATATAATATAGACGCATAAACATTATATTATACAAACACATAAAAATAACTATAGCAATTACACTGCGATGTTCACAACAATTATAGAAACCTAACAGTAATTTACAGATGCGTAGTAGTAAACTCATGTATATAAGATCATCAGAGAATATTTTTTGCATGGCATAGCGAATACTATGCTACCACGATCCCCAGATCAAGGCACCGCAATATCCTAAATAATAATAAATAAATTTAATAAATTTTTGTTTAGTCAATTAATAAAACTATAAAGTTAATATATTTTAGATTACTTGTGATTGAGTCTTCATCCGCTTGGAATAATAACCTTGACCAAATAAAGAAAGAGCAAAAGAAATAACAAACGAAACTTTCAACGTTCAAGTTTCAAAAATGACGAATATCCCATACAAACTTTCATACCCTATTTTGTTTTACCCCCTTAAGGCTAAAATTTTACAAACTTTGTATGAGTAATTATTTATTTTTAATCAACCTAAAAACAGCCTAAAAAATAAGTTTCAAGCTCCTAGCTTTAAAAATAACGATACTTCCATGCAACCGTTCATCTCCCCTTTCAACATCCTACATTTTTTTTTTAATATATACTATCTGTGTATCAAATTTTATTAAAATCGGTTTAGTAGTTTTGGCGATAAAGCGCGTCAGATAAAAAGAGTTACTTTCGGATTTATTAGTAAGGTTAAAGTAGAGCTACAGTCCGCAGATAGCTATAGTTACGTTATACTCGTACATACATAGTACTACTACTAATCGCTTTCATTACACATATTAATCTTAATTTACTCAAATTATTAATTATTAATCGTTTACATAAATCATTATGTAACTATTAAAGTGTTTACAATACTCTACATATTGTTGCAAATGACTGTACTAACATAAATAATAAATATAATTATAATAATGGGCTACTATAATCCCGATTGATGATGCCACACGTCGCAGTAATTTAATATAATTATGTAAACAGAGCTAGAAATTAATTATAAACGCCCATTATCATATTACATACGACATAAACACCATGGCATTAACATAAGAATGTGTATCCTCAAATGATTACATATATATTTATTAACTGTACCGGCAAACGTGGTTTTGCCATAAATTACATCGCTATTAAAAAATAGGGGTAGAAGGGTAAAAATTTAGGGTATGTATTTTTAATGTCGAATGAAATAAGAAATGTGTCAAAATATGAGATTATTTTTAAGGTGGGCAACCTAAGGGTTAGTATTTATCTATTTTTTTTTATTAGAATCAAATATATCGAGTATATATATAAATATTCATAAAATCGATTCAGTAGTTTAGGACTTCATCGCGGACAAAGAACGTGACACGAAAAAATTATATATATATAAATAAGAGGTTTAAAAAAATATATATATATTTACCCGCGTGAATTAAGAGCGTTATACGGTTAAATTTGGATTAATACGAAACTGTCTTCCAAAATTAATTGAATTAAATGTTAAAATATATTTTTATCCCATTGCTAGCAATAATAGACAGATTGACCTCCACGCAGCTTCCCCTGGAAGCCATCGTGCTAAATTCCTGGTGAATGTCACACGATGTGCTAACTGCTACTAACCTCATGCTTATCATCCTCCACTGGTGCTCCGCTAGTGTAAACCGTTAGTGCAGGAGAGTGCTCCATCCCATTAGCATCCAACAAAAAATAATAAAATAGAAATAAACTGCGTCATTTTTAATCATCTTCTGGGTAAGCGCGCTACATCCTAGATCTTGCCATCATTTATCATCAGATGAGGTAATACCAAGCGCAATCCTATTATTAATAAAAAAAAAACATACTTACATTATGCATTTCCAAATGGTAAATAACATAAATTACGCACATATGTATCGGATGATACGCAGTTCATCTTAATCATATTATTTACTGGATCGCTCTTAATTATGTTACAATTACAGTCTCGTGGATTCATAAATAAATGTTTGTTATGCGATGTTACAATGTTACATTTATTATGTTACACCTGTTATAATTACTCATGATTTTGTTATATTACATTTAAATATTTTATAATGATAGGTGTTACGAGTACCCCCGAAGTCCATATAACTACCTACCTATAGTTACACAATTGGATACAGCGATTGTTATTGGAAAGTATGTCCCAATACCTTCCAACAGTTGATGACTCTGAGAAATGAGCGGCATCCAATAAGTACGAGAACAAAAGGAAGACAGGTGGACGGTCACTCTAGATTTAGTCGCGAACGCGAATAGGTTAATTTTGTAAGTTGTTGTAAGTTAGAATTAAATAAATAATTTAAATGAACTTGTTTTAAAGTACTCATCAACGACCGTCAGAACGTAATTTAGAATTAAAATAAATAAATATTTCGTATCATGACGTACTCGGTGACCTAGCGGTTAGTACACCAACTTACATATATGCAACGGTTTCAATTTTCGCACGATACAAAATGTATATGAGTATGATTGTTTTTATTAGTCTGTGTTTCCTATGTATATTATGTATGTATTTAAAAAAAAAGTATATTTAAACAACTTTATCAATTTATACTAGGTAACTATAGTACAAATTCTGCATTTGGGAATAGATGGCGCTGTGTTGAATTATCCTGGGATATTACTGTTATAGGAGTTGGTTTTTTTATTCCCTGGACAATTGACGCAACGTCATCTAGTCCCAAGGTAAGCAGAGCTTGTGTTATAGGTATTATACAACTGATATTAAGACGACCCATCGCAAATGTTGACGATAGAAATCACAGTTTTTCTCAGCAATTACAATCATCTTTAATTTTTCATTGACATCATATACATTATTCTTGTTACACGATTGATTAACTTTTGTAGCAGAGAAGAAAAACTCAAAGAATATTATAAAACATATATTTACATGGTATAAGAAAACAGGGCTGATTTAAGACTCAAAGTTTCCAGTATACTTTATACTAAGTACACACTTAAATAGAGCAATACAGATGTATATAATAACCAATAGTTTTTATTTTGAACAAGACATCTACTCATCTACACATATAAATAAAATTGGAGTGTCTGTTTGTAATATTGAAATAACTGTTTTTACTACATGCATATGAATATAGATACGGTACATACATCAAAATAACATTTTTATCAATTTTTGTCTGTGTGTCTGTTTGTTCTCGATAATCTCTGAAATGGCCGGACCGATTTTGACGGGACTTTTTTTGGCAGGTAGCTTATGTAATAGGGAGTAACTTAGGTTACTTTTATTGTTGAAAAATTATTTTATTTTAGAAAAGCAAAGCTAAATTCCACGCGGACGAAGTCGCGGGAACAGTAGTACATAATATATAATACATCGATTTGTCATCATTCATCTTAAAAAAAGGTATTCCTATGGATTAAAGTACTACCAGCAATTTTATGTCCCACTTTGAATCTGAAACGTACCCTTACGTAAATAATGGTAGAATACTAGAAAATTAGTCACTGACATCCAACATTCTCATTTACAGCATCACGAATCCTCCAAGCCCTAAACAAAGACATGGATCCATGCAAGGACTTCTACGAGTACGCGTGCGGAGGCTGGATCAAAAAAAACCCAGTGCCGGATTGGTCTACGTCCTGGGACCAGCTGGCGAGGCTCCGGGAACAACTGGTGTCAGATCTGAGGGAACTGCTGGAAGCCAAAGACGAAGATGGACTCCCCACGAGTGTATTAAAAGCGAAATCTTTGTACAGGACTTGTGTTGATGTTGGTGAGTTAGATATATCAAATTATACTCTAAACTATTTACATTATTTTTATTATAAACACACAGACAGTCACCAATAATATTGCTCTTTTTATTTTATATTTATTTTAATTATTATTTTCACGTACCCTCAAATGGGTTAAAACTGAAAATCAGTGTTTTGTACCCTGAACAATGCTCCACGCTGAGCTTCGACCTTTTTGTATTGCTACAGATCACACATAATAACACAATTTTATAAATCTTATGTTGTATTATGTATTGTCTATTCTTATGAACATGTTGTGTGTGATTAGTAACAAACAAATAAACGATATATCTATCTATCTATCTATATTTACTTAATGAATTTATATTAAGGTTTCTTAAGTGTCGGCAACTCGCTCGTAACACCCCTGGTGTCTCAGGCGGCCATAGGCTACGATAACCATTTACCATCAGATGGGCCGTATGCTTGTTTGCCACCGTCGTAGTATAAAAAACAATATTATTTTGTTTATTTCCGCTACCATTAGGGACCATGAAACATGTGAAAACCTGACCACCTGATTATAACTTCTGAGGAATTATGATATCTAATAAGTGCCAATTTAAATTATTGCTTTCTACATTCTATCAGGCGTTTTTATAATATCGCGCACAGTTAGAAATCGAAAGTTCTGAAAATAATAATGAGTATTCTAGATATAGTTTAGTACTGCGTATGTTAATGCCTGATATTGTTTTTTGTAGATAAAACTTCTAAAATTGGTCAAATATTTTTAAAATTATCCATTACAAACGAAAAATAAACAAATCTCTCCTCTTTATAATACAATATTAGTGACGGCCTCTGTGGTCTAGCGGTTTAGCATACCGCCTTACATTCGGTCGCGGGTTCTATTCCTCACACGGCAGAAATATTTGTATACATAAGTATGACTATTTGTAGGGTCCGGTGTAGTCTATGTATATTATGTACCTAAGTATTTATAAAAAATAAGTATCTATGTATTTATATCAGTAGTCTAGTTCCCATAACACAAACTCTGCTCATCTTGAAATTATATGTGGCTGTGTGATTTGCCCGAGATATGTATATTAATTTTATTTATTAAAAGACTCGGTGCTAAAGGGACCTGTAGCAATACGACCTGCATAGATCTATTGTGCTCGTCCTTTTTCAAGCCCGTCAGGAAGAAGAATTGAAGGATATTCTTAGGAGAGATGGTTTTTACAGAGTGTATACTTTTCAAAGGAGATATTTAATGATATTAAAACATTTGGTCTTCCACAGAAAAACTCGAAGTAGACGGCATCAAGCCTATTGAGCGTATCCTGGGTAAGTTGGGTCTACCGCCCCGTCCGCCGCAGGAGGCCGGCGTCAACTTCACTTGGGAGATGACCGCTGGTACGGGCAGAAGAATGCTCGGCCTCAATGTGCTGCTGAGCGTGCAGGTGGCCGAGGATGTGAGGAACACCAGCAGGAACAGGGTTGTGGTGAGTTGTTAGTAATGGACTAGATACTGTTTACTCTTTAATAAATTAATAACATCTGTTAAATCATATTTACCGATGAAAGCCTAACACTCACTAAGCGATTATTTGAATGACGAGCGTGTATGGCAATAGTTGTTTATGTACGGGATTTTCATTTAATGTTAGACATAGACACCTATATATACATTGTGAATAAACGGGATTTAAAAAAAAGAAATTCAATTGAGTTTCTTGCCAGTTCTTTTCAATTGAATTTGTACACTGAACTGGACGGTAGGAAAAAATATAAAAAAATTGACGTTCATAAGCGGATAAAATGTCCTACATGAATAAATGATTTTTGACTTGATTTGATTAGATGGTATTGTTAATACATACTATTTAATAAATAGGACTTCACTTAGGTTGCCTACGTGATCTATATACGTTATCAAACTGCATTATTGTTCAAGATATTGTGTCATAAATTAATTCCAATGCGACAATATGAAATTCCTCAATGACACTCCACTAATGTTCAGACGCCTCTAGTTGCAAATTTGATTAACGTTTATTACCTAGAATATGTACAATATTATCACTAGTTAATATCACGCCCTGACTTCGTGCGGGTCCTTATAACACTGTGAATTTTGCATTTATTAACATAACAAGCTGAAATTTATAGTCTATGTATTATTCTGACGTATTAATTAGAATATAATTATATAAATATAATTATAAATTAAAAAATATAATTATAATAAGAAGCTATTGTTTCGTCATCATTTTTATTAATTGTTTGAATTTGAATTTGTTTTAAATTTGACGCGGTCATTATTTATATTATAATTAGTAAATCACAGGATCTTACCATCTTTTATTTACCTTCTATCCGCTGCTCTTCAGTTTACCCGTGATCAAGGCCGTTGAAACACTGCTGAAATATCGGGAACTCATTAAAAAATAAACGTTGTAAGAACCCGTAATTTCTACTAATTATACGTACGTCGATTAGAATCGCCAGCCGTCCTTTTTTCCTAGAACATGTCCTAGTTTTTGTAGTGTACAGTGACGTCCTGGGATTGTACATACTTTGTATGTACCGTATTTATATTCATATGCATGTATTAAAAAACGGTTATTTCTATATTACAAACAGACACTCCAATTTTATTTATATCTGCAAATAATATGAATGTTTTCAATCAGATCGAACAAGTGTCCCCTGGGTTCAGCGACCGGTATCTACTCCAGCCGGAGCAGTTCGCCCACGAGCTCGCCCAGTACCACAAGTACATAAAAGACATGATCACCATCGCAGACCCTGACACTGATGCTGCCAAGTTTGCTGATGATATTGTCAACTTCAGTAAGAGCCTCGCTAAGGTTAGTCATTCATATTAAGTTGCTTTTATTTGGAACTAGGTGTACCCGTGATTTCGTCCGCGTGGAATTATACTTTATTCTTCTAAAATAAAATAATGTTTCTAAAATAAAAGTAGCCTAAGTTACTACTTATTACATTAGCTACCTGCCAAAAAACAGTCCCGTCAAAATCGGCCCAGCCATTTCAGAGATTAGCCGGAACAAACAGGCAAACAGACAACAATTTAAAAAAATGTTATTTTGGTATATGTATCGTATTTACATATATTCATAAGCAGTAGTGAAAAACGATTATTTCAATATTACAAACAGACACTCCATTTCTATTTATATGTATAGATATTACTAGACTTTTATTTTTTTATTCACACAAAATTCTATAAAATGAACAACATTCTGAACAACATTTGTTTAAAAGAGCAACACACACAATGAAAAAAGAAATATAAAGAGCACACGCAAGTGTCGTGCTCATTCTTCTAGTGCGAGTTCTGACTAGGTAGAATAAATAAATATGACTATTCAAAAGTGCTTATAAAAATTTTTAGATTTTTTAACGTAAGGTTTTAAACAAGTTATATATGAATAAATATATAATGATAACATATAGATAATGACTCCTGTGGAGGTCCGCCGCAGCGGCACGCACCTGTTCCACGAGGTCAGCGTGCAGCAGTTCGTGCAGGGCTCCAGCGGTGGACCCGCGCACTGGAAGGAGGTACCATTTTTTTTTTAACTTGGGAAAAATCCTCTTGGTGACACACCCGCCCCGGGGGAGGAAGACGGGTACTGCCGGCTCTTCATAAAAACCCCAAGATGTTCCTTTTATTAACATTTTGTCAGAGTGACGGGAGTGCGCAAGTAACCTTCCACAACCCTGACGGCGCTGGTCGGCCTATGTACACCTCTTCCCATTGGAAGAAGGTACCATACCAACATCTTACTTACACCACGATCCAACGCAAGTGCACTCAATATAGTCAAGGACAGTGCAATCTTAGATGAGGTACTCCTCGCTAATATCCAGGTTGTGGAACTACCTGTCGTGATCGTAGAAACAGTATGGTGTTTCTGAAGAAGGGTATCATCATCCTCCTCTCATATTTCAGACGCCCATAGCCTAAGGTAATTGTTTACCATCAGACGGGCCGTATGCCTATTTGCCGATGGTTCGATTTCTATTCAAGATTATTTGTACCGATCTGGGTGTTTTCTTTGTATATTATGTATGTATTTATAAAAAAATGTATTTAGGTACCCATAACACAAGCTCTGCTTACCTTAGGACTAGGTAGCGCTGTATGAATTGTCCAAAGATATTACTATTTTATTATTATTAGGTACTAATATCTATTATTAAATTGCATCGCCTTGTTATCTCTGATCAGCGCGACTGTTGTCTGGTAGAAGATGCCATTAAGCATTAAGTCCGCCATATAATTTTGTTCGTAAAATCTTTACGTAGTATAAAATGAAGTCGCTTTCTCTGTCTCTTCACTTTTTTTTTTTTTTTTTTTTGTTTTTTTTTTTTTTTATTGGGTTGTTTGGGCTATTGTCAGATGTGTAGCACCTGTAGCACAGCGACCTACATAGATCTATTGTGCTCGCCCTTTTCAGAGTTCGCTACGTCTCTTCACTTAGATCTTTTAAATTACGCAACGGATTTTAATGCAGTTGTTAGCAATAGATAGAGCGATTCAAGAAGAAGGTTAATATGTATACATATACGCAGCTGCGAAACAGGGACAGATAGCTAATTATATAAACTACGACCTGTCCCAGCTTCGCATATGTATTTTGTTGCGGGTAATAAATAAGATGTTGCTGGTCGAGACGATGTATATTACTGATGATGATAAACTGACAATGTGTACATAGAAATAATGATCTTATATACAAAATAAAAGTAGGAAAATGTAAGGTGGGGTGACACAGTTTAGATACAGCAGTGCCTAGTAGACAATATTGAATTTGTCTTACTAGACATTATTAAATGCAATTATTATTTTGATGTATCTAGGTGACTGTGTCCCATAGATTTCAACTAATTAACAGAAAACCGTAACAAATTATATCCCTAAAACTGCCTCATAAACTGTTCAGTTGATGGTTAATTTAAGAGGCTGGTTTATATGTATAGGTACATACATACTCGTACGAAGCCAATAAATAAAATGAAATTGCCATTTGCAGCACGACTGGGACGGCTACCTGAAGCTGGTGTTCGCCAACACGAGCGTCACCCTCCACCCGCACCAGGACCGCATCATCGTGATGGACCTGCCGTATCTCCAGAAGCTGGCAACCCTGCTATCAGACACTGAGACTGTCGTAATCGGTGAGTTCCAAATTTAGTTACTACTTTTATAAATATGAATAAAAGATAGCCGCGGCATTATCGGTTTGTTTAAAGCTAGAAAATAGCAATCAAAGATAGCAGCGACATCGTCGATTTCTTTTATAGCTAGAAAATAGCAATAAAAGATAGCAGCGACATCGTCAATTTCTTTTATAGCTAATAATATCAATAATAGCTAAAAATAGCAATAAAAGATAGCAGCGACATCGTCGATTTCTTTTATAGCTAAAAATAGCAATAAAAGATAGCAGCGACATCGTCGATTTCTTTTATAGCTAAAAATAGCAATCAAAGATAGCAGCGACATATTTCTTTTATAGAAAAATAGCAATAAAAGATAGCAGCGACATCGTCGATTTATTTTATAGCTAAAAATAGCAATAAAAGATAGCAGCGACATCGTCGATTTCTTTTATAGCTAAAAATAGCAATAAAAGATAGCAGCGACATCGTCGATTTCTTTTATAGCTAAAAATAGCAATAAAAGATAGCAGCGACATCGTCGATTTCTTTTATAGCTAAAAATAGCAATCAAAGATAAGCGCGACATTATCGGTTTATTTAAAGTTAAAAAATAGTAATAAAAGATAACTGCAACATTATCCGTTATGGGTATGATAACTGATACAAGTACATAGATATATGTTTTTGCGTAAATAAATACATACACGTTATACATATCAAACACCCAGACTGATATAATCAATCATACTCATGAATACAAATATTTGCCGGGCGAAGAATCGAACCAGCGATCATCGGAAGTAAAGCGGTGTGCTAAACCGCTAGACCACCGAGGCGTCGTTTACTTATTAATATATGTGGATGGTTGCTTGCAGAGCGTTTCCTGTGGTGGAGCGTGTTCTCGACGGTGGCTCCGATGACGCTGGCCTCGTTCCGAGACCTCGGGTTCGAGTTCTCGCGCGCGGTGTTCGGGCTGCAGCAGCGCACGCCGCGCTGGAAGAGCTGCACCGCCAACGTCAACGCTAACTTCGGGGTCGCGCTCAGCTACCTCTACGTCAAGAGACACTTCGACCACGACTCCAGGCAGAAGGTAACACTACCAACATGTTACATGTCACACACTCGAAGAGAACGAACGAGTCACATGTGACATACTCAAAGGGAGCTAACAAGTCATATGTGACATACTCAAAGTTAATGAATAAGTCACATGTCACATACTCAAAGGGAATGAACAAGTCACATGTCACATACTCAAAGGGAACCAACAAGTCACATGTCACATACTAAAAGGAAATGAATATGTTACATGTATTAATACTCTTTACTCGATACTTGACACGCGATACGTACTCGATACTCGGTGCTCGATATAAGATACTCGATATTGTCTCTTTATCTCTGTCTCTATTAAATATACGTTTGTCTAAAAAAGTCACATGTCACATACTCAAAGGTAACGAACAAGTCACATGTCACAAACTCAAAGTGAACGAACAAGTGACATGTCACGTATTAAAGGGGAATGAATTTGTTACATGTACTCAATATTCGACACACGATACGTACTCGATACTCGGTGCTCGATATAAGATACTCGATATTGTCTTTTTATCTCTGTCTCTATTAAATATCGTACGATTGTCTAGAAAATTGCTTGTAGTGAGTTGCGTTGTTATAATGAGCTGCATTGTGGCTTCGTCAGGCGATAGAGATGGTGGAGGACGTGCGCGATGCGTTCGCGGCGGCCGTGCAGCAGCTCGAGTGGATGGACACCAGCACGCGCCTCAAGACGCTCTCCAAGCTGAAGGCCATACGGAACTTCGTCGGGTTCCCTGCCTGGCTGCTCACACACCAGCAGCTCGATAAACACTACAAACACGTATGTAGAAATAGAAATAGAAATAATCTTTATTCATATAAACTTAATATAAGCACTTTTGAATAGTCAAGGTTTTATGATTCTACCGCTCATTCGGAATGCAGACTCATCACAAGAAGAATGAGCAAGAAACTTGTATGTATGTCACTACCCATTTCTAAATTTTCGTGTTTAATACATTTATATTTTACTACCTGATCCCGCAAACGTTATTTGGCCATATAAATTAAAATCGCTATTAAAATATAGCGATTATGACAGAAGAGTGGGTTGTATGTATTTTTAATGCCACATTATAAATAAATAAAAAATAAAAATTGTGTCCAAAAATTAAAATAAAATGTTAGGGGTTATAATGAAAGGGTTATCCAACCTTATCAGTTAGGGGTATGAAAAATATATAGTAGCTGATTCTCAGATCTATTGAATATGCATATAAAATTTCATAATAATCGGTCAAGCCGTTTCGGAGGAGTATGGTAACTAAAATTGTGACACGAGAATTTTATATATATAACATATCATTATTTTGACGGCCTCGGTAGTCTAGCGGTTTAGCACACCGCCTTACTTCCGATGGCCGCGGGTTCGATTCCTCGCATGGCACAAATATTTGTATCCATGAGTATGATTGTTTGTATCGGTCTGGGTGTTTTCTATGTATAATATGTATGTATTTACAAAAAAAATCTATGTATATGTATCAGTTATCTAGTACCCATAACACAAGCTTTAGCTAGCTTAACTTGGGTCTAGATGGCGCTGTGTGAATTGTCCTGAGATTGTTTATTTATTTATTGTTAATTTTGATTATTTATATGTTATCCATGCTCTTTATAATACAATACATAAATAAATAAATATATGTATATACATTAAAGGCCTCGGTGCGGTTTAACACACAGTTTTACTTCCGATTGTCATGTGTTCGATTCCTCGCATTTGTATTCACGAGTATGATTGTTTATATCTGGGTGTTTTCTATGTGCATTATGAATTTATACACAAATACAATGTATCTATGTACTATATCAGCTCTAGCTGACAATGAAAAATATTAACCCAAGCTCTGCATAACTTGGAACTAGATGGCGCTGTGAGAATAGATGTTTAAACCCATTCCTGTGTGATGTATGCAGGATTAAAAATTCAATGTTACAGGCAGAAGTGGTGGAAGGCAATCTATTCGAGACATATTTGAAGTTGACATGGGCAGCAGTCAAGAAGTCCTTGGAGTCATTGAGGGAGAAGCCTGATAGGAACAGGTGAATTGTTTTTCTAAATATTTTTTCCACGCAAATATTGTACAGAGGCAACGTTAGGAATCTACTAATAGGTATTATACAGGGGTAATAGAAATAGAAATAATCTTTATTCAAATAAACTCATTGCAAGCACTTTTGAATAGTCATATTTTGATTCTACCACTCATTCGGAATGCAGATTCATCACAAGAAGAATGAGCAAGAAACTTGTGTGTTGCTCGTTTTAATAGATTTTTTTTATATAAATAATTACAGTGTAACAAGTAAGAGGTATGCGATAATCAACATAGAAATCGCTACGTACTCATTATTAATGTAATCAGATAATATTGTCAGTACTATGGATTTAAAGTTTTTCTATAAAAACATTATTATCGTTAATGAATTCTTCAATTTTATAGTAAGCTTTTTTGCAAAGGAACTGTTTTATTTGACATTTAAATCTTTTTTCTGGCAGATTTATAACAGACTCTGGTATTTTATTGTAAAACCTTACGCAATTGCCATAAAACGAATTACTAACTTTAGCCAAACGACATTTAGGTAAAATCAGTTTGTTATTGTTGCGTAAGCTTTTATTGGTGCAATCACTAACTCTTTTGAAACTGTCTATATGGTAAAGTTGAAGTTAAAAGCTGTAGGGTATAATTTTTTTATCTTCAGCTAGCTTAACTTGGGTCTCGATGGCGCTGTGTTAATTGTCCTGAGATTATTATTTATTTATTATTATATTATAATATATACTAATATATTTACCAATTTACGATTTTATTAGATACGACTAGCGGCCTGCCCCGGCTCTGCACGGTTCTAAACAAAAATTTCAAATATCATAAATTAATCTTTTTAATACACAAATACATATAAGTATATCCATTGTATTGATGTCATGTCATGTATAAACAGAAATAATCTTTATTCAAGTATATTTAATAATGGCATCTAATACAGGCTGTTATACTGATACTAGTTGCTGTTTTTTTACGGATGATAATGGAATGGTGCACCCGCCTGCGCTAACGGTTTACGCTGGCAGCACCAGTGGAAGATGATAAGATGAGCATGAGCTCAGGTCAGTTAGCCCATCGTGACAAATTCACTAGGAATTTATCACGATGGTTTCCAGGGGTAACCGCGTGGAGGTCGACCTGACATTGTACATTGCTAGCAATGGGGTTATCAATCCACATTACTTTTCAATCCCTGTTCCCCCCTCTGGATGTACTAAACCAGTTGAAAATTATTATTATTATTTGTTTGATAATTATTTTAGTTATGTATAGCTCATTTATCAAGGAAGGCTATATTATATATTTATTACAGCTTAATAACAGTAACGTAGCAAAACTAGTAAAAATCTATCAGTTTGTTATCAGTATTATCATCACACGAGAGTCAAGTACAAATTGCAATGTAATTATTTTTATTCGTGTCTGCCAAATTCGAACTCATTGCCTCATGGTAGACCGAACTTACTTAGATAACTGAAGTCAAGGTATATTAATTTCATACTATTTTCTTAGATTGAAACTCATATGTTTTACAGATGGGTGGCCACCGCGACTACGGTTAACGCGTTTTATTCAGCTACCCTCAATTCAGTCAGTAAGTACTTATTTAATAATTCTGACTCAATGGTCTAGTGCAGGGTAGGTGAACCAATGGCACGCGTGCCATTGAGGGTACGCGACACAATATTTTGGGCACGTCGTCGATCAAAAAACCGTTTGAAGAAGCTGGTTCATGGTATTTTTACAATATTTTCACCTAACTATGCCTGCGAGTCATTATTTTCAGAGATAACATTAAAAACTCGGTTAGAAACCGTTTGACACATGAATCCAGTTCAGCATGCATTTTGCTAAGAGTAACATCGTACAAGCTTGACATAAATTATTTGTCATCTAACCTGCAGCAATAGAAGTCACACTAATTTTAAAGTAATTTAATTTATGCGTGTAATGAAAACAATCCAAAATGTACCTCTTTTGTTTACTTTATTTCATAGATATTTTTGATAGTATTTATTATTATTATTTTCCAAATAATCAGAAAAACAAAATTATTTGATGGCACGTCAATGAACCATTAAACATTTTGTGGAAAAAATGGCACGTAGGCGACCTTTATATGACCTTTATACATCAAGCATAAAGGTTCGCCTACCCTGGTCTAGTGGTTTACCATACCGATTTAGTATCAACGGTCGCAGGTTCGATTCCTAGCGAAATACAAACATTTGTATTTTTTTTATTATTATTGTTTATATGGATGTTTATTTTTTTCACATAAATGTTAATTTGTTTTGCAGCGTTCCCGGCCGGTATACTGCAGCCACCTTTCTATGGCAATGGGATTGAGTAAGTATATTGTTTTATTACTTTATAACGAGGTTTATAAATTGATATATTTTACTGTCAGCACTTACAACACCTTATAAAAGACTCGTGCGTTATAACTCTTTATTGCACATACATAAACATAGGACAGTAAGTACAAAACAATGATAATATGTTTTACAAAATGCGGTCTCATCGCTATCAGCAATCTCTTACAGACAACCCGGTGTTTACAGAGAGTATTTACATAAAGAGAGTTATAAATTTTGATAAATTCCACCACTAAGGGGATAAAATAACGCGAGCGAAGCCGCGGGCAAAAGCTAGTTGTTAGTTATAATTTCTTAAGAAATATATATCAATAAACTGTACTCTATTTCCAGGGCCATAAACTATGGATCTATCGGTGCTATAATGGGTCATGAAGTAACGCATGGCTTCGATGATCAAGGTAAGATTTTATTATTATTATTTTCAAAAAAAAATGTGTAATAAGGATATCTATCAGTTGTCTAATACCCATAATAATAATAATAATCTCAGGACAATTCACACAGCGCCATCTAGACCCAAGTTAAGGTAGCTAAAGCTTTGTTATGGGTACTAGACAACTGATACGAATATGTAGATATGGGGTCGGTAGTAATAATAATGAAAATAAAATAGACCCTCAACAAAAGGAAAATTATAGAAATCGATACTAGAAAATAATATTACAATTATAGTTGTATGTGGCGAGTGACGGATGACATGAGAATATTTTATAGGTATATGTAAATATAGGTAGAAATATGGAACGTGTCTGTCTTGTATGTAAGCGGCCAGTTGTCATGAAAAGAGGTAATGATGTGAAATGATTATAATACAAATAAATACACTACACCATATAGATATATTTTTTTTGTTATTACATACATATTATACATTTAAAACACCCAGACCGATACAATCAATCATACTCACGAATACAAATGTTTGTGCCGTGCGAGGAATCGAACCCGTGACCATCGGACGTAATGCCGTGTGCTAGACCGCTAGACCACCGAGGTCAATAATACAATCTGTGCTTACCTTGGAACTAGATGGCGTTGTGTGTGTCCAGGGGTAGGTCCTATTGTTGATATCGGTAGTTATCTGTTATATTATATTGGTAGTAGATTGGTTGGTTAATATAAAAGTCTCAAATGATATTGTTGTTTATTCTTCACATCTGACTCTACTTACAACATTAAACTTATTTGAATTAATATATTTTCTATTCTGATTCACTGCATGTTCTATCTGATAGGTCGTCGTTACGACGAGGAGGGTAACCTGAAGCAGTGGTGGTCGGCGGCGACCCTGGAGCACTACCACGGGAAGGTGCAGTGCATCATCGACCAGTACAGCAAGTACCACCTGCCGCAGCTCCCCAACTATACGGTACACACAAATACCTAAATATCATTATTACTGTAGCACGATGGTTATAACCTCACCACTGTAGCATTATATATGACTAGCTGTACCAGCGACTTCGTCCGCGTGGAATTAACATTATTTTTCTAAAATAAAAGTAACCTAAGTTACTCCATATTACATCAGCTACATACTAAAAAAAGTCCCGTCAGAATTGGTCCAGCCGTTTCAGATTAGCCGGAACAAACAGACAGACAGACAGACAAAAATTGAAAAAAATGTTATTTTGGTGTATGTACCGTAGTTATATTCATATGCATGTAGTAAAAAACGGTTATTTCAATATTACAAACAGACACTCCAATTTTATTTATATGTATAAATGTGATGAGGTGACTACATAATTTATTTGTTGTGCCTACACTTGTAACATTTCTGTCAACACTCGGGACCCTTCCATTAGTATCTCTCCAGGTAACATAGATTTCAATTCTGTGTGAATTTAAATACAATTCATCCATCTACACTCACAAACTTCTAATATTATAAACGCGTACTACTGTAGTGCAGTGGTATCAATTTTCAGCAATAGATAGAGTGATTCAAGAGCAATGTTTATATGTATAATAATCAATATAGTACTTTTTATAGTGTATAAAAATCATATATTTACAAAAGAGAACTTAATATAAAAGTATGCTGTGCCTACACTTGTAATATTTCTGTCAACACTCGGGACCCTTCCCTTAGTTTGTTTCCATTAAAATAGATTTAAGTTAAGTGTAAAATCAGTCTACACCCCTCCGCGTCGACTTGACGCGTTATTAATAAACCATGTAGCAAATACCGATAAACTTAATATTGTCTAATAAATAGTGCAATCATTTTACTGGTATACTCACTACCTACATACTACAACAAATAATATATTATGTAGCGACACCTCATCACAGCACATGTATAATGTTACAGTGATGAGGACAACCACCGCGCTACAATGCTAACAAAAAGCTGCCTTATCAAGCTCATATTAGCGGCGGCACACAAAGCAATCTCTTATAGATCTGTATATATATATGGACAACTGTACAAAGTCGGGGCGGGTAGTTAGTAATAAATAATTGAGTGTTATATATATAGGTGCACGGGTTCAACACGCAAGGTGAAAACATCGCAGACAACGGAGGCCTACGAGCGGCACTCCGCGCCTACACTCTGTATCGGCGCCGCTCAGCCACCCGGCCAGCCGCATTGCCCGGCCTGCCGCATCTCTCGCCCGAGCAACTGTTCTTCCTCGGTTTTGCGCAGGTACCCCTAGACAATTTACACGTCATCCAGTCGCAGGTTCAGCAGAGCTTGTGATATGGGCACTAGGCAACTGGTTTAAATACTTAGATTGTGTAAATACGTACATAATAAAAAAACCAGACCTATACAAACAATCAGACTCATGATTACAAATGTTTATAACGAGCAAGGAATCGAGCCCGCAACCGTCGCAAGTAAAGTGGTATGCTAAATTACATTTAAATTACCTACCGATATTATCCGGTTCGAAGGACCAAAGTTTTTTATCTACATTTTCTGAAGTGTTGCGATTTAAAATAATACTGTTATATGTATTTAAAAAATGCCAATTATCAATTAATATTAATATAATTATATATGTAGCTATTTGAACAGATATAACAACAAATTTGCTATTAAACATGTATTTCTTCAATAACATATCCAAGCATGTATTTGTCAAATAATATAAAAGTGACTTTCCCCTTTAAGTTACTTTACAAACTCCGATTTTCTCAGATATGGTGCGGCAACTCAACCGTGGGCGCTCTCAAATCCAAGATGGTGGAAGGGGTGCACAGCCCCAACAAGATCCGCGTGATTGGCACCCTCAGCAACTCCAAGGAGTTCGCGGAAGCCTGGCAGTGCCCCACGGGTTCCCCCATGAACCCCGAACACAAGTGCATACTGTGGTGATACTTGTTTGTGATTAGTTAGTGAACCAAAGACAATCCACAGGTTACCATGAAGTTACCACCTTAGTCGAACATTTAATATTGTACTCTCGCATTATTTGCATTAGCTGTCAATTTTAATAGAAAATGTACCGTCAGAACTGTAGTGTTGAAGGTAGGGTAGCCAGAAGTATTGTCAATTGTCGATAGCATCTCAAACGCAACACTTTACCTATGTATAGTTGAATCCAAAGTGGCAGAGGGCGATCCTACCGCCGTCTATTGGACTCATTTGAATCCATCATTGTCACGTTAGATTCAAATATATATTAAAAATATTATACAGGGGAGATCCCATCGCCGGCTGTCGGACTCGTTTGAATCCGTCATTGCCACGTTGAATTCAAATATATATTCAAAATACTATACGGGGGCGATTCTCAAAATATTCATCAAACCTATTAAATATATTGATGGTTCTAGTTGAATAACCACAGAAAAAAAAGTATGGTTTTGGTATCAACAGGCTTCGTACGGATATACATGTATTATACATATAAACCTTCCTCTTCAATCACTCTATCTATTACTGAAAACTGCATTAATCCGTTGCGTAATTTAAAAGATATAAGCGAAGTGACAGCGGCTGCGACTTTATACTCTGTAAAGAATTATAAATTGACAGGTAACGCATAGTTTACGAGATAGCTATAATAATGCTCTTAAGTGTACGTACAAATATAACGATGCACTTGTTATGTTGACAATGTGGAATGTAATCGAAACGAATTCAGTATTTTATTGTATAGTTGGCTGTAATAATCATGTTTATATGAATTGTTTGAGTAAATAGTTCACTTTTTGACAAAGTGAATATTACTGCAAGATATATTATGTGAAATTAGCTTGTAATCGAATAGCGCTTAAGTATTGTTACCGACAGAATTTACAATACAAATATTGTACTTACTTAGTTTCATAAGTTTATAAAATGTTAAAACTTTAACAATAAATATATAAGTACCAGTGTCTGAAATAACATCTATGTAATTTTGGATGTTGTTTTATACCACTAATAACTTTACATTAGAAAAAAATGTTACGTGCCACACACGTTTCTAAACTGTAATAATCAACAAAACGTAGACATATAGACGTATAGCAAATATTAAATTAATTGATATCAAAAATATCGTATCGTCAATTAAGAAAATAGCTGTATGTTCTGTGAGTAGTTGCCCTAAAGAAATGAAAAAAAATGTATATACAAAAAAACACAGACCAATTAAAATTTTTCTACTTTTTGGCGCCAATATTGACATAATTATTTTAAATTGTAACAAGTGTATGAAAGACTGTTTTATAATGTGAATTTCTATTATTTAAGCGAAAGAAAAAATATACAGTCTTATATGAGTGTTGTAGTTATAAGAAAAATCTTGTTTATAATTAATTATTTGTGAGAAATGCTCATTTATTTTATATATGTATAATAAGAGTGAGACAATCTCAGTGCATCTCAGTTTTTTTAAACATATAACAAAATTATTTATTGAAAACGAAATAAAAAAGAGTAAATATTCTTATAACCATATGTTTTATTTCTTTCTAACATATTGGAACTCATATACAGGTGCTGAGTGTTTGGTTCCCTTCTTTATGCGTTTGGGTTTAATCTGGTTTATGGACTGCAAATGACGCTTAATTTCCATCTTCTGTTGAATCACCATGAGCTCCTTCTCTCTTTCAATTCTCTTAGCCATTTCCTTGTACTTCTTTTTTCTACTTCCTATCATAGCTTTAGATGTCTGAAATTAAATGCAATATTTGAAATTATGCTATTTTCGAATGCTATAAAATACTTTTTGATAATAAGGAATTAAAAATAGAAAATAATGAAATTTGATTTTAATTTCAGTGGATTTTTATTTTCCTTTCATATACGTTTACAGATCTTAACCTTAACCATAGAGAATAATTAGTTATTAAGAAATATTACAAATCTCCATGACTGACCCAGCAAACATTGTTTTGTCATATAAATGGAAATCGGGGTTGATGGTGAGTGAAAATTTAGGGTTGTGTGTAGAATACACACAGATGAAGAACCATAAAAATTTTCAAAAAATGTCAAAATAATAAAATAAAAATTTTAGGCGGACCTCCTTTATCACTTAGGAGTTTTTTCAAAACCAACAGCACACACAATCCATAAAATCAGAACGTACAAATCAATAGTATAGCTGATAGCTGAGCTGAGACCTACTGAATACACACAAAAATTTATAAGAATCAGTCAAGTCATTTTAGAGGAGCTTAGTTTCAAACACTATTTTGTTTTGTTTTTTCATTTACCAATCTGTCACAATTGAACATTAAGTAGTATGTTCGTTGGGTTCACATCATGGCATGCTCAGTATGTGACACACATCCTATTTTACTTATATTTACAAATACTTTGAAAGTAACAATATAGTGTACAATACTTTAAAAAATTGTCATAAATGTAAAATACAGAAATGTATATATACAACATTACAACTCACTTCGCTATCAATTAGTGGTATTTTTATTTTATCCAAATCGGACAGCCTCGGTCGGTTTGACTTCCTGCCAAGCAGCTTTGGATGTGTGTCCAGTCTTTTGGCTACGTCAAAGTCTTTCTCCTCACCTTCGTCTACAAAGAATATGTGCGTGTTAGGGGTTGAGTCGGCCACATCTGTCATATGAAGTTCACTCTGAAATATACAAATTAAATTATAATCCCAGAGGCCTATATACAAAACAATATCTCTTTTTCAAATCAAATTAATATTCATTTAATCATGTAGGACATTTTAGGCGCATATGAAGGGCAATTTTTATGAATTAACATTTTTTCCCTACTATCCAGCTCAGTATACATATTCAATTGAGAAGAACTAGCAAGAAACTCATCTGAATTTCTTTTTTTCTAATAGCCAGTTTATTTACATTGCATACGTATGTAGGTGTCTATGTCTAACATTAGGTGAAAATCCCGTGCTATTGTCATGCAGATTCATCATTCAAGTAATCAATTATTAATGGTAATATAAAAATATATAATATAATTATAGAATAAATAATATTAGCAAATTGGGGCGAAGAGGATTCTTAATATGTAGATTAATGAGCCCATTGCTAGCAAGTACTACATCAGGTTGACCTACCTACTGTTCAACATGGACAATAAACATTATTTCAATTTCTTAAACTTCCAGAAATCATTACCATTTGCCAAGATATACCAACAGACCTGACTTCATGCTCATTTTATCATCCTTCACTGGTGATAACCATTAATACATGTAGGTGCATCATTCTATTATCATCCATAAAAAGAAATACTTGTAAAGTTTCTTATTCAATTAATACATGACATATATGCTAGATTTAACGCCATATCCATGTGTTCATTTAATAAATAAAAGAACTCTACTACAAATTAGTAGAGTTAAAAGTAAATTAGTTTCCTTCATGTTTTTATAAAATAATTTTACAAAATACCTGTAAACGATCAATCCTTCTGCTTTCCATTGTACGCTTCATATTGATGTACCTAATATCCTGGGTTTGCATCAACTTCAGTTGCGCTGGACTGTCTTCTTCTTCTTTCTTTAATTCATGGTGGACCTGGCATACAAATTTTTATTAATTATATGTACATTTTTTTTATTTTTATAATTTTAAGTACATCTCAAAGATTATATCTATTTAAAGTAGTTATGCTGCATTGTCTATATGTAAGAGTTTGTCTAATGAAGTTACCTACATTTTCTTAGTACAATATAGTAATATCTCTTTGTTCTTAACACTTAAAAAGTGACTAACACTAAAAATATGGGAAGATAAATGCTGTTTCACTATGCTTAGTCTGTTATTGCCAGTATGCCAATCTTACAAACATCCTCACACAAATATGACATTTTTATCATTCAGTATGAAGGCATTTTCATATACAAATGTAAAAGACTGATGTGAGAGAATAGTCAAAGCAATATACAAAACTTTTTATTGTTTCGCATGAGGCTAAGTATTTTAAGGTTTGCAACCCAGGTGTAAATTGTGAGTTTGTGTATGTATAGACAATAATATGCAAACCCCATGCAACTATTTTTTTTTTCTTTAATCTAAAAGTGCAACTATTTCACAAATGTATTTAGCATTGTATAGGTAACTTCAGATGTACAAAGATCGCATGTTACATATATTGCAATGCGACAAAGTCAGGACGTGGTGTTATATGTTGGTGAGATAAAGCAAAAACTTAAAATAAGGTTATATACTCACTCCACCTTTGACTCTTGAATTTATCATGTGAAAATAAAACTCATCAGGATTTTTGTCAAGCGTCCGCTTCCGCAGTAATTTGAGAGTTTCTCCCTTCTCATGATAATCGTCTGCACGTCTCTTGTAATCTTTTTTCTTTTCCAAAAGTCCCAAATGTCTTCTGGAGTTTGGTTGGTGTCTCTCTTTATGAGTTTTTTGGTTGGCTTTTGCGGCCTTTTTCCACGACGACATTGTTATGTTTTATTTTTTACATATAATAATACAAAAGTAGTAAAAGAGTATTCACACGAACAAGTTCTTAATTTATATTAATAAAAACAATTTAAAACCAGCATAATTCACAAAATAGTGCATTGTTTGTGTTAAAATTCAAACGTGTTCAGTCAATCAAAACTCGAACTGACTGACTGATTGACTAAATTATGACATTGACAGAAACACTGATTACGGACCACAGAACAGAAAACGCTTATCTTGAAATTTTATTTTTCTAATAAAATTATCGCCACGAACCGTCAAGATTTTCACTGTGCGGCAATCGTAGTTTGCGTCCCGCTCGTATGTTGCTTAATAGTTTTAATTACTATGTCGGATAGTGACATAGCGCGGTCTTTACTCTTTTTTCCCGTCTGTATCTTTAGGTAACTTAATATTTTTTTATAAATTGCAAAAAACCTTACCTACTTATATTTTAGTTGTACCGCCCCTTATGCTACGGCACTTGAGTAAGAGAATGGAAGAAGGACAATATTAAATAAAATGTGATATACTTTTGCTCCATTGTATTTTCTGGGGTAACATTTGATAACAAACTATACATAAGTAGACTCGATAACTGCTATTCTTCTTCGTTTTTGTTTATAGCAATTCAATGTACTAGAACTTTATTAATTTTACAACATGACCTTATTATATTAGGTATATTTAGAAGTATAATATATAGAAGCTCTAATGCACTGAACAGCCCCACTCCCAGGAACATATTAAATACTCCTCCCAGTGCAGCTGAAATTTATAAGATAATTATAAACATAGTGACTATTTACTCAATTGGTTGTACTTTATTAGCAGTATAAAAACCGTTCCTAGTAATATATATTTCTAAGAGAAGAAAATTGTATCAGAAATAGAAATTATTGAAAAATACAAAATCTTTGCATTGTTCACTCTTTCGCTACTTTTGAAAATGATATACATTGGCAGTGCACCAGTGGAGGATTTTAAGAGGAAGTCAGGTTAGTTAATACATCAAGGTAAATTCGCCAGAAATGCATGTACAACAATTTCCAGAAAGGACCAAAGGAAAATCTCTGAAATGGCTGGACTGATTTTGATGGGACTTTTTTTGGCAGGTAGCTGATGTAATAAGGAGTAACTTAGGCTACTTTTATTTTAGAAAAATAAAGTTAAATTCCACGCGGACGACGTTCCGGGAACAGCTAGTCATGTATAAAATGAGTACATGTTACTTACACATTAAAGTGAGCCAGGTCTCTGTTGGTATTTGTGATATTACTTTACAGTCCCGCAGTTTTACTTGAAAATGAACCACTATTGAGGTGGTAATGTTCAAACCTCGGCTGTGAACAAATTTTATTCCGTTAAAATGTTTTTTTATTGACATGGTGAGTAGTAATAGTAGGTAGGTATTTTTATAACATAGGGGACAAACGAGTTTGCGGTTAATCTGATGGTGAGGGGAATTACAGGTGAGTTACGGGCCTTTTCAGGATTTTTGATCTAATTACTATCTAATTAGTAATTACCATTATTGCCAAACATTAAAAGAATAGACAAGGTTAAAAAAGCTTATAAAGTTGACAACGAGAAATGCCTCAGCTGTTGCTGAGGTAAGCATAATCTCAATGAGTTGAGTGCTGATTTACAGTCAGCTTTCACCACTTACTGTATAGGATCTATAGAGTTATCCAGAGTCTTAATGGGGCTACCTTCCAAAGACAAGTCCGTGACGTACTCCTCGCATAGGAAAGGACACTGGCAACTTGTATTTCCTATAATATACAGATTATATTTAGCTCTTCATAGACAAATAATTTTCTATGCCACAGCTGATTTTGTTACAAACACTGTGACACGAGAATTTTATATATTAAAGATTATTAATAAAAGCAAGCTTCCTGAAAGCTCCTAAATTAAAATATATAAAAGTGAAGCTTACCGTTAATAGGCGGTGCGAAACAGTCAGTCTTGGTCAGTGGACAGGGGGGCAGAGTCCGCTCGAGCCGAGGGTCTGAGCATCCGCATTTATTTTCGAGGCACTTTAACTGAATAAAAAATATGAATCAATAAATAATATAATAATAAGGTACTTGGACAGGTCCTACCTGTTCATTGTGATAAAATTCTGGTGAATTGAAATAACAACTTATTGACGACCTCGGTGGTCTAGCGGTCAAGCACACCGCTTCACGACCGATGGTCGCGGGTTCGATTCCTCGCACGGCACAAACATTTGTATCCATGAGTATGATTGTTTGTATCGGTCTGGGTGTTTTCTATGTATAATATGTATGTATTTACAAAAAAAATATCTATGTATATGTAACAGTTATCTAGTACCCATAACACAAGCTTTAGCTAGCTTAACTTGGGTCTAGATGGCGCTGTGTGAATTGTCCTGAGATTATTATTATTATTATTATTATCAATAGAAAACAACCTCGCATTCGTCCCTCGAGTAACTATTATCTGATACGCAGTTGCCAGCAACTATGTTGTCAGCATCTGCAACTCCGTCCAGCAATAACGTGAACATTAGCTGAACTTGGTAGGCGTATCCTCGCTGAATATACATGGGTTCCACTCCCCCCTCCCCTGAATACTTTGTGATCATCTGAAATTTTTTTTTAGTCAAGTTATTATTATTCACTTGAACTTGGTTTAATTAATTTATCTATATGTACCTACTGCAGTACTAACATTAGTACTGACATTAGTGTCATGAGAGGAAACGTTATATTTGATTCAGTTAAAAAAAATACTCGACTGAAAAAAATGTAATTGAAAAAACTCGACTTATAAAATCCTAACGTCGTCAGTTCAAATCTAGACGACACTGAAAAATACCAAACTCCTCCGATACGCCTTTATAATTTTGCATATCGGGTGTTTTTTGGCCTGCTCTAATGCTATTGGCCGCAACTGGTATTTACAGCTTCGCGGGATGGTTGGGGGCGCGTGCAGATGGCACTCCAAACCAAAGGAAGACCAACTCCCGCCTGACGGATACTATCTCTCTGACCTCGGCTCAGGCCGTCGTAATTTCGATTCCCGTATGAATTGGACGGGGGAACTATCGAGGGATGTTGTCGATGCCCACACGCGTTCTGATAAGTAAAGATGCAGTTTTTGTTCTTACAATATCATGGCATAGTCATCGTTCGTACAAGAGCGAACATGCCAGATCCACTGCAGTAAAGCGGCAGCCCCATCGACATACTGACACCATAATTAATAAAGTAAGATAATTTTTACTACTTACAGCGTAGCCGTGTAGAGGCGATTCAATCCTAGAGTGATTCATCACTAAATCTAACATTCTAGTATTTTCCATGTCATCTAACAATCGGTTCGTGGTTTGATTATGTAATCTGCAATGTCAGAGAATACCATAGAAATTTAGAGCTCTCTAAACAAGGGAGAAATTAATATAACACTGACACGATATAACTTTTCTAGAACTACTTTGAAGTACACGAGAAGAGATCGATTTAATTGAATGTTTCGGATTTACTCAGAAACTCTCAAGATGCAATATTTTTTGACTACAAAAGAATCAGAGTAACCAGGAGACTGGTCGTATTTCTACACCATTTTTTTTATATCGGGTACTTCTGTTTGCCTGAGACAGTGAAGCTAAAATCATGTGAATTTTTGGCTTAGAATATAGTGATAATTTTTCAACAATATAATTTATAACGCCTCACTCGTTTGTAACACATTTAATGACCGAAATTAAAACAAATTTCCGTCCCACCACCAGACAACAAGACGTAGAGAGCGGCTCCGCTCATATATAATTGTGATCTCTGCTACTCGTACCAGCTGATTTGTATCATCTTCATGCGAGCAGCTAAGGAGTGGAACTCTCTCCCAGCATCAGTGTTTCCTACCTTTTACAACTTTGGTGTTTCAAGGCAAGAATGAATGGACCATGTTTACTGTTTAAGCTTGCGTGTAACAGATTAGACCGCAATCACTTAACATCATATGAGATTGCTCAATATTTGTAGTAAAAAAATCATCATCATCATCATCAGCCCACTACAGTCCACTGCTGGACATAGGCTTCTACCAAGGCACGCCACTGGGCACGATCTTCAGCCCTTCTCATCCAGTTACTACCCGCAACCTAGCTGCGGGGCGTCCTACACTACGTTTGCCAATTCGCGGTCTCCACTCTAGAACACGCCTACTCCAGCGAGCATCGGTTCTACGACAGATATGACCAGCTCACTGCCACTTCAACTTACAGATATGAAGAGTTATGTCGGTGACCTTAGGTCTCTGGCGAATTATTTCATTTCGGATTTTATCCCTCAGAGAAACTCCAAACATAGTTCTTCCCATAGCTCGTTGAGCGACTTTGAGTTGGTGGACCAGTCGTATCGTCAGTGTCCACGTTTCGGCACCGTAAGTCATAAAGGATGGAACGCACTGATTATATACCTTTGTTTTAAGGCTTTGTGGAAGAAACGACGAGAAGACTTGACGAAGTTTATATATAAGAAATTACTTACCTATATTCATCCATGACGCAACAAACGCCCCACCTAGTCAATTGTTTAACAAAGAGTAATTCGCATGGTACATAATGGTGTTGCCATCTGCAAACGATGAGGACATCGCTGCATTCCGAGGTGTAATTTAGTAGACCGTCAACGAGTCGTATTTCATTCCGCTCCAGGGTTTGATCCAGCAGTATCAGTTGCTCCGCCTCCACCGGTTTGTTCCATAGTATGTTGGAGATAGTGCCAGACAATCGAGTTGTGTTGTCTACCTGTTTACTAAACATTAGTCTAGATATTAATAAGTCTAGTACCCATAACAAGCTCCGCTTAGCTTGAGATTAAATGACGTAAATTGCGTAGTATTATTATTATTATATTTAGACGTGAAACAAAAACTTTGTACCTACCCCTTTTTACTAAAACTGAGTATCGGGTGATCTGATAGTTTAGCATATACTTTGCGATGATCGTGAGGGTTTCATTTATTTTGATTTATTTATTTGAAATTTCGAGACTTTTGTGCGAACTCCAAACATATGAAGTGAGAAAATTACCTATGCAGCACTATTTGACGCATTAGCTTCAAATCAAATTTCTATCAAAACACTTTGAATGGCGCATACATCGAAACATTTTTATTCCTGAATATAATTATTTGTATTAATATGGTGTTGACAAAAAAAGCGTATTTAACACGTTAAAGACCGCATGTCCACATGGATCACTCCGCAACGAAAGTTAATTTACATGTTGGGTCCGCGAGTCCACCCACCATCCTTTAATTGAAATAAATCTAGGGGTTAAATAATGTCTACATCAAATTATTGTACACTAAAAACATATTTAAAAAAGTAACAATAAAAAAAAGCCGATCCCTCTGTGAGATAAGATTTCAATGCGGTCTTCAATGTGTTATGTAATTATTTATATTAATTGTTTAGTACCTATAAGACAAGTTGTGTTACAATTAGATGGAGAAGCGTAAGTTGTTCTAAGTTTGGTGTATGCAGCACACGTCTCCGGGGCATAACTGGCCCCGGAGACGTGTGCGTTTACCCACACTCTTCCACAATTGAGTAGGACGATATAGGTCGCCCTAACAACGAGATGGGGCGTGACCTACACCATCTACATTGCAGGGCAAATAATTGAGTAGGGCGAAATAGGTCGCCTTAACAACGAGATGGGGCGTGACCTACACCATCTACATTGCAGGGCAAATAATTGAGTAGGGCGAAATAGGTCGCCCTAACAACGAGATGGGGCGTGACCTACACCATCTACATTACAGGGCAAATAATTGAGTAGGGCAAAATAAGTCGCCCTAACAACGAGATGGGGCGTGACCTACACCATCTACATTGCAGGGCAAATAATTGATTAAGGAGAAATAGGTCGCCCTAACAACGGGGCCTGACTTACGCTATCTACAGGGCAGGTTAACGCCGCAGAAGTCACGGTAGAATGATAAAGCTACCTCACGACTGAGACAATAGCGTTGATAGGTACACCTTGTAGTTTTTTTGTGGATAAAAATCCCACACACGCCCTCGTCACCCTTCTGAAGGTCTTGTCAAGATTTTTATAAACGACTAGCTGTTCACGCGACTTCGTCCGCGTGGAATTTTCTAAAATAAAAGTAGCCTAAGTAACTCCTTATTGCATCAGCTACCTGCCAATAAAAGTCCCGTCGAAATCAGTCCAGCCATTTCAAAGATTAGCCGGAACAAACAGATAGACAGACACAAAAATTGTAAGTAATGTAATTTTTGGTGTATGTAGTATATTCATATGCATGCAGTAAAAGACGGTTATTTCAATATTACAAACAGACACTCCAAATTTTTTTGTATATATAGATAAAAAAGATACCTAAGTATAACATGTAAGGATATAAAAGAGATTCTTCTTAATCGTTCCCTCACTGCTGAGGATCGCGATTTTACACTATCTTGTCGACCAGCTGTCGCCATCGGTTGCTCTCAGACGCCTGATGGATTGTTATGTATAAAAGAGATAAGTAAAGATATAAAAGATATAAGTAAGGATATAAAAGAAAAGTACAGTTGCCGCACAAATGCACCAGCCACCGCCTCCGGTGCATGGCACACGGCGATCAGCTGCGGCATGCCCGTCGAAGAGATGTGGCCATCATCAGCTCCCATGTCGAAGCGGCGGTCTTCTAACACCATCACAGTGGAGTGATGACGGAAACGATCCCAGAATGTCGCGCACAGGAATCCTGCACACACTGCACCGGCGAAGCAAGCTAATATCCAGCCTATACTGAATCAACAAAATTAACCAATTAAAACTGTTGGTAATTACAAACTGTTTCAAATTAAAAATGTAAAGTTACAACTAAATTATTGAAAAAATCAACATCCACTCAAAGGTTGCCTGAAAGAAATCCCTCTTTTGGGATAAGTTCGCCATTGTACGCATTTACTTTCTAAGTTATATGTATCCTATAAATAATATGTATAAAGAATTACAAACAATCAAACTCAAATTTCTTGCTCGTTCTTCTTGTGATGAGCTTTCAGAATGAGCGGTAGATAAAAGTGATGACTATTCAAAAGTGCTTCAATGTAAGTTTATTTGAATAAATGATTTTCTATTCTATTTTACTATTCTCAATTCACTAATTTTAACAAGATCATGTGGAGGAAAGGCTTGTTAGTAATGTAGATGGATTGTTTGTTACCATTGCTCAGTTGCCATTTGACGGCCTCGGTAGTCTAGTGCTTACACACCGCATCTCATCCGATGGTCGCGGATTAGATTCCTCGCACGGTACAAATGCATAACGTAAAATCAAATGAATACTATTCAAGAGTATGATTATTTGTATCGGTCTGGATGTTTTCTTTATTATGTATCCATTTACAAAAATATATCTACCCAGCGTCTAGCGCTTCAGCACACCGCTTTACTTCTGATAGCCGCAGGTTGGATTCCTCTAAAAAAATATCTAACTATTTATATCAGTAGTCTAGTTACTCACAACACAATCTCTACGTAGCGTGGGACTAGATGGCACTGTACGTTATATAGTATTATTATTTCCGTCTGGAATCTTTACTCTTTAGAATCGAACCTGCTATATCTACTTACCGATCCTGGTAATACTGGGAGCGTAAATACTTGAAGCCGTGGAGTGTGGTAGTGTCCAAGTAACGTTTGATGACTCGACGAGGTATGGACGGTCTCATGATGAAATCAGTGCAGTTTACAAAATTTTAATCTTCACATGAATTATTATAAGAATATTTTATGTAATTAACATACGTGTATTGAGCTATGTATTATATTATAATGAAGTCCGCGAGCTAGAAGCTTTTGTCGTCAATTATTTCCGCTCGGTTGAAAACCTTCTGGTTTATATGATTGATTAAAAATCATTAGGTAATGAGTATCCCATCAAATTACAGCAGGCCGACGGTTTGATGCCTGGTATAGACCATTTTACATGTGCAATTGGGAATACAATTTGCTTCGAACTGTAACATTCAATCATTTCAGTTGCCGATTGCGGATAGAAGTCAATTGAATATTTTGTAACTTTTTCTGTTAAATGATTCTAACATTATAGGATTTTTTTTTAATTGTTTTAAAATAAGAAAGCACACACGTTATAAAGCCTAGCCTCTACTGGGTACCTACTCTAACAATCTTCGCAACTGTTATGTCAAAGTGTTCTTGCATTATAGAAAAAAAAAAAATTATCTGAAAAATTTGAATTTCGATTTATAAAACTTTTTTCAATTGTTAATAATTAGCGATTGCACATACGTTCTAAGTCCTATTATATAGATTACAGGGTACCTACTCTAACAATATGAATACAATTCTGTACCTACATAGCTGGACCTCGTGTTCCACTCACTGTAATATTCCATTTGATACAAGCACATATAAGGGTGCGAGCACACTAATGATTGACGCCCTCGCTGGTCTAACAGTTTAGTACACCGCTTTACTTCCGTCGGTCGCTGGTTCGATTCCTAGTATGGTACAAGCATTTGTATTCATGAGTTCGATTTTTACTATCGGTCTGTATGTTTTCTATGTATATTATTTATGCATTTAAAATAATGAATTTATTTATATCGGTTGTCTAGTACCCATAACACAAACTAATACCACAGATAACATAATATTACATACTAATACGTTAGGACTAGATGGCACTGTGTGAATTGTCTTGAGATAAATTCAAATTAACAAATCACTTATTCGTGTAGGACATTTTAGCCGCTTATGAACGTCAATTTTCTTTATATTATATTTATTTCCCCTAACATCCAGTTCAATATACAGATTCAATCGAGAAGAACTGGCAAGAAACTCAATTGAATTTATTATATTTTTTTAAAGCCAATTTACAATTTTTATTTATATAGGTGTCTATGTCTATGTAACATTAAATGAAAATCCCGTGCATGAACAACTATTGCCATGCACGCTCGTCATTCAAGTAATCGTTTAGTGAGTAAAAGGCTTTGCTCTAGATATTATTAATATACATATAGGTATAGAGAATAATTTTTAGTTTTAAACTCTTAAAAATGTATTCAGACTACAGTGCTATAAAGTATGTACATGGACGTACACCCTAATAAAGTGTTTTATGATAACATGTCCTATGCAATTTTAGATAAAAATCAGGTGTATGCATATTATGGTGGATAGGGTCACCCCACAGTGCCCCACACTCATACCTATTTAATGACACCATTTAAACACTATCCACTTAATACCTGTTAATTGCTCATATTTTATGTGTTGATCGATCTAAATTCATAGACATTTGTTTCTCATTTGGGCGAAATGTGTTATTAATCTATGCCCAAAATTAACCTATTTATTTATTTAAACTCTATTGTATTTTTTCGAATTATTCTAATGCTGCCGGGGGAAAGGAGATTGTTAGTAATGTGGACTGATGATCTTATTGCTAGCAATGTACCATGTTAGGTTGTCCTCCACGCGGTTCCCCTGATAACCATCGTGATAAATTCTTAGTAAATTTATCACGATGGGCTAACTGACCTGACATGTTATCATCCTCCACTGGTGCCCCGCCAGCAAAACGCTAGCAGGCGGGTGCACCATTCCATTATTATAGCGACGACCTCGGTGGTATAGCGGTCTAGCACACCGCTTTACGTCCGATGATCGCGGGTTCGATTCCTCGCACGGCACAAACATTTGTATTCATGAGTATGATTGTTTGTATCGGTCTGGGTGTTTTCCATGTATAATATGTATGTATTTACGAAAAAAAAATATCTATGTACTTGTATCAGTTATCTAGTACCCATAACACAAGCTTTAGGTAGCTTAACGTGGGTCTAGATGGCGCTGTGTGAATTGTCCTCAGATTATTATTATTATATATTAAAAAAATATAATAATGGAATTCTGTTTGCCTTTTCTTCTTCAACGGATAGGGGGCGTATATCGTATCAGTTTATAAATACCATTGCTGTAAGATGATACCAGGTTATAGTTGTGGCAAAAAGCCTCTGTTCTTACCTCCCTATCTACGCATCTATAATTCATAATCTAATATATAAAAGTCTCGTGACAAAGTTCCATTTATACTCCTCCGAAACGGCTTGACCGATTTTGATGAAATTTTCTTAAAAAATCTTTAGTAGCTCTGATAATTAGTTTATAACTAACTTTTGTACCCAAAAGTATTAAGGGTGGTTCACTCAAAAAAAATATTTCATTTTGTCGACAATTTTTTTTATTTTTTTATTATTAGGCATTAAAAATACAAACATCCGTAAAACTTCACCCTTCTACCACCAACCCCTAGTTTTTAATTGCGTATTCAATTTATATGGCAAAACAACGTTTGTACCACAGATAATAAAACGTACAGACGAATGTTCGTATTTTTAATGTCGTAATATCTTAACCCCATAAGCAAAAATGAACCATATCCATTACATTTACATTCACAGCAATGCAGATTATTATTTTGCGATCAAATTTGTAGAAATGAAACACAAATTGAATTTATTAAATGCATTTATTTATACATAACTACTGTTTTTACTAATTTTGGTATTCAGTACATAGATAGCATTTAAAATTAATCCTTAACATTCATATTATGAAAGCTGATAATCAATTGCAATTATAATATGTTATTAAATTTTTTAACGTCAATTGTTTAAAAACTTATATATAAATAGTTGAAATAAAATTTGTACAATCATTTGCAGAGAGATCATACAGGTCCATGTCATGTCAATAGGTATATAAATATAATTTCGATAGTAGTATACATTTCATCTTATATGTTAAACAATATAAAAATCATGCAAAACAGTATATAAAAATTTCATAAATACGATATGGTGTCACACTTGAATTCGCATGTTCGCCTAAAAGTGGCGAATTTTTACACAAATATTTGGTGTATATATTTGCAAATGGTATACACGTGTCACATCATTTAGGTATATATATTATACCAAACTACAAGTTAGAGATAAATATTTATTACCAACTAAACAACATTAAAAACAAAATGGCAATCAGATCAATTTTGAGCCAAAATAAATTTACGTTCTATATTAAACTTTCATAATATCTATTTTTTTAAGCGATTGTTTCTTATTCTAAAACAATATGTACTACGCAATATATTGTGCGACAGGCAACAGAGCAAACTACGCTAATGGTAAATATAATAAATGCTTCTTTATATTGGTAACTGGGTTTTTTGATGTGGTCAGCACATGACCACTAATGCAATCAGGTCGAAATGTCGCGAGAGGTAAATACCTTTATTTACCATAAAATTAATCGTATTAAGACCCGGTTAACTACATAAATAAAGTTTATTAAACAGGGTAGTTTAAATAACTAAATTCTTATTTAACATGTCGTTAAATCTTATATTAAATCATAGGTTTTTATACCATAAAAATTCGTAATGAATGTATGTAACTTGAAACCATATATAAGATAATATCTCATATTTAAAACAGTTGAATGCGAAAGTGAATATATTATGCACACTTAACACTTTTGACGACCTCGGTGGTCTAGTGGTTTAGCACACCACCTTACATCCGATGGTCGGGGGTCGATTCCTCGCACGGCACAAACATTTGTTTTCCTGAATATGACTGTTTGTATCGGTTTGGGTATTTTCTATGTATAATATGTATGTATTTACAAAAAAAAAACAAAAAATATCTATGTATATGTATCAGTTATCTAGTACTCATTACACAAGCTTTAGCTAGCTTAACTTGGATCTAGATGGCGCTGTGTGAATTGTCCTGAGATTATTACATTACTTAATACAACAATGGATTAAGTGATTTTTTTTGGAATTAGACTTTAATGTCACAGTATTAGAGCAGATTTTCTAAATATTCTTAATTTTGAGTAAATTCAGTATTGTATTACATGCAGGTACTGGGAATACACAGGCAACTTTTTTATTAGTTTCAAGAGGAGTGTCAAGAGTCTCTGGAACTGTAATAATATAATAGTTGTGTTGAAGGATAGAAACCAATCGTAATTGATCTCACTGCCTGTCCTGTAAAGGATCTGGCGTGAAGATAGATATGAATCGATATTACTTGGTAATAAATAAAAAAAGGTAAAAATTAATAAGTACATCTTAACTAATATAAAATAAATGCGAAAATTTGGTAGCATCTTTGCTATATTTTGACACTTTAAAAGTAAAAAATAGATTTTACCTAGTAGTTTTAACAGAAAGCCACTGGTTATTTTTTAGTCCAGGAAAATTGTGGTCACGATGCCAGTATCATAATATTGGACATAACGCTTTATTTATTCTATTCTTTTTTTAACAGGTCCGTAAATAAGCTGACGACCTATCTATACGCACGGACAAAGGACGGCGTTTTTTTTATTTTTATAGCATAACAAACAACATTACTGCATACCTGATGATATGTGATTACCGTCCTATCACGTGAAGTCCATCACGCGTTGCATTCCGGAGTCCTAAGATATCATGCCTCCATATAAACAAATGAATATTTATTAGTATATTACGATATAAGTGCGTTATGGTGGTTATAACACACGAGGCGGTATTTCAGGCCGAGCCGTTGTCGAGGGCGTAATAGAGCCGAGTGTGTTAAATACGCACGTATATCGTACGATGTTTTTATTATTTATTACTTATTCTATATACAACAATAGATAAGTATCAATTACATTGTATATTTATAAAAAGTCAATAAATATATTTCATTTAGAAAAATATACAAAAAAATGTCAAATATATAAATATAATTAGAAAATAAAAACAATTTATTATGCATTAAGAATTAAAGCTTAAGATTACATCATAGTATTCCGTTTGTAAATTCATTTTTTACTTTTAAAATATTCTCATCGCGGCAAGTACATCTAAAAATAAACACACCATAATCATTATTTATATGTAAAATTAGAAATATCCAGAATCTTTCCTCGTTTTATTCACTTTTATTTTGTGGTATGGTAAATAATATTTTATTTACCATCTACACGGTGCTCTAGAGTTTACAGAGTTTATTAGAGAGATCGTGACAGTTGAAACACTGCCGAAAATTGGGAACGCAATAAAATAAATAAAAGGTGGTAAGATCCAGTGATTTTTGCTAATTTTGCTTATATGTAATGACCGAGTCAATTTTATAAAAGTTTTATAATCATAATTGTAGTTTAAACTCAATATAAACTTAAACATCGTATCATTTTAATTATTAAACTGATTTATTCCTCTACCTTGCAAATTGTGCTCAAAGATAAATGGAAAAAGGACATAACAAAACCATTAGTAATAGCTAGGAGAAGGATATAACTACTTCATGAAGATTCTTAAACTACATCGATAATTTTACCTCATAAGTTTTTCATATACAGCAAAGAATTGACATCAATCGGATTTTAGAAAGTCCTAAAAATAATTCTTCTATCAAAGTATCCACTTCCAGAACCCTGTTCCCAAAGAGCTTCAACCAGCATTTAGATATTAGTTAACATCAGCTGTGCCCACGGTTATATCCGCATGTATAGTATGTTATTATTCTGATGTATAAGCTATATTACTGTATAGTTTCATCAAAATCCGTTAAGTAATTTTTGCGTGAAAGAGTAACAAACATCCATCCAATATAACATATATACTACACACTAGGCTGTTGCGTTATACGCTAAATATAGTTCTAGAATATGACACTAACTTAGAACTAGATGTTAGAACCTACCATGGGTAGTGGCACTAGACTCATTGCCTTACTATTCTTATCAATTATGCTTACATAAATAGACACCGATTGTTATAATTATGTATAATTGAATAATACGTAGATGTTCAAGACTCGACGTAAGATATTATAGTGGTATTAAATGCTAGCAACACGTTAGTTGGTGGCACTAGGGACTAACAACGCGTTAGTTGGTGGCACTACAGATTATGCACGCCCTAGTTGATGGCACTAGAGACTAGCCATGCGTTAGTTGGTGACACTGAGGGTAGCCACGAGCTAGTTGATGACGTTAGGGATTAGCTACACACTAAGTGATAGTACTAGAGGCTAGCCACGCATTAGTAGGTGGTACTAGAGACTATCCATGCTTTAGTTGGTGGAACTAGAGACTAGCGTCACGTTACTAAGACACATGAGTCACTAGTGTCACGTTACTTAGATACTAGAGGCTAGCGTCGCGTAACTTAGTGGCACTTAGAGGGAACCGACTCATTAGTTGGTGGAACTAGAGACTAGCAACGCATCAGTCGGTGGGACAAGAGGCTAAATGGTAGCTAGGGTGTTGTCGTTGTCCGTAGCGAGCGTAATGGGCACGTAGTCGCCTAGGTGGACTGCGAGCGGCGCGCCGGACACACGTCGAGCAGACAGAAGTGAGCGCGGCACACGGGGCACGTGCAGCGACCGCCCAGCCAGCCATCGGGCGGGCCCGTAGCACGAGTGGCCCACCACCGCGCCATGCACGACGCGCACCACAGCACCCTGCCGTCACTCACCACACTTATGCCACACTCCACACTTTTTGGCGTTATGTAGGTATATTTATCAAATTGACTTAGCTTCTAATACTACTTGACGAACAAGTTTGTGGCTGCTAAAATATGTTGGTGAAGACCCAGGAGAGATCCAAAATACCTACACTACAAGAGAAATGTTTTTTACTATAAAACTCACATACACACAAACATTACAACCCTCCCAAACACATATTGTGTAAATAAATGGGAATAACTGACCTGCAGTTGCTTTTACTGTACATTAACCACAGAGATCTAAGGGCTAATATTTAAGAGTTCTCATTCTTCACTAGTGAGAAGAATGTTTGATACTGAAGCTTTTTTTTTAGCACAGGAGACAAACGAGCTTGGTAAGTGATTACCACCGCCCATGGCACCCGCAACACCAGGGGAATTGCCAGTACATTGCTGGCCTTTGCAATAAATTCTTTTCTTGAAGGTTTCAATGGTATTTCCGAACCGATACGATATATCGGTTCGGAAATACCATTACTAGGTGATTCCACAATGTGGTTGTACGCGGCAAAAAGTTTCTTAGAAAATCGTACTGTGGAGGACCGCCATTCATCTAGATGATCAGGATGGTATTTTAGTTTCTGGCAGGTGATGCGGTGGTGAAACTCAGCAGCTGGTACTAATCCGAGCTCATGTTACAAACTTCCCAAACATATATTGTGAATTAATTGTAATTTTTTTTTTTTTTATTTTTAACATTAACATTAAGTAGTATGTTTGTTGGGTTATCTCGTCGTGACAGGCTCGGTATGTGTTACACACATCCTACTTTACTTCATATATGCACTGCTTATTTGACAAGGTCCTGCGGCATTTTGCGTTTTAGTTAGTTAATTGTAAATAAATAGAAACGGGTTAGTACCTGCAGTTGCATTGCTGACACTGCTGTGGACCGTTCCCGGCCTGCGGTGGTGGTGAGAAGCAGCGGCGTGTGATCTTCACATCCGCTGGATTCTGCATGCAACCGATGCAGAGTTCCAGCTCCTAGACAAACAAGTTATATCATTTTAATAAGGCACACAGTTGTTCCTGTCAGTTCTTCTCATCTCGAAATCATTCCGAACTGACGGTAGATTTGACATGTCATAAGAATCTGTAATAAACCTACATGAATAAAGACATTTTAATTTTAATTTGACACAGTCTAAAAGACATAGACAGACATTTGCCAGACTTAATAGCTATTTTTTTATTTCATGGGTTATTCGGCTCCCCAAAATTATGGGCGAGTGCAGTGCTGGCTGGCTCATCCGTCATACTCGTGAACGAGTGCTGCTTGTAGGGAGTTTTTTTTATAACACAGGGGACAAAGGAGCATGCGGCTCACCTGATGGTAAGTGATTACCGTCGCCCATGAGCACCCGCAACACCAGGGGAATTGCAAGTACGTTGTCGGCCTTTTAAAAAGGAATAAGCTCTTTTCTTGAAGGTTTCAATATCGTATTGGTTCGGAAATACCATTGCTGGAAGGTGATTCCACAATGAGGTTGTGCGAGGCAAAAAGTTTCTAGAAAACCGCACTGTGGTATTTCAGTTTCTGGCGGTGGTACGGTGGTGAAACTCAGCAGCTGGTATTAATCCAAACAATTCCTCAGAACACTCCGCGTGATATATGCGGTAGAAAATGCACAGAGAGACTGGTCTGCTCTAATCGCTACCACTGATTCACTCTTATTTAGTTCTCAACCAGTTGATTGTACATTTAATATTTTCTCTATTTGAGTATTTAATTGAATTAATGCTAGTCTAATTCAATAAAATACTCAAATAGTCAGTAATACACTTCAATTTAAAAATGTAACAACAAAATTATTTAAAAGAGCAACACGCAAGTTTCTTGCTCATTCTTCTTGTGATGTGACAGCTTTCCGAATGAGCGGTAGATTGAAAAAAAAAATGTGATTACTAATCAAAAGTGCTTCAATATAAATTTATTTGAATAAGTTATTTACTATTCTATTTTATAATCTATACATCTATACATATAACTAAAATTGAAGTGTCTGTTTGTAATATTGAAATAACCGTTTTTTACTACATACATACGGTACATACACCAAAATATTTTTTTTTACAATTTTTGTCTGTCTGTCTGTTTGTTCCGGCTAATCTCTGAAATGGCTGGACCGATTTTGATGGGACTTTTTTTGGCAGGTAGCTGATGTAATAAGGAGTAACTTAGGCTACTTTTATTTTAGAAAAATAAAGTTAAATTCCACGCGGACGAAGTCGCGTGTACATTTAATATAATATATAATATGAGAGATTTACCTGGTCAACAAAGTATATAGGATTCTGTTCAATGTTAAGTTTAAATACAGCGATAAACCTCTCGATGAGGGTTGGCAGCAGGGAAATGTGCTCCGGTACACGCACGGGGTTCGCCAGCCGCGGCTGAAGGTCCCTCAGGGCTATCGTCGAGATCCGGAAGGTGAACCGCTCCAAGTCCTCGTCAGTGGGTATCACCACGATGTTCACATATTGGACCTCATCTTCTCCTGTTTGCGTCAGGTTGTGACTGTCAGTCTGGTGAAGAAATTGAAGAATTGTTATGGTCTTGGTGGTTTAGCGGTTTCTCCGGTACTGTGCTGTATGTGTGTTTGTTCTGGCTAATCTCTGAAATGGCTGGACCGATTTTGACGGGATTTTTTTTAGCAGGTAGCTGATGTAATAAGGAGTAACTTAGGCTACTTTTATTTTAGAAAAATACAGTTAATAACTCTGGACAATTAATACAGCGCCATCTAGTCCCATGGTAAGCTGACATTACTTTATGGCTACTATAATAGTTTGTTGTTTTACGCGTTTTGACGGCCTCAGTGGTCAAGCAGTTTAGCATACTGCTTAGCACACTACTCCAATGATCGCGGGTTCGATTCGTCACCTAGTGTAAACATTTGTATTCATGAGCATGATTGTTTATATTAGTCTGTGTGTTTTCTATGTATATTATGTAAGTATTCACAAAAATTCTTATTCTATTTATATCAGTACCCACAATACAAGTTCTGCTTACCATGGGACTAGATGGCGCTGTGTTAATTGTTCAGGGTTATTTATTTATTCTACTCTATACGTAGATACTCACAGCAGTGGCCACTAGAGAGCACTCACTCTGTCCTATAATGTTCAGTTTGTACTGGGTAACTTTTATCAGCCAGTGCTCTGTGGCTACAATCTTGCTTGTAGCTGTCAATGGTACAGTCACCTTGTCCACTCTGAAAAGTTAATATATTATCAATTTTAATATATAATATGTAAGCAAAAACATGAATCAAAATTGCTGGCAGTTATATATAGTTTAAAATATAGAACTCTGTAGTAGATCTACATGAATAAAGATATTGTGCATACACTTTTAATATTTCTGTTAACACTGGAGACACTTCCATTAGTACCTCTCCAGATAACATAAATTTAAGTTCAGTATAAAATCAGTCTGCCTTTTGACTCCACCTTGAATGTGTGCGTTACTATTATGCCATGTAGTACACTACCAAATATACTTACTAATCTATACATAAATAAAATGGGAGTGTCTGTTTGTAATATTGAAATAACCGTTTTTTATTACATGCATATGAATATAAATACGGTACTTACACCAAAATTTGTCTTTCTGTCTATTTGTTCCGGCTAATCTCTGAAATGGCTGGACCGATTTTGACAGGACTTTTTTTGCAGGTAGGTGATGTAATAACGAGTAACTTAGCCTACTTTTATTTTAGAAAAATAAAATTAACAACCACACGGACGAAGTCGCGGGTACAGCTAGTACTTAATAAAAGTGATTCTTACTCTCTAAACTCAGTATTGAGAAGATTCGCCACCACCCTCCAATCTTGGCCAGGCTGAACATAAGGCAACAGTGGCTTCACAGCTGGATGTTTCGAGCTGCCGTACTCCCACCAGCACAGCATCCTGTAGATCATCATCAGGGGCACCAGAGATGACCCTGCCAATGCTGACACCAGCCACTCATCTATATGACCACCACACCACATCGTCAACACGTATCCCATTGGTAACATTGTATGTATAAATGCAGTTATGGTAATCCTCTTCATGTGATAACCCACAAAGTTCATGTTTTCCGAACCCAAGTAATTCTCAAACAGCTGAGGGATCGTGAACCCAGCAGATACGAACTCGGTGGGTGGATATACCACGCAAATTGAGAATAATAAATAAAAAAGCGTCAATAAAACGTCCATGATTGCAAAATATTACTCTGGTAGTTTCGTATAAAATATAAATAAAATAAACGTTTATATAGAACTAATCAATGAAGTATTTATTTTTATTTTCATCAAATACAGACTAATTAATAGTTTAAGATACAAAACGAAAATCGGTACTCTCCGATTTGACAAATTGATTGACACCACAGTACATAACACTACATTGCATACAATTTTTTTTGTAACTGAAACAAGTATGTAAATGCGGAAAAAATCTTCAAATTGAACATATTCCTTGTATAACTTAATAATTGGTATCCCAGTTTCGTACAAAACATACGCGACGCATTATTTTTAATGTAATTATTTTCAAAAATCCGTTGTAATATTATAAATGCGAAAGTAAATCTGTCTGTCTGTCCATCTGCCTGTCTCTCACGCTTTCAAATCAAAACTACTGAACCGATTGTAATGAAATTTGGTACGTATAGTAAATTGTCTAAACTACTCTAAATATTGAGAAAGGACATATGATACTTGTTAATTCCAAAAAAGGGTTATAAAAGGTTAAAAGTTTTATACAAATAGATATGTCATTCAAAATTTATAAAAATCAGTATTTTTTTTAAGCTAGAACAATTTTCTTTGGCCTTTTTGTGTTGAATCATTAAATATGAATAAGAATATCTAAGGTTTCACGTTTTATTCATTTCACGTGGGTGAATTCGCAGGCACAGCTAGTATAGCTGCCGTCAATCTATAAAACATAAGTATAATCTGTAAAATACATTCTAATACTGACAGTACCGACTGACTATGAGTTGTCTTGTTACTGTCACTTTTGACTGACATTATATGTATATTGTATGTCCAATATGTACACGTATCATTACCGATTGAAGCCGACTTATAATAATTACTAATTTACTACAGTTTTACAACAAATATTGAATGTTTTATATTTCGTGATATATTCTGATATAATAACTATATAGTGTTTTATATTGTGTATCACGGCTTCAATAAAATAAAATTCAGGTATGTTATCAACTTCTTACTGTCACTAATCTTCTAACTGCTGGATCAAATTTTATTAATTTGTATGTACAATATTTACTTAATTGATTTGATATTATTTATGGACTTAAAATATAATTATTTGATTTTTCTAGTACATAAGGACGTCCATCTCTGTTTATGTACTGAAACTATGGAGGCACTGCAATGTTTTGTAAATCTGTAATATCACAATGTACTCTTCCTAATGTCTGTCTAATTAAAACTATACTGGTTATAACAGTTAAAACTACAATATTGTCTTTCAGATTATTTTGCAACCCGTGTTGCTGTTTAAATATCTTGCATGGTGTATAAGTAGCAGTGAAGTTACTGGTTATGTTCACATAATCCTAGTATCTACCGTGAAACATCTATAGAGATGCCTGGGGTACTGAAAGAATGAGAGTAGAGCAATTTCTATGTTGATTGTCGCATACCTAATCTTTGTTAATATGTATTTACTTAGAACAACATTTATTCAAAAGAGGACTAAACAAGTTTCTTTCTCATTATTCTTTTGATGAATCTGCATTATGAATGAGTGGTAGAATCATTGAAGTATTAGAATAGTAGAATCAATGTACAGTGTAATAAAAGTTAAATTACACTATTTGCTTCCTATTTGAATTTAAAAATGAATCTGTAATTTTTTTTTTGTTTAATCGAATTAGGTGTTATTTTGCAGAAGTCCATTTCACTACTCGATAGTTGACTCATTGACTCAGTCGCGGTTTGGTCGCCGATGAGTCAACACTAGGCTTCCGAGCTGTATCCGAACTCTAATTAACTCCTGATGATGCCTCGTTCAGAGGCGAAACATGTGTCGCAATATGGGTGTAAATTCAATAATGGTCGGAATTTGATCACCACTGGAGAAGGTCGTAGCTTATTTGTATAATAGTGTGTTGGTTGCTGTATAACTCGAGGGTGTTTTCTTGTCCTTGTGTAGGCTGTGTCGCACCAGTGCAGGATCATGGTTTGTTTTGATTTTTAAATGATTTTGTTGCATGTCAGCATGGCGAGTGTGGAGCAACCATGCTACACTCTGATCAACTTCCCCACAGACACGGAGCCACATAATGAGATGCAATTGAAACTTGATCTAGGTATGTATGTTTGATACCGAAATTATAGATATATCACAATATATTACTACAGTTATTAATATGTGGTTTTTATAATTATCTAAATGTATAATAAAAATGTGCAAAAATCACCATCGCCCAACAGTAGATTCCTAAATAAGAACTGAAATGAACTTTAAAGTTATAGTTTATAAGTTTAATAGTACCGAAATTTTTTTTTTTAATATTTGTGATCAGGAGTCCATATTTAATAGTAAATCATAATCAAAGCCTATTGCTCACAAGTGTGCATGGCAATAATTGTTCATGTACAAGATTTTCATTTAATGATAGACATAGACACCTATGTAATCATCCCACCCTCAGAACCTCAGCTAACTTTCACTAGGCTTCATAATACAACTATCTTAATCATTTTATAAGTTTTAAGGCAAGAGGAAATGATTGATGAAATGACTCTGGCTCATTGACTATAATTACCAAGTTTCTGGCCCATATTTCTATCCATAAAATATAAATGAATGACTATAGATAAAGTTTATTTGAATAAAGAATATTATTATATTATTTAGTCTTTTAATTAGAAAGTATAAAATGCAAGATGTGCAAAAATTGAAGGAATAATAAATTTAATTCAGTTTCTGTGAATGAAAATTAAAACTAGCCTAGGAACAACTAACTAACCTAGGAAAACTATTGAAAATTCAAATAATTGTTGTATTTGAATGTTTAATAGATTCCAAATTTATACATAAGCATTTTACGTCATACGACTCTTATTATTCTTCCAGAAAAAGGTGATACAAAGAAGAAAATAGAAGCTCTAAAGAAGACAATAGGTATCATTCTCTCGGGTGAGAAGATCCCTGGGCTTTTAATGATCATCATTAGGTTTGTGCTGCCACTGCAGGATCATACCATCAAGAAGTTGCTCCTCATATTTTGGGAGATTGTACCCAAAACAACTCCAGATGGCAAGCTGATGCAGGAGATGATTCTTGTGTGTGATGCATACAGGAAGGTGGGTGTTTAATTATAATTTGAAATCTATAAATATGTTAAGCTCTGTAAAGTTTCAACAAAACCCGTACTCGCAAAATTTCGCATTTATAATATTAATAAGATAATAATATAATTAATAAGAAATATAATGTATATATTGTCCAAAGGACAATATATACATTATTTAGTCCCAAGCTAAGCAGAGCTTGTATTATGGGTGCTAGAAAACTGATATAAATACATAAACACATTTTTTTATAAAAACATACTAATAAATACAAATTGTTGTACCATGCGAGGATGGAACCAGCAACCAGCGGAAATAAGGCGTGAGCTAATCGGCTAGATCACAGCGATCGTCAAAATTAAATTTTGAATTATTTTTAGAGATGAGAAATAACAATTTTTATATGAAAGGAGAGGAACTCTTTTCATAAAAAAATTTTTGCAACAGATAGCAAGATATTGCAAGACTGTAGATTATTATTTATTCTGAGTAAGTCGCCGGGTACCTTGATTTATAAGATGCTAAAATAGGAGTGAGATCTGTGACTACTATAATAGTTATAGTTTTCATACTTTTTTTATTTGTATAACACTAGATGTGCTCTAATTTCTCCCTATGGAATAGCCTATGTGTTATTCTGATATATAAACTATATTATTGTAAAATTTCGTTAAAATCTACTGTAGTATTTGCATGAAAGAGTAACAAACATCCATCAATCTATACTCATGCATTTCCATGTTTATAATTTTAGTAAGATAAATTCTTAACTTCTATCAGTAATATATTACATCTTCGTAGGATCTTCAACACCCTAATGAGTTCATCCGTGGCTCCACCCTCCGCTTCTTGTGTAAACTGAAGGAGCCCGAGTTGCTGGAACCTCTGATGCCAGCCATCAGAGCCTGCCTGGAACACAGGCACTCCTATGTCAGGAGGAATGCTGTACTTGCCATTTTCACTATATACCGGTAAGTCATTTTCAATGAGAGTATAAAATTTGAAATTACTTCTTGTACAGTAGTAGCAAATCAGCTGTGAGCAGTATAAACCTCAGAGTAGAGTCACAGGTGCCATCCTCAACAACTACTGGTTGGTGTCAAACATCCAGTGTGGACATATGCTATGAAACAATAGGGTGTGGCTTCACACTTGCACATAGAAATTTTTCAACACTTACAAAGCAAAGCAGTAATCACCAAAATTAGAGCTCTCTGCTTCGTAATGTCTACAGAAATACAAACAAATCTAGAAATGTCATCTGTCAAAGAAGAGATACAGAAAGCCCGTGCAAGATATAAAGGCCGATAAGGCCATAAGAACCAGCCAGCTTTGAATATACTGGATACAAATAACTGTCCATCTAGATTCTAGACTTAGAAGGCCTCTTCTAGCCAACTGTTTCAGATAAACAAATAAATGAGATGGCACCTCACTGAATGTACTTAATCTCTCCTAATACCTACCACAGAATGTTATTATAGCTGGAAGGGCTCATTCCAGATAGAAATTAAATAAAAAAATGTATTAAGGTTTAATTTGTCTATATAAATGACAGGATTGAATTGTATAATATTTTCTTTTTCCACTAGGAACTTTGAGTTCCTGATCCCGGATGCACCAGAGCTCGTTGCCAAGTTTTTGGAAGGTGAACAGGATATGTCATGCAAGAGGAATGCCTTCCTGATGCTTCTCCACGCAGACCAGGAGAGAGCACTCTCCTATCTCGCTTCCAGACTCGACAATGTTCATGGCTTTGGAGATATTCTTCAGTTGGTTATTGTAGAGTTGATTTATAAGGTACATAAATTTTGTTTATATTATCTGTTTACATGTTATTTATTATTTTTAATAGTTTTCTGTAATATGGCATATTTTACATGACTTTGAAAGAAAGTAAGAAAATATGTTTATTCAAGTCACATAAAACAAAAGACAAATAAAAAAATCTAACAAAATTGAATCATTAATGTATGGTATTTAATAGGTCTTTGAGTAGAGGTAACTAATATTCCGTGATGAGGTGGTATGCTGCTAGGATACCTTCATACTATAAATATAAACATAAATGTATATCATCAAAAATATATCATAAAATAAAAAAAAATCAATATATCTGATTATAGCCATAAGGCTAATGGCAGATGGAAAGAGAAAAGGAAAAAAAAAAAGTATATCATCATCATCATCATCTGCTTCTTCTATATCCCATTTATTTGTGATCGGCATAATATGTTTTTCTCTTCCATTCATCCCTGTTCGCAGTCAACTCGTTATTTACTCCATTCTTACCATATCATCTTTCACAGTCCATACATCTTTTCGGTCTTCCTCTCCCCTTATAACCATCTATATTCATAATATATGAACCACAACTTTCCTTAAGATAACATCTTCATTCCTACGCATTACATGCCCATACCACGACAGACGATTACTGTTCAAAATCTACCCTGTACCATCGTAAGCACGGATTATTATATTAGAGTCCGTTAGAAGCCCAAGAAATCCGCAGAACCATACAGGTACGAGACAGACGTTTCCAAATATTTTTCCCTATATATATATACATAGTACTTTCCCTAACATTTTGGTAGCAGAGAGTAATTTCCCTAACAATTACTCTAACCTCTCCGACACCGGCGCCAATTTAAACATAAATTTATATATGTAAAAATGAGTGCAAATGTCCTCAAAATAGCGCGTAAAAGTCCGCGTTCTGTCATTTAATAGATTTGTAACAAGGTAATTAATATTTTCTGTATGTTTAACTTCTAGGTGTGCCACGCGAACCCATCAGAACGATCGCGGTTCATTCGGACTGTATATGGGTTACTCAACTCGACCAGCCCTGCAGTTCGGTACGAGGCTGCAGGCACTCTGGTCACACTCTCTAGTGCTCCTGCCGCTCTTAAGGTGAGTTTAATCTTATTATCCTCATCTCAGCATATAACACTAGCCGCTGGATGTAAGTCTTGTCCAATGATATAGTGCAATTGTCTGGTTTCGCAGTCAGGGATGTATGGGTGTATGTATGTATAAACTTTAATGTTTGTATCTTTAAATCACTAAATCAAACATTTTAGTGATAGTCAAATCTTAAATATGCAAAGTTGAACAGTGTTTCTGTAAAAGAACAACAAATAAGTATCCTGCTCTTTCTTGTTGTACTGCATATGTGTGATAGATTAAAAAAATAATACTTGCATGTATTAAGTTTATTTGAATAAAGATTATTTCTATTGTAGTTTTTCAGGTAATGTAAAGGATATTTTAATTACTTTGAATTAGGCCCTATTAATTATTACTATTATAAATTACTTGCGGCCTTATTACAAAAAGATAAACCTGGTTTAGCACTAGTAATAAACCATTCACCAATGTATTCCTTATTACAAAATGAAGTTTATCTCTAAATCGTGATTCGTCTATGGTCTAAAGTTAGACCTGCGATGTCCCTAGTTTAACAGTGGTCTAAATGCAAAAAATAAAACTCCATTTTAAAAATTGTATTTTAAGTTGTTGTTTTTCGAAAAATATTTTAACTAAATTAAAAATATATTAACTAAAAATATTTAAAGCTAATTTTACGATAATAAAAATATATAAAAGACGGTATTTGTTATGTTTTCACTCATTTGACTTTGAAATAGACACCGTTCGCATCGATCCAATAAAAATATCCCGCCGTTCCTTTTCTCCGTATAGGACTCCTACTTGTAATTTAAAACCTATTTTCAGCCTAATAGTACATTAACAAATATTATATATTAATGAAATAGTTATAATGAAGACATAGATAAATGGAAATAAATTTATTTTTAGTTTATACATTTTTATTTGAAGTAATAATATTTTTGATCTTTTCAGTGTTCTGCTAAAACGGAACGTAATTGTACGCTAACAGACATGAGTGACTGATTTCTGTATGTAATACATAATGAACGATTTAACTGTAGTACTAAGTAGTCCTCTGTTAGATCTGGATTCGTAACAATGTTAGGTTTATTCCAAGTATTAACTTTAGGAATGGTTTACACCTCGACCATTTAGACCACGTTTCGTCCGAGTTTTAACAGATTTTTTGTAATAAGACCGATGATGTTTTTTTATCATTTTTAAACCCCCCCTTGTGATATGGTTCGGCAACAATCACGAAGATTGTTGCCGAACCCCTTCTCCCCCTTTCGAGCTACACGATTAATGGACCGACCCAAAGGATTTTTTTTGAGGGTTGTGGGAGGGTTACATGGTTTTTCGAGACATGTTTTCATATTCATCTGAAATCGAGCTGTAGATGATATAGAGTGGAATATTGTGTGTTGTCTGCAGGCGGCGGCGGCGTGCTACATCGACCTGATCGTGAAGGAGAGCGACAACAACGTGAAGCTGATCGTGGTCGGGCGACTCGCAGCGCTGCGGGACGAAGGCGGAGAGGCAGCCGCACGCGCGCTGCCAGACCTCGCCATGGACGTGCTGCGGGTGCTGGCCGCGCCCGACCTGGACGTGCGCCGCCACACGCTCGCCCTCGGTACGTGAGTGACGTGCTGCGGGTGCTGGCCTGGACGTGCTCTCTCCCTCTTCTAGGACGAAACGTCGACGAAAGACGAAACGAGAAGGCTTCGGTGCCGAGCAGCACTTCTGCAACGCCTCCTCTTCTGGAGCGCGTGCCACTTGAAGTTCTTTCTTACTCGCTCCACAAACTACCGCAACCTCCTAAAGTTGTCCTCCATAGCTTCTTGAGGTGCTCTCCAAGCCTCCTAAAGATGTTCCTTCCTGACCTCCTAAAGTGGTCCCCCTCAGCCTCCTAAGATTGTCCTCTTTAGTCTCGTAAAGTAGTCCTCAGAGTGCGTTGTAACGGAGCGTGTGTTGCAGCCCTGGAGGTGGTGGGTCCGCGCCACGCGGAGGAGCTGGTGGGCGTGCTGCGCAAGGAGGCTGCACGTGCCGCGTCGGCCGACCACGACCACGCCGCCACCTACCGACAGCTGCTCGTGCGCGCGCTGCACAAGGCCGCCGTCAAGGTACACCTCACCATCTCCACCACGACCTCCGAATGCTTCTTTCCCAAGATATTGCTGAATGTTTATGACGCGACCTGTTAAATTGGTGCCCCTGTGACCGGATGAACTTATTTAGCAATTTTTGTTTTGTTTTTATGTACAGTAAAATGTAAATTTCTTTTTATGAAAGACGACAATACGTCACTTCCTTTTCTAGTTCCTATATAAATTATTTCATAATTACATTATTAGTAATAAAAAACAGAATTTGATTGACCTGAAAAATGGATCGAATGAATTAGAACGAGATAGAATAGAGTAGTAGAATATAGTATGCACGATACGAATTTCACCAGATCATTATCGTATAAGAGATATATACGGAGTATTTTTTTATTGTATTTAAAAAAAAAAACTTGTGTGGAAGCGTTTGTAATAAACCGTGCACGTGTGGTGCGGTCAGTTCCCGGAGGTGGCGGGCAGCGTGGCGCCGGCGCTGCTGGAGATGGTGGGCGACGGCTCCGAGCCCGCCGCCGCCGACGTGCTGCAGTTCCTCCGGGTCGCGCTCCACAACTTCGACCACCTGCGGGATCTTGTCTACCAGGTATCTTGCCACACTACAATACCAATTTATTGACTCGCCACGGCACAAAAAAGTACAAGTAATAACTGCGCCTGTATACCTATTTTCCTTTCCTTACGTCCTCTCCAAATGTATCTCTTTCCTTAGCAAGGCATCTGAAAAGGACAGAGGTGCTCTGTTCGAGCCCGATCGGCGAGACTGGCAGTTGTACCGTCGTCGTACTATAGTTTTTTCATATGCATCATAATTAGTATTTTTGGTCAAGATATAGACTCATTTGCAAATAGAGAATATTTGTACCTTGTGAAGTGTAGTAGTGTGCTAGTACAGCATAGCACAAAGAACGAGAGGACGGCCGACCTCCGGCCATCGAATGGTCCAGGTACCTTGCCTCCTTTCATCCAAAAAATCTAATACAGTCCACTTTCCATAATCATTAGCACATTTTAACACCACACATTATAAAATAAAGTGTATTGTGTAATACAAGTAGTAGAGAATTAAAGCAACTGTTGTCACGCGCCGAGAGCACATGATCTGTAAAACGTTAGAGAGGGAGATATTCCCTGCGTAGATGCTGCGGAGTAAACAGAGAGAGTAGAGCTGTGGCTAATGAGCCGATATTTGACGACAGCAACTAATGTCCTAGGGGATATAAGATGACTTAAATAAGTAATACTACGGTCAGTTTCTTAACATTGCTAGAACTAATCTCATTCGAGTAATATGTTTTCTTGTTATAAACATTTATTACAAATGTCATGATACAGAAACTTCTGGAGACGCTGCCAAGCATCCGCGTAGGGAAGGTCGTGCGGTCAGCACTGTGGCTGCTGGCGGAGTTCGCCGACAACAACGAGCGCGCGCTGGCCGCGCTGGACGTGCTGGACGCCGTCATCCCCCCCTCCGCCTCCACCACCAAGGTATTGTGTGGATACAGTTCGCCGACAACAACGAGCGCGCGCTGGCCGCGCTGGACGTGCTGGACGCCGTCATCCCCCCCTCCGCCTCCACCACCAAGGTATTGTGTGGATACAGTTCGCCGACTCAAAAGTATTGTGTACATGCAGTTTGCCGACATCAGGGTATTTTGTCGATACAGTCCGCCGACATCAGGGTATTTTGTCGATACAGTCCGCCGACATCAGGGTATTTTGTCGATACAGTCCGCCGACATCAGGGTATTTTGTCGATACAGTTCGCCGACATCAAAGTATTGTCTGACTACAGATACAGTACTAAACTACTGTATAGTTGGACGACATCAAGGTATTCTGTCGTTAGGGTTCATCGACAACATATGTTACAACATGATAAATATATATGAACAAACTTAAAGCAGAACAATTTGAATTTATAATAGCTTTTCGGTTTTGTGAAAGCACTTTGCACGCAACTATATATGCTTTAAGAAATTTATGTTCTTGTATGCAGGAGCAGGAGGAGGAGGTTACCCAGCCGAAACCCGAGTTGGCGCCGCGGCAGCTAATTACCAGCGATGGCACCTACGCCACACAGTCCGCCTTCAACTTGCCTACGTAAGTTATATATCACTACTTACTAATTTCTCACTCTTTCCTGTTAATATTTATGTATTCTGGTAATAGCCCAGTGGCCGAAATTCTACCGTAACAAATTTTAATATATGTATCTTAGACTTAGGGTTGTCGTATTGTATATTGTCTCAATTAGCAGCAACAAACTCAGGGTTGGTGGATTGTATGTTCTACCATTTAGCAATAAACTCTGAGTTGTCTGGTCCCCCCTATTCAGCCACAAGCTCAGGGTTGTCGGATTGTGTAGTTTCTTATTCAGCAACAAGTTTAGGGTTCTCAGATTTTGTGTTCCCCATTCAGCAATAAGTTCAGGGTTGTCGGATTATGAGTTCTCCAATTCAGCAACAAGCTCAGGGTTCTCGGATTTTGTGTTCTCTCATTCAGCAACAAACTTGGGATTGTTGGATTGTGTATTTTCTTATACAACAACAAGTTTAGGGTTGTCAGATTATGTGTTCTCCAATTTAGCAACAAACTCAGGTTTGTCGGATTATGTGTTCTCCAATTCAGCAATAAGCTCAGGGTTGTCTGATTTTGAATTCTCCTATTCGGCAACAAGCTCAGGGTTGCCGGATTTTGTGCTCTTCCATTCATTAACGAGCTCAGGGTTGTCGGATTGTGTATTATATAATTCAGCAACGATACTAGTGGTGGATGCGTGCGCGTGCGCAGGGCGGCGGCGGGCGAGGCGGGCGCGGCGGCGCTGGGCGCGGCGCTGCGGGCCGGCGACAGCTTCACGGCCGCGTGCGCGTGCTCGGCGCTGGCGCGGCTCGCGCTCAAGCTGCCCGTGCGGCACGCCAACCGCGCGCTCGCAGCCTCCGCCACGCTGCTCGCCTACCACAAGACGCACGGTATGTACTCTTCACGTATGTACGTACAGTACGTACAGGTATGAACAGTACCGTACACGATACAGTAATTTCCATTGATATGTTCCATATTTGAAATATTCCACAAACAATTAATCTGTTATTCACTCCATTATATTCTTTTTTTTAATTTAATCAAGACATTTTTTTTACTATCAGTGCAATACTTTTCCAATGACGCATTCATGCAATAATACCAAAAAAACTCTAGATTTCTTTAGAAATTAAAAGACTTTAGAATAACGTCGTTTGTTCTCGCCACGTTTTTGTAATACGCACTGTTAACGGGATAAAACGTGTTGAAGAACACGAACCTCGTGCGAGTGCTAAATGGTGGATGTGGTCTGCGCAGGTACTGGCGCAGGCGCAGGCACGCCGGGAGCGGCGGGCATGACGGCCGACGACACCGAGCACGGCGCGCGCTGCGTGCAGTCCGCCAGCAGCGCGCCGCCGCCCGTGCGGGCCGCGCTGCTCACCACGCCGCGGGCCGCGCTCGCCGCGCTGCTGCACGCGCCGCCCGCCGCCCGGGTACGTAGTACGTAGTGCAGGCCGCCGCCCGTGCGGGCCGCGCTGCTCACCACGCCGCGGGCCGCGCTCGCCGCGCTGCTGCACGCGCCGCCCGCCGCCCGGGTACGTAGTACGTAGTACGTAGTGCAGGCCGCCGCCCGTGCGGGCCGCGCTGCTCACCACGCCGCGGGCCGCGCTCGCCGCGCTGCTGCACGCGCCGCCCGCCGCCCGGGTACGTAGTACGTAGTACGTAGTACGTAGTGCAGGCCGCCGCCCGTGCGGGCCGCGCTGCTCACCACGCCGCGGGCCGCGCTCGCCGCGCTGCTGCACGCGCCGCCCGCCGCCCGGGTACGTAGTACGTAGTACGTAGTACGTAGTGCAGGCCGCCGCCCGTGCGGGCCGCGCTGCTCACCACGCCGCGGGCCGCGCTCGCCGCGCTGCTGCACGCGCCGCCCGCCGCCCGGGTACGTAGTACGTAGTACGTAGTACGTAGTGCAGGCCGCCGCCCGTGCGGGCCGCGCTGCTCACCACGCCGCGGGCCGCGCTCGCCGCGCTGCTGCACGCGCCGCCCGCCGCCCGGGTACGTAGTACGTAGTACGTAGTACGTAGTGCAGGCCGCCGCCCGTGCGGGCCGCGCTGCTCACCACGCCGCGGGCCGCGCTCGCCGCGCTGCTGCACGCGCCGCCCGCCGCCCGGGTACGTAGTACGTAGTACGTAGTACGTAGTGCAGGCCGCCGCCCGTGCGGGCCGCGCTGCTCACCACGCCGCGGGCCGCGCTCGCCGCGCTGCTGCACGCGCCGCCCGCCGCCCGGGTACGTAGTACGTAGTACGTAGTGCAGGCCGCCGCCCGTGCGGGCCGCGCTGCTCACCACGCCGCGGGCCGCGCTCGCCGCGCTGCTGCACGCGCCGCCCGCCGCCCGGGTACGTAGTACGTAGTACGTAGTGCAGGCCGCCGCCCGTGCGGGCCGCGCTGCTCACCACGCCGCGGGCCGCGCTCGCCGCGCTGCTGCACGCGCCGCCCGCCGCCCGGGTACGTAGTACGTAGTACGTAGTACGTAGTGCAGGCCGCCGCCCGTGCGGGCCGCGCTGCTCACCACGCCGCGGGCCGCGCTCGCCGCGCTGCTGCACGCGCCGCCCGCCGCCCGGGTACGTAGTACGTAGTACGTAGTGCAGGCCGCCGCCCGTGCGGGCCGCGCTGCTCACCACGCCGCGGGCCGCGCTCGCCGCGCTGCTGCACGCGCCGCCCGCCGCCCGGGTACGTAGTACGTAGTACGTAGTGCAGGCCCGCCGCCCGTGCGGGCCGCGCTGCTCACCACGCCGCGGGCCGCGCTCGCCGCGCTGCTGCACGCGCCGCCCGCCGCCCGGGTACGTAGTACGTAGTACGTAGTACGTAGTGCAGGCCGCCGCCCGTGCGGGCCGCGCTGCTCACCACGCCGCGGGCCGCGCTCGCCGCGCTGCTGCACGCGCCGCCCGCCGCCCGGGTACGTAGTACGTAGTACGTAGTACGTAGTGCAGGCCGCCGCCCGTGCGGGCCGCGCTGCTCACCACGCCGCGGGCCGCGCTCGCCGCGCTGCTGCACGCGCCGCCCGCCGCCCGGGTACGTAGTACGTAGTACGTAGTACGTAGTGCAGGCCGCCGCCCGTGCGGGCCGCGCTGCTCACCACGCCGCGGGCCGCGCTCGCCGCGCTGCTGCACGCGCCGCCCGCCGCCCGGGTACGTAGTACGTAGTACGTAGTACGTAGTGCAGGCCGCCGCCCGTGCGGGCCGCGCTGCTCACCACGCCGCGGGCCGCGCTCGCCGCGCTGCTGCACGCGCCGCCCGCCGCCCGGGTACGTAGTACGTAGTACGTAGTACGTAGTGCAGGCCGCCGCCCGTGCGGGCCGCGCTGCTCACCACGCCGCGGGCCGCGCTCGCCGCGCTGCTGCACGCGCCGCCCGCCGCCCGGGTACGTAGTACGTAGTACGTAGTACGTAGTGCAGGCCGCCGCCCGTGCGGGCCGCGCTGCTCACCACGCCGCGGGCCGCGCTCGCCGCGCTGCTGCACGCGCCGCCCGCCGCCCGGGTACGTAGTACGTAGTACGTAGTACGTAGTGCAGGCCGCCGCCCGTGCGGGCCGCGCTGCTCACCACGCCGCGGGCCGCGCTCGCCGCGCTGCTGCACGCGCCGCCCGCCGCCCGGGTACGTAGTACGTAGTACGTAGTACGTAGTACGTAGTGCAGGCCGCCGCCCGTGCGGGCCGCGCTGCTCACCACGCCGCGGGCCGCGCTCGCCGCGCTGCTGCACGCGCCGCCCGCCGCCCGGGTACGTAGTACGTAGTACGTAGTACGTAGTGCAGGCCGCCGCCCGTGCGGGCCGCGCTGCTCACCACGCCGCGGGCCGCGCTCGCCGCGCTGCTGCACGCGCCGCCCGCCGCCCGGGTACGTAGTACGTAGTACGTAGTACGTAGTGCAGGCCGCCGCCCGTGCGGGCCGCGCTGCTCACCACGCCGCGGGCCGCGCTCGCCGCGCTGCTGCACGCGCCGCCCGCCGCCCGGGTACGTAGTACGTAGTACGTAGTACGTAGTGCAGGCCGCCGCCCGTGCGGGCCGCGCTGCTCACCACGCCGCGGGCCGCGCTCGCCGCGCTGCTGCACGCGCCGCCCGCCGCCCGGGTACGTAGTACGTAGTACGTAGTACGTAGTGCAGGCCGCCGCCCGTGCGGGCCGCGCTGCTCACCACGCCGCGGGCCGCGCTCGCCGCGCTGCTGCACGCGCCGCCCGCCGCCCGGGTACGTAGTACGTAGTACGTAGTACGTAGTGCAGGCCGCCGCCCGTGCGGGCCGCGCTGCTCACCACGCCGCGGGCCGCGCTCGCCGCGCTGCTGCACGCGCCGCCCGCCGCCCGGGTACGTAGTACGTAGTGCAGGCCGCCGCCCGTGCGGGCCGCGCTGCTCACCACGCCGCGGGCCGCGCTCGCCGCGCTGCTGCACGCGCCGCCCGCCGCCCGGGTACGTAGTGCAGGCCGCCGCCCGTGCGGGCCGCGCTGCTCACCACGCCGCGGGCCGCGCTCGCCGCGCTGCTGCACGCGCCGCCCGCCGCCCGGGTACGTAGTACGTAGTACGTAGTGCAGGCCGCCGCCCGTGCGGGCCGCGCTGCTCACCACGCCGCGGGCCGCGCTCGCCGCGCTGCTGCACGCGCCGCCCGCCGCCCGGGTACGTAGTACGTAGTACGTAGTGCAGGCCGCCGCCCGTGCGGGCCGCGCTGCTGACGCACTCGCCTCTACATTCGTAGAAAAGATTGTTGGATATAATGATCACAGAGTACTCTATCACAGAGTATGTATTCTTCCACTAAACGTAATTGAACTCATACCTTTTTAGTTTATAATCCATCTGTTCCGCATCCTCGATCTTAACGTGGATCCATATGTATTGTACTTATCTTATTGGTCTGCTCCCCGCAGGAGACGGCCCGCGCCACGCACTCTGTGTCGGTGGAGACAGGTGTACAGTTCGCGGCGCTGGCAGGAGCCGGCGCTGCTGCCGCCGCTCACGACATGTTCGACCTCTCACTCTCCAAGGCTCTGCAGGGTACGTACTTACACGTTTCCATACCTTCCTCACATTGCATTTGCCGTAAATTGTCATAAAATAATAATAATCCGACTCGAAGGACCAAAGATTATTACATATACATAAGCCCTTTATTTCTAATTACTTCTACACGTTTCAAATACATGTTGTTCAAAGAAATTGTACCCTCTCCTCCAGGACGCAGTACAGGTAGCGAGGAGCGTGGCAAGCTGTCGAAGGTGACACAGCTGACGGGTTTCTCGGACCCCGTGTACGCTGAGGCCATCGTCTCCGTCAACCAGTACGACATCGTGCTCGACGTACTCATCGTTAACCAAACCGGTGAGTTAGCTACCCGGTTATTAACCAGTTTTTTTTATACTACTATGATGGTAAATATGGGACACAGTCACCTAGATACATCAAAATAATAATTGCATTTAATAATGTCTAGTAAGACAAATTCAATATTGTGTACTAAGCACTGCTGTGTCTAAACTGTGTCACCCCACCTTACATTTTCCTATTGTTATTTAGTATATAAGATCATTATTTCTATGAATATATTGTTAGTTTATTATCATCTGTAATATACATCGTCTCGACCAACAACCTCGTATCATTCACCCGCAATAGTAAACAAACGTACAGGCATTTGATATTAAATGGTTACCGTAGCCTATGAACGCTTGAAACACCAGGAATGTTACGTACGTGTTCATAATAATAATAATATATTAATACCAACAATTTACACAACGTCATCTAGTCCCAAGGTAAGAGAGTTTGTGTTATGAGTTTGGCGGGAAAGCCAGCGCGCTCAATCGTGATTTTTTTATCTGTTTTGTATTCACTCTTTTTTTATATTCCACATATTATTTTGCAAAACTGCCTGTTCTTTACAATAGGGTCCGTTTTCGATTGCTTGATTCTGCACTATTTATTTTGCAAAGAATTAAAATACATGTGCTTGCTTCTATTTCTTTATTGGAACTAACTTTAAACGGTTTGAACATTTTATAATATAAACAACGAGGTGTCGAGACAGTATGAACTTAGCTTCTAAATAACTGTAAACTAACCTTATATGTATAAATCTATAATTATGTCTATGATCTATCAGATATCCGCCACTTAGTAGTGATAATTAATTATTATAAAAAAGCGCTAAAGGAATCACGATCAAAGAACGCGGGAATACACTAATTGACGACGTATGCGGTCTCTCTCGTTATCAATGCATTATTACAATCTTTCTCGCTTGAACGTTATTTACACGAGAATTATGGATTCTACAGCCGGAGGTTGTAAAAAAAATCCAACCTTTTTCTTAACTTAAATTTATTAATATAAAATAATAATTACAATGCTTATAGTTCGATGTTAGAACAGAATATGATTGATTTATATAATTCTATAAAAATGAAATGTAACTATAGGCATGACGCGATATGGCGTGATGCTCATTGCTGATCAAGCATTTGGTGCCGCGTGCAATGTTTATTGGGGACGGTGCAAATGCAGCAGTCCTTCTATACTAGACTTGCGTAACACCTCCCCTCGTAGAACAGCGACTATTGAAGACGTTTGTCGTAAATTGAGCTGGGGGTTGCTCTGGGTTAACTCTCCTTGTTTCAGGAACAGTGTAGATTCCTTCCATTTCCATATGGTTGACTGGATGAGCTTGCCTGGTGTTGAGGTATTTTATGCGGAATTTATAATATGTAATGCCACAAGCAAGTACGCAAGCACTTACTAGTATTGCATATATCGGTATAGTCGTATGATATATACCGCTGTTATTTTCTGTCTGCAGTGTCAATGGAGGTGCTATTGACATCTTCATATTTGTTTCATGCAGGTGATCCAGTTTGATCGAATTCAGTTTGAATGCGGGTTTCAGGGTTTTGCAAAGGTTTTGTCCGCAGGATAAATGTCTTTTCGTTGGAGTTGGAAAACTCACACTGTAGTGCCTATCGTTGAGTTTCTCGTAAGCTAATTTTGTTAGTGAAACAGTGATGGGGTTGCATGTGCTGTCCCGCTGCTGCGTGGTGATGAGCCTCTGGATACAGTCTTGGGGTGATTGATTCTGCATATTGCTGGGTGCGCCGCATAAGTACCATCTGCTCGTCTTCGGACATTCTGTCTCTATGTATTTAAAATCTTTCTCATGAAGAACAAGGAACGGATGGGGTGGTGATAAGATCTCGTGGTGATTATTGGATATTATACATAATTTATACATATCATACGTAAAAGGATAGATGATGGGAACCTTATATATTATTTTATTATCTATATAATATGAACCTAACTTAATTATATCATATATTTCTCTAGTACTAAATCTATTACTACTTTATCTGTACCATATATAGTAGTTAGGTTATTAATCATAGTGCGGATTGTATACGAATCTAAGACAGAATGGTGCATAGTAGAAGTTTTTATAAAAGCTATTATAGTTAATTATAGTTATCGCTTACTATATCTATAATTTGAGATAAATGGGCATATTTTACTAAATCATAGTCTCGTGTAGCTTCGTTTTCTTTTATCTTACCTACTAAAATGTATATCTTATTCTGATTTGTTACTATATTACTTATGATTTTAGAATACTGAGCAGTCCAATCTTTAGATAAACTAACATGTGCATTAAATTCAGATACTATTTTATTTTCATTATCTTGGAGAGATTTCATTACCTCGTTATACTTTTTACTATTGACCAGGAGCGTCCTGAAACAATTGGGCGCTTTTAGGGACTCTTTTTAATCTAGATTTAGCTACAGGACCACGTTTTTTCTTAGTATAAATATGTATAGGAAGGTCTGCCATTACAACGTCTTGTGTGTAACGGGGCACTAATTTTTGTCGGGAAGCAAAAGGATTTTTTACAAAAATCTGTTGTTCTGGTGAATACTGAAGTTCAGTTTCACGATCCTTATTATGATTTTCAGTAATATTTTGACGGGAGGAATTACAGAGTTCATGAACTGAGTTATATACTAATTTCATTTTATCTTTATGGTTATTCATATATTGCTGTAATAAATGAGTTGAGAGATCTATATCAAATGGATCTCGAGGATCAAAATGGCCAGTTATAATTTCAATCGGTTTACACTTTGTAAAACTATGTATACTACTATTGTAAGCCAGAAGGGCATATGGCATAAGATTTATTACCGATTCAGATTTATTATTTATTTTTAATATACGAAGGTGCTCTAGAATAGTTGAATGGAATCTTTCTACGATACCATTCTCATTCGGTGTATGAGGAGCTATTCTGTGGTGTTGAATTTTATGAACCCTGACGAATTCTGATATAAGTTGGTTGGTGAATTCCGGTCCATTATCAGTAACTATGGTTAGAGGTACGCCATGATGTGTACAAAAGTTTAACAACCCTTGCACGACACTGATGGCTGTGCCATCCCTTAAGGGGTTACATGGGTTTCCTCGGGCAAAAAACGGCCTTTTTTCAATAATTTTTTTTACATATAAAAAATGAAATATTTTAATGAATTTTTTTTTATTTAAAAGATACATATTTAATAAACATTTTGCAAAATTGTCAAAAAAAAATATCAAAATGGCGGTCATTACGACGCCATTTCCGGCAGTCCCTCGGAAAAAAGGTGCCTCCGCGTTGTCAGCAGAACTTCTTTCAGGATCATCTGAAATAAAAATAAAAAATACGTGTTTTAGTAAAGACAATAAACTAGGTATTGGACGAAGGAAAAAAAAAATAAATGAAAATTGGATTTTTGGCAGACGTTTTTATAAAAAAAATGCAAATTTCGATGAAAATTTCTAGTAATTTTTTTTTTTAAAATAGTTGTAATTAAAATAAAAAAAAATCCTTCGTTCAAGACCTTGTAAATGATATCTCGAAGACCTGTGTAAAATTTCATCAAGATCGGTTGAGTAGTTCGCGAGAAATCTTGACAACCGTCTTTGAAAACATAGTTTTGAGAAAAACGCGTTTAAAGTTTTAAGAGACAATAAAAGATAGTATTTTTTTTTATTTTTTTTAACTTACATTGATTCGTCGATTCCTGGGCCATAAAGTAGAGAACCTGCTGCACCTGCATTGTCCAGGGCATCCTTTTGCTCCAGTCTATGACGAATCCTGGCTTCACGAGTCTCGCTGGTAGACTTCTTTTCGGCTGCGGTCACCCGGTTTTCATCCATATTTCGGGCATATTCATGGCAATTTGGGCCAAGTTTTAGGTCCATACCGTGCATAATTAATAATAATGCTGATACGAACACCTTCCGTTATCTGGGTTCTAGACACTTTAAACGGCATTTTTTATCGAATAAAATTCACAACAAACACTTATAACCTCAAAATGAACTTCGTAGTTTAACGAGAAATCACCAAATGAAATATTTTCCAGTAGTTTACCTTATATAAAGAAAAAAAGGGACAAGAATTACAGCTAACAATAGATGAGCTGCAGCTGCGTTTTACCTACTGCGCCCTCAGCCTATACCTGACCTCGACCGTCCACCTTTTCAAGGCTGTATCTCCGAAACTATTAGTCGGATCAACTTGAAAATTTAGGACAATATTCTAGAGATGTTATAGAATTTAATAAGACAAAAAAAAATTTTTCGATTTTTTTTCCCTTAAGTGGTAAGCTTGCGCATACTTAGAAAAAGCATCTACTATAGTTAGAAATTTCTCACTCTGTATAGTTAATAAATCTAAATGAACTAATTCTAATGGTCTTGTGCCTGGTGGAACAATTCTGAACTGTTGTTTGATGGGATTGCGGTCATATTTTGCTTGACCACAAACTGTGCATTCGTTAATAAATTTAGTAATCTGTTCACGCATTTTCGGCCAATAATACTTATGAGATAGAGCTAAATGACATTCGTTAATGCCACGGTGATTCGTCTTTCCATCATGGTACTTATTAATAATCTCCTGTTGCCTCAGATATTCTCTTACATTTTCAACTTCTTTTTTTGTTAATAAAATATTCATAGATGAATTTTTAAATGTTTTTTGTATAATAGGTACTATAGTGTACATATCTAGAAATGGATTTATAAGTAAACCTGTCTTAATTTTTGGATGAACATATTCTTTTATAGCATTAATGATATCTTGTTCGAGATTAGATTTAGATATTTGTATTGATATACGTGTATGAGTATCGAAAGGTTTTGTTAAAATCGGTCTGCCTTTAATATCGCCTACGATGTTTAGAATTAACTGTTTCGTGAATTTATTTAATGGTTCGTCTGTTATGGGTATTTCTAAAATTGGATTTTCGTTGTCAGTATGCACAGTAACAGTATTAGAATTACTTGTAGCATCCGCGACGGTTAATGTTCTTGATTCGTCTACGGTTGGTGCATTTTCAGAGGGATTAACTATAATAGACACAAGTTCGTCATTATGCACTTCAATTCGTGAAAGCGCATCGGCGTTTGTATTCTGTTTACCTTGTTTGTAAACTACTGTAAAATCGTACTCACTCAATTTTAATCGCCATCTGGTAAGACGCGAATTGGGCTCTTTGAGACTCATAACCCACTGGAGTGGTTTATGATCCGTTATAATTTTGAATTTCCTGCGAAACAAGTATGGTCTAAAATACTTTGTTGCCCAAACTATAGCTAAAAGTTCTTTCTCAATAGTGCTATAATGAAGCTCGCTAGAATTGAGTGTTCTGGACGCATATGCAATAGGTTTGTCAGAACCTATTTGTCCTTGAGATAATACTGCACCGATAGCGACGTTAGATGCGTCGGTTGTTAACAAAAACTCTTTATCAAAATTTGGATATTGTAAAATAGGATCATTAGTTAATAGTTTCTTACAATGATTAAAACAGTTAATATAAGTCTGATCTAATGTTATTTTTGAACCCTTTTTTAGACATTGAGTTAACGGTTTAGTGAGGCGTGCGAAATCTGGTATGAATTTTCTATAATACCCTAGAAGGCCAAGAAAACGTTTGATTTCAGTTGTAGTTTTAGGTAAGGGGTAATTCTCAATAGCGTGGATTTTATTAGGGTTAGGCTTCACTCCTTCACTACATATAACATGTCCCAAAAACTCAGTCTCTAATTTTAAAAATTCAGACTTATCCATTTGTATCTTAAAATTGGATTCTCTTAATTTAGTGAATACTTTTTCTAAATTTAGGATATGTTCCTGTAGTGAGGTACTGTATACTATTATGTCATCTAAATATACGAGACATATGTCATTTTGAAGGTCTTTCAACAAGTTATCCATAACTCGTTGAAAAGTTGATGGTGAATTTTTAAGACCCATTGGCATTCTTAAAAATTCGTAATGACCGTTCTCTACATTAAAAGCAGTTTTGTGAATATCCTCTGAACTCATTTCTACCTGATAGAATCCACTAGCTAAATCCAAAGTAGTGAAGTACTGACACCTTCCAAGTTTGTCTAAAACATCTGTTATATTAGGTATGGGGTATTTGTCATCAATCGTTTTCTCATTAACCTTTCTAAAGTCAACGACAAGACGCCACTTGACTTTCCCTGATGCATCCGCCTTTTTGGGTACTATCCAAATCGGTGAACACCATGCAGAGTCAGATGGTCTTATGATATTTTGTTCAAGCATCTTATGAATCTGGTCTCTAACCTCTTGTCGATGAACATATGGATATCTATAACTTTTTGTGTGTACTGGAACTTCATCTGTAGTTTTTATCTTATGTTTGATCTTGTTGGTGAATGTAAGTGGTTCGCCCTCAAGATAAAACACATCAGCATAGTTTGCACGTAATTGTTGTAAATTAATTCTTTCTTCCTCATTTAAGTGATCTGTACGGAGGCGAGATAATACGTCTTTAGTACGATCAGATAAAGTTTCAGTATTTTCACATTCATGGTTAAATATTTCAGCTTCAATTGGTCGATCCATTGAAAAGACAATATCATTACGCGTAGTGTTACTTAACTCGACCCAAGCTCTATTATTAACTACTTTTGTTACGCAATCGGAAATTAAACAGTTACAAATAATTTGATTTTCAATTAGTACATCGCCATCCTTGGTATTTACTGGTAATCTAACTAATTTTGAAGAGTTTGCTGGTATAATCTCTTCATAGAGATTTACGTTACGTGAATCATACATCTGTATAGGTATCTGCGTATTACGAGTGATTAGTAATTTATTTTTTAAATCAATATTTGAATCCCATATGTCAAGCAAATCAAAGCCTAATAATCCATCGAAATAATGGTGAAATTTGTATATAAAAAATTTTATATTATCATTTTCGTTAAATTCTGGGAAACAAGGCAAGTTAATAGAGTAATCATTTTTACTGGTAGCATGTACATTTGTTACTTCAAATGGTTCGTAATTAAGAGGAATGTGACTGAAATACTTTTGTACAGCTTCTGGACTGATGAAAGATTGATTTGCTCCCGTATCAATTAAAAATTTAAGAGGTGGATTACTAATCTGAATATACCCTAATTGTCTTTGTATATGGAAATTTAACTCTATTTTGGTTTTTCTGATGTTATAGCTTCCTGAAAATTTGAATTGTCCTGCACATGTGATGCTTGTTCAACCTCTTCCATTACCGGCATATCGGTATTGAAATCTTGTTCGGTGTTAAAGTAATAATCATTATATTGGTCGTAATTATAACAGTTTTCATATTCGTATTCCGGATAATAATAAATGTCACTATAATTATCGGTATATGCGGGATAAAATTCGTTGAAGTTTGCTTCGCGTGTTTTAAAATAGTTACTAGGCGGCGGGTTCCCGAATTTTCGCCAGTCATGTCCATGAGGAGGTAATACTTTAGGGACATACGTGCTAACACCACTCATTGGGCGCGGCGAGTTTTTAAAATTAAACTGTTGAGGCGGCTGCCTGTTAGGAAGTCGGAAAACGTTACTTTGAGGGTTATAGTTTGGTGGGGGTGCGCGCATAATTTGTTGAGTACGAGTGGGACCTCGTGGTGGTAATCCGTGTGGTAGTACATTATGTTTCCACCCTTGGTTTGGTTGCGGTTGAGTTGTAGATTGCCGTGTATTGAAACCCTGTTGTCTAGACGGTCCCGGCATATTGAAAGGAATGGATTTCGGTATAAAGTTATTTAGGGGTAAGTTATGCGAATTATGAGCTTGTTGCCAATCCTTTTTTTGTACGGTATTTTCATAGCGCTGTTGCATATATAAGGTATTGAGCTCCTCTTGAACAAATTCAAGGGCTCTTTCTATGGTTTCAGGGCGCATACAGCGTATCCTGTAACCCAAGGGGTCTTTTAAACCACGTAAGTACGCTTGAAGAGTAAGCTTTTTATAAAGCGCGCGTTTAGCCTCTATAGTTGTTTGAATTGATTCGTGAAGTGATATGTATGTCATTAAGGTGCTGTATAAATTTTGACAACGCTCGTAGAATTCCTGGGGGGTGCTAGAACCTTGCGTCTGTACAGATAAGTCACTGTATAAAGCTGTTTCATCACGATGATCGGCGAAATTATTGATTAATGCACTCCTAATACCCTGCCAATTTTCTGGTAACCCGTTAGAATTAATAAGTCTAGCAGCTTGTCCCGAAATCTTATTTAAGATTCCGTTAATTAACGCTAAATTAGCTAGTTCATTGCCCGGTTCAGTATTACAGTGTGTTAAAACTAACTGGTCACAAATATTAATAAATCTTGTTAAAATATGTGGATTGCCGTCGAATTCCGGCACTAACCTAAGGGACTTATATATGGTATCGATGTCGCTGCTGTTCATTTCTATATGTAAATTTCTATGTTGGTCTAAAATATTAATTCTACTATTACTTGACTTACTACTACCTATCCTAATATTCCGTGATTCTCTAGGATGAAAAATCTTGGATACTTAAAATTACACACATAAAATAATATTAAAATATATTAAAGTATGGGAAGTAAGGACTGAGAAAGATTCTAAGTACTTACTGCATATTACTCAAACGTAGAGCAGGTACAGGCGGATCTTGATACACTTTCGAATTTTTGAATAACTCCACTGTAGAAATCCCGTAGAATTCGAATACTCAAATATATATATATATATATTTTTTTATGAGTATCCTACCGACTGCGCCAATTATGGATTCTACAGCCGGAGGTTGTAAAAAAAATCCAACCTTTTTCTTAACTTAAATTTATTAATATAAAATAATAATTACAATGCTTATAGTTCGATGTTAGAACAGAATATGATTGATTTATATAATTCTATAAAAATGAAATGTAACTATAGGCATGACGCGATATGGCGTGATGCTCATTGCTGATCAAGCATTTGGTGCCGCGTGCAATGTTTATTGGGGACAGTGCAAATGCAGCAGTCCTTCTATACTAGGCTTGCGTAACACGAGAAAGAGCGTACATATAAAGGTAGCTATTGTGTTCCTAAATGCAATGCATCTGAGAGCAGTAAATTAATAACTATTGGTAGATTTACTGCCAAGGTATTCTCTGCTATCTGTACTCGCGGCCGTAAAATGTTATATAAAAGATGTGACGTGGTGGCACAGACGACACGCTGGTGAACTGCACGGTGGAGCTGGCCACGCTGGGCGACCTGCGGCTGGTGGAGCGGCCGGCCAGCGTGGTGCTCGGTCCGAGGGACTTCACCTCCATCAAGGCGCACGTCAAGGTCGCCTCCACTGAGAATGCCATCATTTTTGGGAACATTGGTAAGTGGCACTCGTTTCTTAACATATTCAATATTTCAGTTTCAATGCTTTGAATTTAAAAATTGTCCTTTTCGTTTTTTGACAAACCAAACTCAACAATCTCAATAACGCATACCAATCAAGTAACGCAAAAATAAACTAGATTTAGCAATAGATAGAGTGATTCAAGGGGAAGGTTTATATGTATAATACACTAGTTGACCCGCGCTACTTCGTCTGCGTTTCATTTTATAATAATGCAATATTTTTCATTGCAATCTCAGCTCCTATCGGTCGTAGCGTAATGTTATATAGCTATATAGTTTTCCTCGAAAAGAGGACTATATAGTATAGACGTACACGCGTATGAAGCCGGGGTGGGCAACTAGTGTAATTTAAAAAAATTGATAACATTTTATTATCGATATGAGGACGATGTCTGCGCGCGCGGTGTTTTTGCAAGTCAGAGGACTCGTAGAATCATAAGGTCGCATGTCGCATGAGACTTGCGACAAGAAATGCTTTGTAGCACCGTGCAATATGGATTACGATTATTTGTGGTCAGTGTACGAGGTGAGCGGTGCGTCTATGGACCGCGGCGTGGTGGTGCTGAACGACATCCACGTAGACATCGTGGACTACATCCAGCCCGCCGACTGCAGCGACGCTGACTTCCGCCAGATGTGGGCAGAGTTCGAGTGGGAGAACAAGGTTCGGTTTTGGTTTTGTTTAAATTTGATTATCTTCTCCACAAAAACATTGCCATAATATACAAAGCTATTTGGCCATGAAAAATTTGTAGAGAACTAGTACTGGGTATCCGAAGAATCTGTGTCACGGGTCACCCAGGTTCCCTCCACTATATCTTATATTCTAAAATTTATAAATTACTAGTACAATTAAAAGAGGGATATGGCTACTATAAGAGACAAAGAGTGCATAAATAATACATTTATTTTCTCCACAAAAACATTGCCATAATATACAGTGTAACAAAGCCATTTGACCACGAACAACTTGTGGATTACTGGTGCCTGTACTATCTGAATCTGAAGGACTGTGTCTCGGGGCACCCGGGTCTCCTCGACTATATCGTACATTCTAAGATTTGTAAGTATAATTGAAAGAGGGATACGGCTACTATATATAAAAGACAAAGAGAATATTGTGTAGTGTATATAATGAATGCAAAAGTATTTACAAATAGATTTTTTTTTTTTTTATTTATTACATTGTATATTTTAATTTGCAGGTGGCTGTTAACACAAACATTACAGACCTTCGTGAATATTTGGATCATCTGCTATCGTCCACCAACATGAAGTGTCTAACTCCTAATAAGGTAACAACATTAAAAAACTACTTTTATATGTATAAACAGCAACACAGTGGAATCAAATCAAATCGAAAATTATTTATTCTTACGGAACCTCTGACTCGACTGATCTGTTTAGGTTACGACCACTGATTAGACTTTTTTCTTTTGCAATAGCGGTGAATGATGGTGATCACTTTATTCTCCCAAAATCAAATTTAACAATGAATCTGTATTATTGTAAACATGTACAACATTTATTTGAAAATAATACTAGGTGAGTTTCTTGTCAGTTCTTCTCATCTCGAAATCATTCCGAACTGACGGTAGGAACGAGGAATTGGAGATATCATAAGACTCTGTAGTGGAGTAATTGTGTGATGTTACTGTATAACACGAAGGTGTGTGTGTCTGTTTGTGCGCAGGCTCTGTCGGGCCAGTGCGGGTTCATGGCCGCGAACCTGTACGCGCGCTCCATCTTCGGGGAGGACGCGCTCGCCAACCTCAGCATCGAGACGCCGCTACACCGCGCCAACGCACCCGTCGTCGGACACGTGCGCATCCGCGCCAAGACACAGGTACGAAGACACGTGCGCATCCGCGCCAAGACACAGGTACGACGACACGTGCGCATCCGCGCCAAGACACAGGTACGAAGACACGTGCGCATCCGCGCCAAGACACAGGTACGAAGACACGTGCGCATCCGCGCCAAGACACAGGTACTACCACACGTGCACATCCGCGCCAACACGCAGGTACTACCACACGTGCACATCCGCGCCAACACGCAGGTACTACCACACGTGCACATCCGCGCCAACACGCAGGTACTACCACACGTGCACATCCGCGCCAACACGCAGGTACTACCACACGTGCACATCCGCGCCAACACGCAGGTACTACCACACGTGCACATCCGCGCCAACACGCAGGTACTACCACACGTGCACATCCGCGCCAACACGCAGGTACTACCACACGTGCACATCCGCGCCAACACGCAGGTACTACCACACGTGCACATCCGCGCCAACACGCAGGTACTACCACACGTGCACATCCGCGCCAACACGCAGGTACTACCACACGTGCACATCCGCGCCAACACGCAGGTACTACCACACGTGCACATCCGCGCCAACACGCAGGTACTACCACACGTGCACATCCGCGCCAACACGCAGGTACTACCACACGTGCACATCCGCGCCAACACGCAGGTACTACCACACGTGCACATCCGCGCCAACACGCAGGTACTACCACACGTGCACATCCGCGCCAACACGCAGGTACTACCACACATGCACATCCGCGCCAATACGCAGGTACTAGGACACGTGTGCATCCGCGCCAAGACGCAGATACTACCACACGTGCACATGTACTAGGTACAAGTGCGCCAAGACCGCAGATGCGCACGTGTCCACACAGGTTCTTCACACTTTATATCACCTGCTTTTTCCTTATCCCATTTACTTGGAGTCGGCGTAATATGGTTTTCTGTTCCGTTCATCCTATGTTTATTTTATTTTGAACCTGATTTTAATGCCAGGATTCCGTGGACTTGATTAGTAATAAAATACATTGTATCCGCAGGGTATGGCCCTCAGCCTGGGCGACAAGATCAACACGATGCAGAAGGCGCCACCACAGAAGCCGCCCACACTGACGCCCGCCGCTTAGACATAATTAATACAATAAATATGTACGATATATCTTAATTGAATAGTTATTATTATTATAAAATTACTATAAACATTGGGAGTATTAAAAATATCAACTGACTTCCTACAATAAATGTGATCATACATACATTATAATATTTCCAATTGCAGTTGATGGGTTGACAAAAAATTACAGGTACTATACAGGTAGTTACTATAACTGCGCCACTTGCAAGTTTACTGTAATTACTTTTAAACTCGTTTGTAGTACACATTCAGAATATAGCCTAGGCGAGGTCATAAGATGACTCGTCTAGTTATACTAGTATTACCTACTACTATATACCTAGTCGAAATATAGAGAGACAAACTGTATTAACAAAGATTTACTATAATCAACACTAATTTTTATCGGTAAAATTACTGAAAGAAAGAATTGTTAACAGTTAGTGCCATGGGGTTTTACTCATGTTATGCCTAATAATGCCAAGAAAAATCGTTGATATCCGGCTCGAAGGACCATAAAGATGTATGAGTTTGCTGTGACCCATACAATCTGGATGCTAAGATGTATAAATGATAAGTCCGGGCAGCTTTCCAGCTTGATTTATTGAATACACGACGATTGAGTGCGGATTGATGCTTACTTGTGAGTATTTGGTGTACTGAAGGGGAAATTGTATGTGTAAGCGTTATATGGACGTGGAGCAGTGTCAAATGCTGACGGCTGTATGTACACAGGCCATATCCTGCAAAAAAATCTGTATCTCCTCAAAAAAAAAAGAAGTCTAAATCTGATCATATCTTCCCTGGAAAGCGCTATCGCGCTACTCGGCACTCTAACAGTTGAAATATATCCCCGTCCGATCGATCCCTCGTCCAATTCAAACGGGGATCGAAATTACAACGCCTGAGCCGAGGTTCGAACCTCTAGCGGTGCCTTCAGACTAAAGTCGTATTCGTCAGGCGGGAGTTGGCCTTCAGCCGCTCCATAAGTCCTTCCAGAGGTTTGGAGTGCCATCTGCACTCGCCCCCTATCATCCGGTGAAGCTGTAAAGGCCAGCTGCGGCTGGGTATTTGTAAGTTTTCATCCCTACAGTGCATCTATCGTTTCGTAGTGTAGGTACGTATTGGACGATATATTATCTGCGTAACGAGGTAATGTTGTTTAGATTCGTGTAATTAGTTTATGAATATTATATAATTGAATAAAATTGAATTATTATATAATTGAATTAAAGGTATTAAAAATTAATAAATATGGCAGTTTTCTTTATTACTTCATACTATACCTACATACGTCATACTCGTGAACGAGTGCTGCTTATGGGAACTGGTCTGTTCAGGTTGCGAACACTGATTAAATCAAAATCCTTACTTAGGGGATGCCTACGTCATAGTAGCTTTATGCATGCAAAGTCTCAGCCCGATCGGTTTAAAATTGACAAAGTTTCATACAAACTTTCATCCCCTATTTTATCACCTTGGGGGTAGAATTAATCAAAATCCTTTCTTAGCGGATGCCTACGTCATAACATGTACCTGCATACCAAATGTCAGCCCGTTAAATCCAGTGGTTTGAGCTGTGCGTGGACAATATAAGTATATAACTCAAAGGTGACTGACTTAGTGAGCTAAGTCAGTCACCTCAAGACTGACTTAGTGAGCTTTTTTTTTTTTTCCCAAATTGAGAATATCTTTGTTGTACTCAATACTTTAGCGTTTGCGCCTGTGGTTTACGCTCGCTTCAGCAGAGTTTATTATGATTTAGCAAGTTTTGATTTTAGTAGGTGTCATTAGAATATTATTATTGAAATATATACATTTTTAGAAATATATACAATTATTTATATAACAAAACATAAAACAAAATTACCGAAGAAACAAAATCAACAAAAAAAAATAAAAAATACGAAGACAATCAAAACAATATAAAACAAGAATAAAAGAACAAAACAAAACAACAATAGAGATAAAACAAAACAAATAACAGAAGATTAAACAAAATAACAAAACGAAAAGTAAAATAAAGACGTTGGTGGTTTGGATGACGATGGTATGGATATGATGATGGTATGAGAATGATGATGATGATGGAGGTATGGGAATGTTGGTGATGATGATTATGTTTGATTAAAATGTTTGAGGTTGTGAATGATGTATGATATGTGTGATGTGAAAGTGTCGATGGTTGATTGATGTTTGATGATGGATGGGAGATGGAATGGTTCTGAGACCCGAACCATGCTACAGGCCGTCTCATGGTCGATCTCGTGGGACCAAACCTCGGACACTCCTTGACGAGATGCTCCATAGTTTGCGGAGCATCATCGTTGCAAGGGCATTTGTCGTCCGAGGTGATCCCGAACCGTTTGAGGTATGACTTGGAGTATGAATGACCGGTGAGAAGCTGGGTGAAATGAAAGTTTGGAGGGAAGGCCTGTATCACAAGCAGCAGCTCAGCGTAGTTGCTGCACCACTGCTTGGTATACTGGCAATTGTCTGTCGCGTCGTATAAGTCCTCTAGTTCGGCTTTACTTAACTGCATGAAGTGATGTTTTATGTAGCTGAGGGGGAATTTGCAGAATGAGGGGGATGAATGGGAGTTGGCTGCTGATTTGGCCGCGAGGTCGGCCTCCTCATTGCCAGATATCCCGATGTGTGATCGGATCCAAATGAATGAAATGTTGATGTTGTGGTGTTTGGCTAAATGGAGTGATTTAAAGATGTTGTTACAAAGATGATTGGTGCTGTTATGATTGGACAGTTCCATCAGCGATGACTTGCTGTCCGTGAGGATGATTGCGGGTGACAGTTTTTTGACTTAGTGAGCTGAGTCAGTCACCTTTGAGTTATATATATTTAGAAGTATAATTATTGATAATAGCTGTTCCCGCGACTTCGTCCGCGTGGAGCTTAAGTTTATTTTTTAAAAATAAAAGTAGCCTAAGTTACTTCTTATTACATCAGATACCTTCCAAAAAAAGTCGCGTCAAAATCGGTCCAGCCATTTCAGAGATTAGGCGGAATAAACAGACAGACAGACAAAATTTATAAGAAATGTTATTTTGGTGTATGATGCGTCCCCTGGTGTTTGAGGCGTCTATAGGCTACGGTAACTGTTTACCATCAGATAGGCCGTAAGCTTGTTAGCCACCGTCGTAGTATAAAAAATAAAGAACTGTTCGAGTTTTGAACACCTGGAGAGTATATCATCCTCATCATCTGCTTTATTACCATTTATTTGTGGTCGTCGTAATATGTTTATCTCTTCCATTCATCCCTGTTCGCAGTCATCGCGTTATTTACTCCCTTTCTTACCATATCATCTTTCACACAGTTCATCCATCTTTTTCGGCCTTCCTCTGCCTGATAACCATCCACATTCATATGTAACACCTTCCTTAATATATAATCATTACATAGTATAAAACAAAGGCTGTCGCTGTCTGTCCTTCCCTATGTATGCTTAAATCTTTAAAACTACGCAACGGATTTTGAGGCGGTTTTTTTTTAAATAGATAGAGTGATTCAAGAGCAATGTTTATATAATACTTGTACACCCGTGTGAAGCCGGGGCTAGTAGCTAGTCTTCATATAATATATGACCCTGGAGACTATAATATGTGGGTGTAAATAAAAAACTAGTCAGCCTTATGAAATAAATTAGTTTATTGTAACGCCCTAAGATAGAGGTGCGGCGTTGTACAATGCAAGTGCATGTTCCGTAACGAATGATTCAACAGTATAAATAATAAAATTAATTTATAATAGAAATAAGTTAATGGATTGGTTACAAAACAGTACAGCCCGACGCGGCCGGCCCGTGTCGGCAGTATAGTCCCCTGGTCGTCACTTACTCATATCTGTAACAATATATATTATTTATTACACACTAAATGTATATATATTCATTAGAAATAATGTTAACAAGGGAGGACTTAGTATTAGTGATAAACGACTTAAAAGAATATATGGATAAAGTCTATGGCTACTCCGGACCCATAGAGCATTGAGTGTGTACAAAAGATAGATTTAAGACAAGTTACGAAATAAACGGTTTTTCTAGAGATAACTGAGGTGTTTAAATTAAATTAATTAATACAAAACTACACACTTATCTCTAAAAGAGATCTCTGTGTTAAATTTATTTACATACATATAAAATGTTACATTTAACCCGTTGTCTGGAAGAGATTGTATTAGAGATAAGACCGTTGGACTTATTATTTTCAATGTTTTGTTTTTTATTTTATGTCATTGTAATGTTGTTGCAATAAAGTATTAAAATTAAACAAGCTGATCGCACCAGGGTTAGCCGCTTAGGCATGCAAAGGTAACAAACATACAGACAGGAGACACTTTCGTATATCTAAATATATATATCAGTGCACAGCCCAAACCACTGAACGGATCGGGCTGAAATTTGGCATGAAGGTAGATGTTATGACGTAGGCATCCGCTAAGAAAGGATTTTGATTAATTCTACCCTCAAGGGGATAAAATAGGGGATGAAAGTTTGTATGAAACTTTGTCAATTCTAAACCGATCGGGCTGAGACTTTGCATGCATAAAGCTACTATGACGTAGGCATCCCCTAAGAAAGGATTTTGATAAATTCCACCCCTAAGGGGATAAATTAACGCGAGCAAAGCTGCGGGCAAAAGCTAGTAGTAATAAGTACTAGCTAGCTAGACAGCTGTCTCTACTAATATTATAAATAGGAAACATTTGATTGTTTCGTTGCATTGAATGGTCCCCGAAACTACTCACTAAACATATTGTTTTAGTATAAAATGATAGATTATTTCTCGGTTTACGCCATTCATAAAGTTCTCTCTGTTTTATCCACTCTGACAATAGAATTATTGTTACGCCACTGGTGCGTGTATAACAACACCACTAGAGAGTTGAAAATATATCCTAATAAACTGTATACTAACTTATTCCTCTTCTTCCTCTTCTTCTTCTTCCTCTTCCTCTTCCTCCTCTTCTTCCTCTTCTTCCTCCTCGACTACCTCTTCCTCTTCTTCCTCGGGCTCGGGCTCATATAGGGGCTCATCGTCCTCAGGTTCAGCCTTGACGTCTTCCTCGCCCTCGGGTGATTCGGGTTCGCCCTTCTTTTTGCCGGGCCTCTCGCCGAACCACTTGGGCAGTCTCGCTGTGGAACACAAGTACTGGTATTAGAACTTTATATACTGTTATTTGTATATTGATACAGTTATCATTATGACAGCAACCGTACAAGGTTGGCAGTGATTTGAAGTAAGGTTTTATTTTGAAATTCATAATCATTAATTAAAATATTTAATTAGTTCTATTGCCGAAGTTAATAATTACTATGTAATATTGTGTTATTTGTTCTATTAGTATTGAATTATTATCTTATCTGTGGTACTACTAAACATATTAGACACTGCTTCCTGTGACGTACGTGATGTTACTAAATATATCTAGTAGGAATATTTAGTAACATCACTAGTCAAAAATATGTATATAAACATATTCAGAATTTTTATATACGTTTTTTATCTAACTTAAAATTCATAGCGCTGACAATGTTATCTGATTGAACAGAAATGAAGTGCGTAGCGGTTTCTATGTTGATTGTCGCATGCCTAATCCTTGTTGTTAATTAAATATAAGTAAATCAATATTTATTTTAAAAAGCAGCACACAAGTTTCTTGCTCATTCTTCTTGTGATGAGTAAGTGCTTATATTAAGTTTATTTGAATAAAGATTATTTCTATTTCTTATGTCTTCTCCAGAGCTATAATATCATTGGTCTGTTCTATTTCTTTTTGACAAAAATACAGTATTTCAATACTGTATATTTGTAATTATACAAGTTCATTTGCTAAGAAGAGCTGAGTTTCTTGTTAGTTCTTAGCTCGAAAGCATTACGAACTGACGGAAGATTTGACATACCATAAAAGTCAGATGATTTGATTTGATTGGTATCCTAAATTATTTTTTTATAATTATAATGTCATATCCATACTATATGTACTATCTGTGCGGTCAAAGAATGGGATTAGAAACGGCAATTTGTACTTATAGTGTTGCCATTATATTCTCGTACATTCGTAACGTAAGAATGAAAGAAGTCGTCATTTCTATGCTCATTCTTCAATAGGGGGAGTGGAAAACGTTGATTGAAATAAATATTTCAGGAAAATCTACATAGTTAGTAAAACTCAAACAATAATGAAAAAATTGTCGTTAATTACAAATGTAAAAGGAAAGGACCAAAAAGTACTTCATTCTATGAATTATTTGTATGTATGTAAATAATTAATATATATTGAAGGGTGTTTAAAGCGTAAAGTCTCACTTCTAATTAAATTTAAGAACTAACAAATTGAAATGTAATTTGTAAAAAGATTGCGTAATTTTGGAGAATGTTTATTGTATAGGAGTTTATTCATCAGGCAGGAGTTGGCCTTCAGTCGTCCATAAGTCCTTCTACGTCTCTTTGAGATTGTTATTGCATAATCGTTTATACAGTCAGGCGGGAATTGGCTTTCAGCCGCTCTATAAGTCCTTACGCTGGTTTGGAGTGCCATCTGCACTCGTACCCTATCGTCTGGTGAAGCTGTAAAGGCCAGCTGCGGCCAATGTCATTAGAGTAGTTCGAAAAAAATATATTCGTAATTTAAGACTCTTTGAGAGCGTTATTTGTATAGTAGTTTTGTTTTAATACTCAAATTAAAAATCTGAGAGCATCATTGCATAATGGTTACAATTAGGTTTATTTATCTGAACTTTTGTGAGTTCGAATCGGGCTATGAGCAAAAAATATGTTGTAATTTAATTAAAAATTTTGACTAACTCTCTGGCGATGAAAACATCGTTAACAAAATATAAATTGAAAGAAACGTTTTCTTAAAATGATTGTCTTAATTCAAGAAAATTTTAAGCTCGAATTGAAATTGAATACAAGTATACCCAGAAAAATGTGAGCACATCAAGTTTACAGTATCTCTGATTACCCCATCTGGGATGCAGTCGTGAATGTAATGTTCTTACCCTTTTGCCTGCCACCGAACTGCTCTGCCCTCTCGTGCCACACCTTCTCCAGGAAGTCCTTGTTGAATTTCTCTAGGTCCTAGATGAATGGTTAACACCGGGGTCAATATACATACATACACGGGAATATTCATAAACGGGGAAATGACGTGCTTGGATGGACAGTGCATCACACACGTTCTTGTAATATGTGGTCGGTACAGTCGGCGACAATAAATTAATTCATTTGTCTTTAACAACAAAACAATGAGCGCGCTATCAAAAACAACGAATTATTATGAATGTTAGAATCTTATGTGAAAACTATTTTAATTTACCAGGCGTCGAGATATACGGGAGAGAGAGAGAGAGATAGAATTTGGTTTTTTTCTCGAATGGTCTAAATGGTATGGCATAAAATACGACCATAAATATAAAATTTAGTTAATAGAGAATTACCACAATATATTTACCATTAAGGTTTAATGAATACAAAAAACAATAAATATTGATTTTAAAATAGGTATTAGATGTAATTAAGATTCCATTAAAGTTAACCCTTAATGTATTCGGAATGTACTGATAGATTTTTTTTAATAATAAAAATAAACTTTTAAATAGATTAAAATTGCTTACATTAAATAAAAGTAGGAAAACAAATATTCCTAAAATTTGCAACATGAATAAATTATTTTTGATTTGAAATTCGATTAAGATTATTTCTATTTTATTGTGGCCGATTGTACCAAAGGGTTGTATGTTCATGTACGAGGTTGGATGTCATTCCCATAAATACGAGCGTGGACGGAATGACGGAAGGTCAAGTACATGCGAGTTGTGAGGACTACCGGGCGACGGGACTAGTGCACGGTGCACGCTTACTCTTTGTCCGGTTCATGAATTCGTCCATCCTCTCGTTCCACATCTTATCCAATAATTCAGCGGTTTGGGTATCGTAGCCCTGCATTTAAATTGTATATTTTCAACTTTCCTAATTTTAATTGAAAAGGTAATTTTTTTTATACTGCCTTAGTAGCAAACAAGCATACGGTCCAGCTCATGGTAAAGGGTTACCGTAGCCTACGGACACCTGAGACACCATGGGTGTCACGTGAGCATTGCCGACATATTAGAAACTTTAATATACCCTTCTTTAAAATCCCCATGCCGTAGTGTCACGAGAAAACCTCATGCTTACAGCCCCAAAGATGGTAAGTGGTAAGAGTACCACGAGCATCCCGTCATCATGTGACAACCCTTCAACTACGAAATATGAACCCTGTAATTGCACTGCCCTATATCACCCTTCCATCGAAACATAGCTGTTTTTTAATCTGCCAAAGTTCGGTTACACTGAATTTGATGGTTACTTCATTACTTTTATGTGGCTCGAATTTGGAACATCTGTTAAAGATATTACCTATACAAAAAAATATTCTAAATTTAACTCTTATTAGATTACAATTCACACAGATTCGTCTAGTCCCAAACTAAGTAGAACTATGGGTATTAAACGTGTGATAGAAATACATAAATACATTTTTTTGTAATTACATGCATATATACTACATGTAGAAAATCACCCTGGTCAATACGAACAATCATACTCAACAATGTTCGTATTCTGCAGGGATCGAACCAACGACAATCAGAAGTAAGTCAGCGGTTAACCGCTAGACCACCGACGTCGTCAATAACAAGATACGTAGTGTTTCAGTCAGTGTTTATGTTAAATGTATACTTACACCCTCGAACAACTTCTTTTTGTCGTCGTAAGACCGCGTGTCGACACGCCTCTCGTACTTGGACGCAACTTGGATTTTGGGCTGCAAAATAAAACAAAATGAAATTAGAACGACTGATAGCGCATCTATACTAATATTTTAAAGCTTGTTTGTTTGTTTCAATGCTCTAATCTCAGGAACTGCAGGTTATAGAAAACTTCTTTCTGTGTTGGATAGTCCGTTTGTCGAGGAAGGTTTTAGGGTATATAACATTACGCTATGACCAATAGAAGCGAAGCATCAGTGAAAAATGTTGCAAAAAGGGGAAAGTTATTTGAGGGTTTCCGTTGTGTGCGCTGCGTAAACGGTTAAACTCAAGTTACCCAAAAAATATGTATGAAGTGCTTTTGATAACCACGCGAACGACGTCGCGGGCACAGCTAGTTAGATAATAAGTGGCAAAGATCTATATACATTTTGCTATTTGGCAATTTGTATTCACACCACATCTAAAAATGTAATACAGAACTATAGTTCTGTATTTATTTAAAAGACCAACACGCAAGTTTCTCGTGACGAGTCTGCGTTCTGAATGAGTCGTAGAAAAAAAAAATGCTTACAGTAAGTTTATTTGTATTTGTTTATTTGATCTTCTGGTCTCCTGAGATATAGGCCTTGCACCTAATTTAGTTCCCAGGCTCATATTATTTGTATTACAATAATAAAAAAATATATATTGTTAGATATATTTATTGGTGACGCCATGGAATATTCAAGAAGTGGATACTGCCAGCGTATACTTTTTACATCCACATCCTCCACTTGTGTCCCGCCAGCGTAAACCGTTAGCGCAGGCGGGTGCACCATTCCATCAATAAAAAAAACTTTACGCAGAAGGGCATTTCTGTATTTAGATTGTAAATATAGTGATATTATTACGTGCTTACCGGATGTTTGCCTGTGAGTGCCTCTGGGTCGAGACCCTTCTTGAGGGCTTTGTGCCTCAACTGTTGCTTCTGTCTTTCTTTGAGCTCTTTTAACTGTTAACAAAGAACCACATTTAGTTGTTACAACTGCATTACTGCAACTGCGTTGTTACACTTACAGTTCAGAAAACAATCGAATACCAGTCGGTTGATATTTTGAATATGATGATATATCTAATATAGACCATAAAACTCAAATGTTATTGAAATATAGGTAAATAACTAATACAGAAATAAAAATCCAAACTAATAAAAAATATTATAGGCCTAAATTTGTCCGTCAATATGAAATTTAACATATAGCCATTTGATTTGGAGAGGTACTTTTTAACTTTGGCATCTGTAGGCGAAGTTATAGATCGTTGCTAGTAAACTATAGAAAGACATCTTCAATAATTTATCTATTAGGAATTTTGATATAATACTGCCATAGACTTAATCCAATTCTTATATTGCATTAAAAGGGTCAAAAGTTAGCAATACCTACTTACTTATTGATTTGTAATTGGACTTAAACAAAGTATATTACTTTGTTTAAGTCCTCTGATTATTCGGAGACTTCACTAGAATTCAAAGCTATATGCAAACTCTTTTAATGCATTTCTGATGATGCCACGTTGAAAAGCGAAACAAGTGGTGCAAATTGGAATAGATTCAATAATCATCGGAATTTTATCACCAATAGAGAAGGTCGTAACGCTATAAGCAGCGGAAACCTACCCGCTTTCCGTATGGAATATTTGTGGTCTTACACATGCTAATGATAGCGGAATTAGACAAAATAATACAAATCTATTAAGCAATGAAGTGTACTTCCGCAAAGTAACACCTAATTTGACAAAACATAGCGATACTTACGTCGTAGTCCTGCCTTTTTTGCCTTTCCTCGAGATCGTACTTCTCAGTCTCGAGTTTGACGATGCAATCCCAGAGTTCGGTGGCCTTCTGTCTGAGTTTGTCTACTGAGAGGTTGTCGATGTTCAGGGGCTTGATGCGGATTGAGAGGGAGATTTTCTTTTCCTCCTCCAGCTGCTCCTTGGTCTTGTTGCGTTCCAGTTGAGCATTGGACAGGCCGAACTGTCATCATAAACAATAATATAATTAGTTTTGTTAATAGATTTTCAACATGACTCTGTGGTTACTACCACAACTTATACAGAAAAATGAAAAGACAGTGATTAAAATTTGGTCAACACATAAAAATTAGGTGTCTTATTACGACTGATTTATATTGTTCTTTAACTAATTGTTTATTTAATATTTTAACTCTTATTAATTCCTGCGATTTGGTTGTTTATGTAAAATGATTACTACATTTATTTAAAAGAGTAACAGACAAGTTTCCTGCTCGTCCTTTCTTGGTTCAATAGTTCCTAATTCCGAATAAGCGTTAGAATAAAAAAATGAGTTCAAAATGCATTAATTGAATTTATTTGAATAAAGGTAATATTAAATGCTATTTTAAATGCAGTGCCAAAGGTCTCATCAACCTTACTACTAATACATAGAGTTCCGCTTGGCCTTGCTCTCCCTTTCATAAGTTGTCTCATGCTAATTATGCTATTTTTGTCAAAACTTCACGAGAATTATTTATTGGCGACATAGTAATAGGAAATACTGATGATATATATTTTTAATAACTTATTTTGTGCCATTTTGCTTGTCTCAAGGTATGCGGTCAGGACTTTTCCTCACGATTCCAAACCTACTCTTTCTCACTCTAACATACGCTAGTTATACTCGCAAACTCTAAATACGATATAAACTTACGTTGTCGCTCTTTTTCTGAATGGTGAAGTTTGGTCCGGTTTTGCTGGATTCCTTCATCGCCTGGAGCATAGCCTGGCGTTTCTTTTCTGCTTCCTCCAACCGTTGCCTCTTCTCTTCGATATCCCGCTGTTTCTTTTCCTCAATCTCGCGGACTCTCCTCTCTTCTTCTTCCTTCTTCTTCTGCGCGAGGCGTTTCTCTTCCTCAGCGCGCGAGACCTATTTTGTTATAAGAATACTTTAAATAAAATAATAGAATTATGTAGTCTGTCAAATGTTACGTTTACCACGACGTTATTAGTTTAAAATAGCCTCTAAATCCTGAATTCTGGTGGTGAGGGTATGAATGGATAAAATATCTTTACCAAAACCGTTTTCACTGAATGATTTAATTGAATTGTTTACCAAATAATTTAAGTAAGAAATACTGATCATTGACAGTTTGATAAACAAAACATGGAAAGATTGTCTCACCTTGCGCTTAGCCTGTTTCTCCTTCAGCCTCTTGAGCTCGTCCTCCTCCTTGGCCCGTTGTTTGCGCCATTCGTTGATGTATTCCTTCAACTGTTCGTCCAAGTCCGACCGCTTCTGGTCTTGACGCTGCAATTAGTTAAATGTCGTTTATAGATCGTTTAGTGATAGGTACCATAGATTTGTGCTATAGAGAGCTGGACTTTACAAATAGATACACTTTTTTATGTATTTACTATTATATAATCTATTGTACGTGTTTATTCATTGTTGAGGTCTAATGTGCTATATATACCCTGTAATTTAACTTCAACCGGAAATACGGTTAACCACAAGCTCATTTCTAACATAAAAGAAAACAGAATCAAATATTCACCTTGATGAATTCTGGATCTCCTTCACCCCTGTGAAAATATTAAGACCATTAGCGACTCGATATATCAATTCTGCAATTGTTAAATGTTAGAAAACCGTTATAAAACGGCTACAATACATAAAATATATAGGTTACGGTGGCTGAGTTTATCAGTTTGTTTGTTGTTTTACGTTAGGGTATAAGTTCGTCTGCTGAAACGCTATTTTAGTAGCGTCCAAGCAGTAGTTTAGATTTTGTACATATAGTTATGGTTTAGCTATTATTCTCATTTTTTTCATAAACATAAGGACGACTGTTAACACTTGTTCTGTTATATGATTATCTGTGTTTTAATATAATATTAAATCGTTTTCCATATACTAATTGTCTATCTGTCTATCATATTATTGTCTTGGCATTATTGTCGTTAAAGCGTGTATGGTTTCCACTTGGGTATTATGTAATTTTTGGGGTTTACATCGTGACTAGAATAACAATTACTATGGAGATGTTGTACATATACATATTATAGATAATTGTATTATTCATGCTCTGAAATCATACTCTGTTCATGCAATTATCTAGGAATCCGGCGAGGCAACTCGAACAGGTAGTTGCCTGCTGACCGAATTCTCATTCCTTCGAAACGGCGCGGGCGCAGCGTGGTGGTATACGAAAATAGATTGCCTACCAACCGACATAAATAGCCCGCTGACGTTGCGCAGTTATAAGTTTACCGGCCGGTCATCTGGTGCGATGATAAATCCGGAATTTTGGTGCGATCGTAAAAGATGCGCACGCGCCGTTTCCAGTTAATGTTGGGATTATAGTTAGTGACACCACAGAGAGCGGTGCAACTTACGCGATCGATGGTCTACTCCTAGAAACAGAAAACAACAATCAGCCTCTAATGTCACAAAATAGCCCCACTAATGCCGATACTCAATACCGTACCACAAATATTTCTTGTTCTGATTGAAGGGGCTCACCCTTTGGTTCATTGAGTAACAGTAAATAGTTTAGGGGTCCAAAGAGAATAACAAATGAAGCGGTGAAAAAATTATTCTGCGCATCCACGACACAAACACTGCCTTAGAAGCCAATGTAAATGTACACTTCTATAGAATCCCAAAAAATTTTGAAGTAATTTAATCCAACAAGCGGGCAGGTATCCGCCAGATACTGTAAATGTTATTGTATGCCAATCATTCCAAATTTATGCCCACAATACATAATTCTCTGCTATTAAGCGAAGCGTTGTACATAACGTGCATAATCTGTGTACTTACTCTTGTTTCGGGGCGGGTCTTCACGGAGCAACAACGGCACGACGATGAACACAATGGGAAAAAGAAATATACACAATTATAATTCGAACAATTTGTAAAAAAATAACGAATAAAAAATACAAGAAGCTTACGGAGTTAAAATGCATACGAGATAAAGTAAAATCCAGTCCAGTTGGAGTATAGTCCATTATTATATAACTAGTAGACGATCAGTCCAGTACTGACCTCTCCAACAGGATCACACTGTCAGATATTAGATCATGACAAGGGTTAATGAAGTTCGGTATTGCGGCGCGGCAGCACCTAATTGTTTAGTGATTATCTGAAAGCAATAGAGGCGACAACTTAAGCGTTGGAAGCATTAGCATAGCGTCTAAACTTAGCCTAAATGAGCCAAGCTAATGTGAGTGCCGGAACCAAAAGGACACGCCACTTACTTCCTGCAACAAAAGAGATAATAGGATTTGGTGAGGGCGTGCAACAAGCCCAAGAATTGGGAGCTCGAAGAAATTGGGGGACACACTTGCGATCATGCCTCAAATCGTCCACACCTTGTACAGAAACTGAATCTCGATGTATTTACGTAGGTTTGCTTTGACCTCTAATAGTTTTGAAAATGACAGTTTCGCCAAGGCAAAGTAATAAACCAGGCCCATGAAAGCTCAAGTGGTCAAACTCCAAACACATCTAAACAGAACTAGATCTTTGAAGATAGATTGAAGATGTTGACATATTGATGATAAACTTACGTCTCCGGAACTTCTTCTTCTACTTCCTCCTCCTCGGAGCCACTGTGGAACAGAGGTGGGGGTTAACACTGGGTATAAATGAAGTGAGGAATTGATGGAATCTCAGGCATCTGACACAAATAATGCAGGAATTGACAATTATCACATTGGTGTTAGTGACTTGGTAACACTTTTGGTATCATGGACGTAGACAGAAAATGCGTCAGATATGCATTATTTGATCTCGTACAGTTTAATTCCATACAAGTAATTAAACAGTTTCAATTTGTCTATCTAGCTATGGATTTTCCGTTGGTTATCCAATGGTTATAATGCACAATTCATCTTCTGCCAGCGCCCAAGTTTCGGATATTGAATATTTGTATATCGTAGAGATTTTTGGTTCTCTGTCTGTATATATGTGTTTAAAAAATTCTGTTCTACTTGTGTATTTATTTGATATGTTTATAATATGTTTTGTATACTTACGAATATTCCTCTTCGTCAGACATGTTGGTGGTTTATTGGGTCTGAAATACATAAATAAATTTAGTACACTTTAGTATTTTGCATCAATTCTTATGGTATTTTTAACTGGACCGAGGCAGACTTTATTCAAAGTCGTCTGCGTGGCTACCTTTAGTCTCACCTATTTCAGCGAGCAAGTAGTTTGCTTGTAAGCTGTGTTTTTGTTGCAGGATACAATACGGTACTGAAATAATATGAACCTAATGCTTGAGCGATATTACGGGCGTTCCGTGATAACGTGATGGCCGTAGTGTTCATATATATAGGCAGCTACTTACCATCTGGTCGTCGCCAGCATGTATGCCATTAAAAAAAAAAGTTCCAATAAATAGCAGTATTACACTGCAATTTATTGGCAAGCTTTAGTAGTTACGTAGGTATGTCTTTGTTTATTTGTAATGTGGCCAATAATTAGAGAATTAGAAATGTAATTCCATTGGCGATTTATCAATCTTTACATAGTATAAAATAAAGTCGCTACCGCTGTCTGTCCGCTCAGATCTATTAAACTACGCAACGGATTTCAATAGTTTTAGCAATAGACAGGCGATTCAAGAGGAAGCTTTATATGTATAATACATGTACACCAGTGCAAAGCCGGGGCGGGAAGCTGGTATTATATCAATTGGATTTACATTGTCTCTATGAATGTTTTTGATAGCGATATCTATAAATATATGCCGTAGAGTGGCTAATGTGTGATATAAACTAAGAATTTGACAGTTGTAAAGATGGACATTTTATACCCCTAATACATGTTATTACATTGAGATAGTTATTATGCTGCTTGGTTTTGCTTTGTATTTTTTATGCGGAACGGTTTAATAGTAGATTTTGATATAATTGGTTTTAAGCATGCTCTGAAATTAAAAACTGAAATTTGGTCTACGGATATATAGCGTCTTGTAGATTTTGATACTATTTTAAACTAAACTCTATAATATAATCAAATAATAATTATTCTTTATTAAAATTATTTATCATAATTATTTCACTTATTTATTCTTACTCTGTTGGACATAAATGCGAATTTAATTCTTTTCAAACATGCCGATAATATTACGTCATTTTTTCAATCTGTTAAATTCCGATCATTACAATAAACATTTTTTTTTCATCTGAAATGAACGTTTTGTCTTTGCGCCAAAAATTACAAAAAAAAAATATGCGTGGGCGCGCTCATCGTGACCGTAGGAAACGTGGTTGATGTTTATGAAGTCTACATTTTATTTTTAGTTTCGCTCGGTTTTATCTTTCGAGCCATTAAGTACACCTACAGCGCGCAGCCAACGCTGGCACGCGTTCAAATTGTGTAAAATTGGATTTCTCGCATACAACTGACGGCGAACGGGGCTTACGACTCGAATTACGAGCAGCCAAACAATTTTTCTACAGATTATAATTATTAATTTAGTTAATAGCAGAAAATTTGTTCCATTATTTTTTTTTAATTTGGATTTTTTTTATAATAGAGTAGATTCCAAATTAAATTTTTTACGTTTCTTGTTTTTCTTTTTTTTTACAAAATATCTATATTTTTTTTCTCACGAGTCACACAATATAGAGACAACAAAAGTACTATGAAAAGGTTCTTTTGACATTAGCATTTCTAAGCTGAATCGCTAATGATCTTTCGAGACAGAGAGTACCAATTTGGAATAGAGTAATTTTTTTTCTATAGTATTAAAAGTCTATGTAAATTTAATAATTTAATGCAATTTATTTTGTACTGTATTAATAAATCTACTTAACAAATTTGTCACTCCAAGTTTTTTTAAGTAATTTTGAGTATGTATGATATACCAACTTATTTATTGTTGGAAATTTCCTTAACCTATTTTTATACTTTTAACGAATTATTTAAATTTAAGTAGTAGACTATTGTATTTAACTTTATTGTGTATAAAAATAATTATATTATTTAATTGGAATTTAATATTATATTTTTTTTAATTTTATGTTTGTTTAATAATAACTTTAATAGAAGAACTAGCTTTGTGTCAGGTAATTGGGTCATCTTCCGCCTTCACTAATTTCATTTCCGTTCTGACCTAAATCTTCTCTCTTGACATATATATCCGCAAAGATACTTGATTTATCATATTTATGATTTGTATTAGAGAATACGTTATAAATGAAATTTAAATATATTTTATTATTATTTTTAGATGCTAATTTATTGTTTCCGTTACACCATTTACTGATTTAATGTTTCCATTATATACCTAAGAATACAGGTGTAACTGAAATATTCACTGAATATCAATATGGAACGATTATCATATATTAATCAGTTTGAAAGTCACAAGGAATGTAATTTAAACTATATATATTTATATTATAGATTTAAAAACTTATTTTCATATTTCTACTGTCAGTTTCTTGAGTGTTATTTGGTTTTTATTTGATATCCCAACACTTCTCACTATTATAGGAGTTAGCAATTTTCACTATTAACATATCAAAAAGATTTTCCTGCTGTTTTAACTACATACCTACTTAATTATGTAATGTACTAATGTGGTAGACGATTTCCGTTCAAAATTTAGATATTATATCTACAAAGTTGTTTGCAAATGGTACCAATATAGTTAAATGTTCGTTTCTAACAACTCGTATTTTTATCGTCATTTCTATACTTTTTTTTATAAATTGTGAAAAATGGAAGTTTTTGCCTCGTAGAGTGTAAATATCTGTATAGTGTAATGGGGCCTTAAAAATATATCCGAGTTTCCATAGAATTTCCGCGCGAAGCACCAAACGCATACGGTTACACTGCGCGCGCTGTAACATAATACGCGCTATACATGGTGCTTCTATTTCAGCGTCGTCCGCGCCGCCCGCTTTTGGCGCGTATATTTTTAGATCACCCCATCACAACACCTATTGTCTTTCGGGTCCCGTGGCACAGGGTCCAGAATGTTCCACAGCACTAGCACACAGCACTAGACACGGCACTTACGTCGCACGGGTAGAAGACGGTCACTCAGTCACTCGCACTGGTTCTTGGACCGGCAGCACAGCGACGTTGGAATGTGGAGTCCGCGGCGACCGGGGCGGCTCTGAACGGTGCGGGCGCTTCGCGGGCCACGGGCGCTCCCCACCCGTCCCCCCACGGATAAATATAGCGGCGGTCATTTTTGAGCCGATTACGAGCCAGCTCCGGTTTCTGAAGGGAATCCGGCGGTGTCGTCTCCGTCGGCGTCACCTGCAAGTGCAACGGCCACTCGCAACAGCTGGTCAAGTCCGATCGACAAGTGTAACCTTCTCTTCTCTTTCATATAATGAGATAAATAAAGGCTCTTTTATTCTTTATTAGGGACTTATATCCATTTTTGGTACTTTAGTCCTATCGTACCTTACAATTCCAAAAATTCAAAATATCTTTATTCATGTTGGTCTATTACAGACTCTTATGGTACGTCAAATCTACCGTCAGTTCGGATGATTTCGAGATGAGAAGAAGCTCAGCTCATATTCTTTTCAAATAAATGTTGTACATGTTTACATTAACAGATTCATTTTTAAATTCAATTCAGAGAATAGAGTATCCACACTGACCACCAGCAATGCTATTGCAAAAGCAAATAGTCTAATCTGTGTTCGTAACCCGAACAGACCCTAATATAAATTAGGCAAAAGAAAGAAACTAGACGGTATAAGAAAAAGTAACATTAGGACGTACTTTTAATCAACCTCGCGGCCTCAGACCAGGGTTCCGTTAGGACAGTCCGCGTCTAACATTCGTCGCGGTGGATTGCCATTCGATCCCGCGTCTCCGGCACATGGCGCTGGATGAGGGACATCTGATGATCATCATGAGGGTAGGATTCTCACAATACCCGTTTGCCTTCCCCGAGGCGGGGTCTCCTTGAAGGATTTTGTGTAACACATTATTTTAACTAAGTTGTAATTTGCATATGGCGCTGGGGGACATCTTGGAGTTCTTAGTGTGTAGGATTCTCACAATACCCGCTTGCCTTCGCCGGGGCGGGTTCTCCATGAAGGATTTTGTGTAACACATTATTTTAACTAAGTTGTAATTTGCACATGTCGCTGGGGGACATCTTGGAGTTCTTAGTGTGTAGGATTCTCACAATACCCGCTTGCCTTCCCCGGGGCGGGTTCTCCATGAAGGATTTTGTGTAACACATTATTTTAACAAAGTTGTAATTTGTATATGGCGCTGGGGGACATCTTGGAGTTCTTAGTGTGTAGGATTCTCACAATACCCGTTTGCCTTCCCCGGGGCGGGGTCTCCATGAAGGATTTTGTGTAACACATTATTTTAACTAAGTTGTAATTTGCACATGGCGCTGGGGGACATCTTGGAGTTCTTAGTGTGTAGGATTCTCACAATACCCGTTTGCCTTCCCCAGGGCGGTGTCTCCATGAAGGATTTTGTGTAACACATTATTTTAACAAAGTTGTAATTTGCACATGGCGCTGGGGGACATCTTGGAGTTCTTAGAGGGTAGGATTCTCGCAATACCCGTTTGCCTTCCCCGAGGCGGGGTCTCCTTGAAGGATTTTGTGTAACACATTATTTTAACTAAGTTGTAATTTGCATATGGCGCTGGGGGACATCTTGGAGTTCTTAGTGTGTAGGATTCTCACAATACCCGTTTGCCTTCCCCAGGGCGGTGTCTCCATGAAGGATTTTGTGTAACACATTATTTTAACAAAGTTGTAATTTGTAAATTATCTCATTCCATTCATATACGTCCTGACGTATTCCATGTAAACATGATCATTATCGTCAATATATCCATATTCATGTCATGAATACAAATATTTGTATCGTGCGAGGAATCGAACCCGCGACCATCGGAAGTAAGGCGGTGTGCCACCCAGGCCGTCAAAATTCTTCTATTCTCATTACTGTTTGAACTAAATTTTTCCCGTTCATAAAATCATTAACAATAACATTCATTGTCACCTCGAATTAAATTTAAAAAAGACTATAACTTTGAGTGCCTTCCAGGTTCTTACTAATATTATAAACGCGGAAGTTTGTAAGTATGGATGGATTGGTGGATTGTTGGAACTTTTTCATGCTAAAACTACTGCACGGATTTTGATGAAACTTTGCAGTAATGTAGCTTATTTATACATCAGAATAATTCAGGCTAAAATTTCATACGGGTGAAACCGTGGGCACAGCTGGTGTATTGTATATAATTATCTTACCTCCATCCACACATATCTCCACACGGTTCACCCTGGCCACCGTCATGATAAAAAATTTTGTGAGGCATAGACAGTTGTTTACTCTGCCTAATGGTAAGATTAGTTCTCTTCGGTACTTTCCTAAAGTAGGTATTATAAATAAGCCTAAATATGCACAAGTCAGTTATTTTTTAGTAACGGAAAACACTGCCAAAAAAAACAAATTATATATTAAGCGAAATATGACCATATATTGTAGACAATGTTTTTGGCTACCCCATCTTACTCGAACTATGATCATGTAATTCATACATAAATTAAATACATTCAAAAATAGAATAAAATATGTATAAAATACATTACTACCCCAACATATACATGACTGAATTAATCGTAAACTAAAAGATAATTAAATGATTTTTATTATATTTTCATAACATAATAACATATTCTCTACAGCCCATATATAAAAAAGCCGAGTATCGCAAAGCAGCCAAAAACGTTTAATTTGAAATTATTTCTTACATACCTATGTAAAGCACATCATTTCTTTTATCTGTGATTATTCTGATTCAATCTTTTGGCTCTGTGTTTTCTACGTCAGTCGTCAATCAATTAAATATCAGTATTATTAAATGTCATTTAAGTTTAAGTCTTTTGAAAGTTTTGAATTTTTATTTGAAAATAAAACATATGTTTTATTTTACATGAATTGAAATCATAATATTGTGTTATATGTTATTATCTAAATTTACACTAGTCCTATAAATATATCCGATGTACAAATTAACCCAGGAGAACACGTCAACACCAAAACGACGACGTCTCGGTACCGGTCGCGTTTTAAGACGGTATAATATGGAAAATACAATAAACGATACACCGGTTCATCCTCAGATAACGAGTACACTAGCTAATACACCGGGAGGTTGTGAATCTCCACCGTTGCCGTGCAATCAAGTGGAATATTTGAACGAATCTTCGCGAAATAACTCTAGTGTTCTATGTTCTCCTGGTATACAAAGTCCTGTACCTGAAGATGTACATAACTGGGAATCATTACCAGTTGCGCTACTTAATGATAAAGTATTTGATAAACATGAATCAGTTAATGAAATTAATTTGTCAGGTGATTTATTTACCTCAAAATTGGATCAAAATTGTACAGATAACAATCATGTAGATGAGATAAAATGTGAGAATAATTTAAGAGAAGATATTGAAAAGAGTTTTAATATAGTAAATCAGTCTATATGTGATATTGATAAAATTAATAAGGATAAGAGTTCATTATTTGAAACTAAGGATTCCTTTCTGCTGGACATCAGAGAAAGCGGAGTAGTACTCGATGATAAACTAACAAAATGTGTAAACGAATTTCCCAAACTGAAGCCTGTACAAAATTATAATGATGTAACTACTTTCTATGGTTTACCAATGATTACGAAAAAATTATTTAAAACTTTAAGAAATATAGAGAAATTTTATGGTATTGTACTATTTTAAGTTTTAATGTTTTTTTTTCTCTGAGTAAATTTGCAATCAGTCCTAAGACTATGAGCAAATATATTTGGTGATGCTATCATGTAGAATGGCCTTCCATTGGAAACTTCTACTCATCTGCATCATAGAGCTACTGCCGGCCTTCTAGCTCCAGGATATGATGGTTTCACCCAGTTGGAACTTGTAGCCTATGTGTTATTCTGATGTATAAGCTGTATTTAGTGTAAAGTTTCATCAAAATCTGTTCAGTAGTTTTGGTGTAAAAGAGTAACAAATATCCATCCAAAATTAATTTTGAATTATACTTGTCTATATCAGCCAGGTGATATATTTTATAGTTTGAGTTACTGATTAAAATACATGTTCAATTCTTGCACAGTAAAAACATTTGTATTCATGAGTATGTTTGTATCGGTCTGGGTGTTTTCTATGTATATTATTAACTAACCGGCAAATGTTGTTTTGCCATACAAATTAATATCGCTATTTAAAAATAGAAGGGTGAGTGATAGAAGGGTGAAAATTTAGGATTGTATGTATTTTTTAATACCATATAATAAAAAAAAAATAAAAATGAAAGTTTTGTCAATAAAAAAAATTTTTTTTTGGGTGGGCCAGCCTTATCACTTAGGAGTCTAAATATTAGTTATAAACCTATTCTCAGGCCTACTGAATATACATATAAAATTTCATCAAAATCGGTCAGGCGGTTTCAGAGGAGTACAATGTAGAAACCTGTGTTATGAGAATTTTATATATATTCAAATTCAAATTCAAAAATAATTTATTCATGTAGGACATTTTAGCCGCTTATGAACTTCAAGTTCGGTATATAGATCCAATTGAGAACTGGCAAGTACTCAATTGAATTACTTTTTTTTAAAATCCAGTTTATTTACAATGCATAGGTATTTATATATGTAGGTATCTATGTCTAACATTAAATGAAAATCCCAAACATGAAAACTATTGCCATATAGTAATCGTTTAGTGAGTAGCCTTGCTTAGTAAATATGATTTAACAGATGTTTTAAATTTATTTAAGGGTAATTCCAATATAGCCTTTGGTATCTTATTGTAAAATTTTATACCTATTCCCATAAAAGACCTATTGACTTAAAAGAACGATACTTGGGGACAGCAAGTTTGTCTTTAAATCTAGTATTAATAATATGAATATTGCTGTTTTTTGGAATGCATATGATGTATGTTATACACAAAAAATATATAAGTTGTAACATAAAACAACATAACATAAAACAAGCTATGCTTAGCTTTGGACTAGATGGTGCTGTGTCAATTGTAATTTATTAAGCTCAAAATAAATGCATTTACCTTTGTAGATTGGCAAGAAGAGTGCCTAAATATGGATGCCATTAAAGAGAGACGTAACCTGATCTATGCCTTACCGACCAGTGGTGGCAAGACCTTAGTGGCAGAGGTGCTGATGCTGCGGGAAGTTCTCAATAGAAAGCGCAATGCCTTGTTCATATTACCATTCGTTGCTATTGTCCAAGAAAAGGTTAGTTGTCTTATTGTTATTTACTAGTAATATATGTTCTTAGACCTTTATGGGTTCTTTAAAAGAGAAAGAAAGTTAAATTAATTTATTTAATTCTAATTACAATTCAGAATCTCAATTGATTCAACTCATAACTATTTTAACTTATCCCTGTTCACAATTAATGTACAATGTCCATCCACTTGCCATCCTGTATTGTCCTACCTCTTGGTTGCCTATCTTTCGAGGTACCAACTGTTGGAAAGTATTGGGACATACTTTCCAAGAACAATCTCTGTATGCCATGCCAATTGTGTAACAAGTAGGTAGTTGCAGTTGCACCTAGGGGGTTGTACTCTTAACTTGTTCTTTTTTTATTTTCTTTATAACTACTTGTTTTACGTAACTTTGTCTGATCATTTTCGCCATTGCAGCTTCACTCCTATTGGTCATAGCATGATGTTATTACCCCATGACACTAAAAAATAATGAGGCTTTCTAATGGTGAAAGTATTTTCAAATTAGTTTAATAGATCCAGAGATTATCCTCTAAAACCTCACTTTTCTCTTTATAATATTAGTATAGATGGATTCATTAAATGTATGTTTGTTTATGTGATTTTAGATAACTGATTTTAGATAATTGGACACATAGGCAGGCGGAATGCTGTAATTTTCACAGACACTGACTCGAGTGTAGCTCTTAAATTATGAATGAATGTTACATCTAAGTTACATCGGATTTACTATGTTATTTTTCAGATTTGGTCACTTTCTCCATTTGCTGTACAGCTAGACTTCTTAGTGGAAGAATATGCTGGCGGAAAAGGTCATTTGCCACCTAAAAAGAGGCGGCAAAAGAACAGCATTTATATAGCGACCATTGAGAAAGGTCTGGCTTTGGTCCGGAGCCTTTTAGAGTTGAATCGGCTGCAAGAGATCGGTTTAATTGTAGTAAGCACTATCTTATATCTAAAATACTCCTGTCACAATGTTAGTTATCATACTCATCTGTAACGGCTTGACCGATTTTTATGAAATTTTATATGCATATTCAGTAGATCTGAATCGGCTACTATCTATTTTTCAAGGATAAGGGTTGTCCACCCCTAACATTATTTTTTATTATTTGTCATTAAAAATACATACAACTCTAAATTTTCACCTTCTATCACCAACCCCTATTTTTTTATAGCGTTATTAATTTATATGCCAAATCAATGTTTGCCGGGACAGCTAGTTGATTATATAAATGTTTGAAGAATTTTTAAGTGGTAGAGTAAGAAATAGAAATAAAAATAATCTTTATATAAATAAAAACTATAATCTATCTATCTATCTTATCTTATCAAATATACTAAATATGAGCACTATTGAATAGTCATATTTTTTTTTATTCTACTACTCATTCGGAATGCAGACTCAGTATGAGAAGAACAAGCAAGAAACTTGCGTGTTGCTCTTTTATATAAATGTTAGTCTAAGTATACACATTAACAAGGATTAGGCATGCGACAATCAATATTGAAACTTCTACCGTTAATTTTTTTAAATTTACATTATTATAAACAATTTCTTTAGATCTATTATATAGATATTGTCACATTACTAGATACTAAAAATTCATTTAAGGTTCCACTCCGTTCTACCACCTCCACATTTGTGAAGGACTAGAAACACTAAAGATTTAATTTATTCAACTGGTGTCTTCGAGAAAGTTCCATTGTATCATCAGGTATTTTATTTTAAAATTGTATCCCTGTTCCTTTTTAGGTTGATGAACTGCATCTCATTGGGGAAGAAGGTCGTGGCAGTTCTTTGGAGATTTTATTGTCTACTGTTCTCTTTGCTGACTGTAAGTAATTTAGTTTAATATTATTAACCGGGTCTTAACACTAATAATTTCATGGCAAATAAAGGTATTTACCTCTTTCGACGTTTCATATTTAGACCCTTTAATAATATAAATATTGTATATTAAACACGAAAGTTTAAAAAGAGCTAATTTAGTTTAATTTATAAAAAAACTAAATTAGCTTTTTTTAGTTATGTTTATAATTTTGCCAAGCGATATAGGATCAGTTCAATCCTATAAACCATAGTGAGTTATATAAAATACACTAAGTAAACATACTACTGAAGCGACAGCAGTTCTAGTGCTGGAAGATGTTTTGGAGTAGAGCATGAGGTTTTCAAGAACGGTATATTAAGGTTTCTTAAGGGTATATTAACAGGCATGTGACTCCTCTGGTATTTCAGGAATACGATAACTATTTACCATCAGATGGGCCGTATGCTTTATCATTGTGATATATAAAGAGAGAACATTGGCTTACCAAGCATGATAATAACTTCGGCTTCTTCACTAGAGAGAGACGAACTACCATGGCGTCACCGTGCGGCTGATCTGGTCTGGGTCCATCATATGATAGAGTGGAAAACTCCAAGCAGTTCCTGGACTTGTGACACGGGTGTAGGTTTAAGAGGCCCCTTTTTATGTATGATAATGGAATGGAGCACACGCCTGCGCTAACGGTTTACGCTGGCGGGGCACCAGTGGAGGATGATAAGAACATGAGGTCAGGTTAATTAGCCCATCGTGACAAGTTAGGAATTTATCACGATGGTTTCCAGGGGGAACCGCGTGGAGGTTAACCTGATATAGTATACATAACCTGATACATTGCTAGCAATGGGGTTATCAGATACATTACTAACAATCCCCCCCCCCCCCCTAAGGGCCCCTTTACCGACGTACATCAACAATAGCGTTGCCAGACGCCCCGTATTTCCCGGGACGTCCCGTATTTTAGGCTTAGTTTAAAATGTCCCGGCGGGACTGACTCTGTCCCGTATTCGAATCGTGCTCCGTTTTTATTATTAAATCGATCGATCTACGTTAGACAATTTGTCTTTTGATAATTTGTCCCGGGTAGAAAACTAAGTTCCCGTATTTTTTTGTCTATTTATGCGTTTTAGCCCCTTATAGGCTGAAAAACATGACATTTTTTTCTTTGGGTTTTTTGGGTTGGATTACTAATATTTCTCTTCATTTCGTCAAGATCACTATTCCATGCGGACGAAACCGAGGGTACTGCTAGTTAAAATTATTTGATTGTATACAGTGGACATCCAAATAGTGGGTATGAGTGCTACAATCGGCAACCTGCCAGAGATAGCCAGGTTTCTGGACGCGGACGTGTTCGAGAGACAGTTCCGGCCGGTCGAGCTGACGGAGTACGTGAAGCTCGGAGACGTGCTGCACAGGATCGTGTGGAAGGACGGCCACGGGGAAGACGCCTTCGAGATAGTACCAGAGAGGACGCTGGCGTACGATGTTAGTACATACCAATCTTATCTTATTGAGTGTAGATGGATGTTTGTTACTCGTTCACGCAAAAACTACTGAACGGATTTTCATGAAACTTTACAGTAATATAGCTTACTAGCTACTCGACCCGGCTTCGCACGGATGTACATGTATTATATATATATAAACCTTCCTCTTGAATCACTCTATATACTAAAAAAACACTTCAAAATCCGTTGCGTTGATTTAAAGATTTAAGCATACATAGGGACGGACAGACGGCAGGGCACATAGCTCGTAGGACAGATGGCCGTTGGGGCAGTAAAGTCCTCGAGTGGCGACCACAGACCGGAAGACGCAGCGTGGGAAGGCCTCCAGCAAGGTGGACCGACGATCTGGTCAAGATCGCGGGAAGGCATTGGATGCGAGCAGCGCAGGACCGATCGTCGTGGAGATCTTTGGGGGAGGCCTATGTCCAGCAGTGGACGTCTTCCGGGCTGCGATGATGATGATGATGATGAGGGACGGACAGACAGCGACAGCGACTTTGTTTTATACTATGTAATAAATAATGATATACCAGAATAACATACAGGCTATAATTTAAAAATATATTATATAAATTGGGCGAAATATAATGGTAAATGCTAAGTAAGTGTGATGCAGGCGAAGTTGCGCGGGGTAGCTAGTTAGAAATAAAGTAAAAAAATATTTAATCAAGTGGAACATTTTAGCCGCTTATGAACGTCAAGTTTTTTGTATTAATATTGTTTTCCATATCGTCCAGTTCAGTATACTGGTTCAGTTGAGAATAACTGGCAAGAAACTCCATTGTATTTCTTTTTTTGAGCCAGTTTATTTTCGTTGTGTACTTATATAGGTGTCTATGTCTAACATTAAGTGAAAATCCCGTTCATGAACAATTATTGCCATGTATATTTTTTATTTAAGTATTCGTTTTGTGAGTAATGCCTCGTGTTGTGACCTTGTAATGTGGGTGTCGCCGGCAGTACCTCGTGCCTCGTGTTGTGACCTTGTAATGTGGGTGTCGGCGGCAGTACCTCGTGTCTCGTGTTATGACGTTGTAATGTGGGTGTCGCCGGCAGTACTTCGTGCCTCGTGTTGTGACCTTGTAATGTGGATTTCGCCGGCAGTACCTCGTGTTGTGACCTTGTAATGTGAGTGTCGCCTGCAGTACCTCGTGCCTCGTGTTGTGACCTTGTAATGTGGGTGTCGCCGGCAGTACCTCGTGCCTCGTGTTGTGACCTTGTAATGTGGGTGTCGCCGGCAGTACCTCGTGCCTCGTGTTGTGACCTTGTAATGTGGGTGTCGCCGGCAGTACCTCGTGCCTCGTGTTGTGACCTTGTAATGTGGGTGTCGGCAGTACTCGGCTGCTGCGACGCGGCTGGACCCCGACCTGCTGGGCGGCCTCGTGTCCGAGGTGGTGCCGCAATCCTCGTGCCTCGTGTTCTGCCCCACCAAACGCAACTGCGAGAACGTCGCCGCATTACTCTGCAAGCTTCAGAGAAAGTACGTATTCAGTATAGCATTTTAACTTTTTTTTCAATCTGTTAAAATTTTAATAGATTGTATCAGTGAAACAATAGTGTTTGCATTCAACGCCAATAGATGGCGCTGTAACAAAATTGAAACGCGCTATTGTTTCGTTTTATTGATTTCTCATATGTTATTTATAATATTAAAGTAGCTGTACCTGTATTTGAAACCGACCAATAAACCTTATATACACGAGTTTTGGTTTATAGTACCCTTAGAACCTTGTGGTTTTAACACAGTCGTTACAATATTTATATCTTTGATGGATTACCATATACGATGCCGGGGCAAGAGTGAAAGGTAGGATGAGCTATAGAATAAATAAAACGGTGCGCTAAATCTCTAGACTATACAATATACTTACAAATCCTCGGAACCGTGAAGCCTGTGAAGTCCCTGGTAAAAACAATAAGTGTAATGAGACGCCGTATCGTAGACAGATGTTGCGACATCGTGCGGCGGAGCGGCTGGCGTTGTCGCGCGCGCTGGCGGCGGAAGGAGGAGACCGCGCGCTGTGTGCGGCCGTGCGGGCCGGCATAGCCTACCACCACGCCGGACTCGCACAAGACGAGCGCGCGCTGCTCGAGCACGCCTTCAGGTACCTGGCAGATGGCTGCTGGTGCCATGGTGGCTGAGTGGTCTCTGTTGCCTCGCGCATTATTTATATTATCAACATTTCGCATTAAACGTGGAAACGAGCTGCACCAATCAGAATTCATCAGCACGACGTACCGATTAACTTCGATTGGCGCATTTCCACAGTGGGCGGGGCATAGCGACTAAATGAGGTCCCTAAATGATGAGGGATTTCTGAGAAGGTGACAGGTGTAATTTCGGTGGAGGTTTTTTTATATTTGATAATGGAATGACGTACTCGCTTGCACTAACGGTATACGCTGGCGGGGCACCAATGGAGGATGATAAAATGAGCATGGAGTTAGGTCAGTTAGCTCATCGTGATAAATTGACCTAGAATTTATCACGATGGTTTCCAGCGCAGCGCGTAGAGGTCAACCTGGCATGGTAGATTGTTAGCAATGGGATCAAGAGTTCATATTCCTAACAATTCTCTTTCCGCCTTTCTGTGGAAGTCGTAATGTGTATTGTGGTCGTAGGGCGGGCGTGGTAGGCGTGCTATGCTGCACGTCGACGCTGGCGGCGGGTGTTAACCTTCCGGCGCGCCGTGTGGTGGTCCGCGCGCCGCGCCTCGCTCGCCGCATGCTGTCGCTCGCCGCCTACCGGCAGATGGCGGGCCGCGCGGGACGAGCCGGAGCCACCGATGCAGGTCCATATCCTATCATATTATTAGATAGATAAAATATTTATTGCCAACATTAAAGATAATATAAAAAGAAAAAAAAACTGATGCAGCCAAAATGAGTTGCGTCAGCTATTACTGATTTAAGCGTAACTTAAATCTCATGAGAATAGCCTCTGGTGCTGTCGACTGCCCGAATCTCCTGGGTAAATTATCCATTAATGTACCACGAGTATCAACAAGGCACAATCCTCTCCTATCTGTTCCCCTAGTGTCATCGAACTATAAGCAGAATTCATTTGGCGAGCTAGCAACAATTTTAATAAACTATCTAAAACAGTTAATATAGATATATTTTGTAATAATATTAAATCAACGAGACACCAACTAAGTGAGCCCTTCTTTAAATAACAATTAATTATTATTGAAAATCATGTATATGTATATATTTCTATAAATTGACTATTTGTTACTGTACTCTTGTTAATTAATTTCATATTCTCTGTTAACTTTATAATGCCTTTATACGTAGTGATGTAAATTTTTTAAGAATTAGTCTATTGTTATTAGTGAAAGCCTGTCAGTGGCTTATTATGACATATATATTGATTTTATTTAAGATGTACTTGAATAGCCTTGGTTTTCCTTTAATAAATAAATAAATAAATTAATGTAAGTTACTAAGCAGGCAGGCTTACTTAATTCACAGTCTTTATATACATATATATATTAGTGTGTTAAGACAACAATAAAACTAATTGAAATTGAAAAGAACAGAACAGAACAGAGTCCTCTGGCGCAGATGTACAGAGAGACCCGACCTCAGATAAACTGGGAACATGTGTTGGACAGAGAGAGAGAATAAAATTAATTATAAAGAAAGCGTTGCCGTGGATTTCACTTAATGTTACTTATAAATAACACAGCTGTTGTATGTGTGACGCTAGTTCTGTATGTGTGATGTCAGGTGAAAGTATAATAATCTGCGCGCTGAGCGATTGGCACGAGCTGCGAGCCGTGCTCGGCGGCGGACTGCAGGCCGCGCGCAGCGAACTGACTGCGGCCGGCGCCGCCGCCCTGCTGCTGGGCGGCGCGGCGCTGCGGCTCGCAACCTCGCGGCCCGCGCTGCTGCGGCTCCTGCGCCGCACCCTGCTCGCGCACCACAGGTACGTGCGGGCCGCCGCCCTGCTGCTGGGCGGCGCGGCGCTGCGGCTCGCAACCTCGCGGCCCGCGCTGCTGCGGCTCCTGCGCCGCACCCTGCTCGCGCACCACAGGTACGTGCGGGCCGCCGCCCTGCTGCTGGGCGGCGCGGCGCTGCGGCTCGCAACCTCGCGGCCCGCGCTGCTGCGGCTCCTGCGCCGCACCCTGCTCGCGCACCACAGGTACGTGCGGGCCGCCGCCCTGCTGCTGGGCGGCGCGGCGCTGCGGCTCGCAACCTCGCGGCCCGCGCTGCTGCGGCTCCTGCGCCGCACCCTGCTCGCGCACCACAGGTACGTGCGGGCCGCCGCCCTGCTGCTGGGCGGCGCGGCGCTGCGGCTCGCAACCTCGCGGCCCGCGCTGCTGCGGCTCCTGCGCCGCACCCTGCTCGCGCACCACAGGTACGTGCGGGCCGCCGCCCTGCTGCTGGGCGGCGCGGCGCTGCGGCTCGCAACCTCGCGGCCCGCGCTGCTGCGGCTCCTGCGCCGCACCCTGCTCGCGCACCACAGGTACGTGCGGGCCGCCGCCCTGCTGCTGGGCGGCGCGGCGCTGCGGCTCGCAACCTCGCGGCCCGCGCTGCTGCGGCTCCTGCGCCGCACCCTGCTCGCGCACCACAGGTACGTGCGGGCCGCCGCCCTGCTGCTGGGCGGCGCGGCGCTGCGGCTCGCAACCTCGCGGCCCGCGCTGCTGCGGCTCCTGCGCCGCACCCTGCTCGCGCACCACAGGTACGTGCGGGCCGCCGCCCTGCTGCTGGGCGGCGCGGCGCTGCGGCTCGCAACCTCGCGGCCCGCGCTGCTGCGGCTCCTGCGCCGCACCCTGCTCGCGCACCACAGGTACGTGCGGGCCGCCGCCCTGCTGCTGGGCGGCGCGGCGCTGCGGCTCGCAACCTCGCGGCCCGCGCTGCTGCGGCTCCTGCGCCGCACCCTGCTCGCGCACCACAGGTACGTGCGGGCCGCCGCCCTGCTGCTGGGCGGCGCGGCGCTGCGGCTCGCAACCTCGCGGCCCGCGCTGCTGCGGCTCCTGCGCCGCACCCTGCTCGCGCACCACAGGTACGTGCGGGCCGCCGCCCTGCTGCTGGGCGGCGCGGCGCTGCGGCTCGCAACCTCGCGGCCCGCGCTGCTGCGGCTCCTGCGCCGCACCCTGCTCGCGCACCACAGGTACGTGCGGGCCGCCGCCCTGCTGCTGGGCGGCGCGGCGCTGCGGCTCGCAACCTCGCGGCCCGCGCTGCTGCGGCTCCTGCGCCGCACCCTGCTCGCGCACCACAGGTACGTGCGGGCCGCCGCCCTGCTGCTGGGCGGCGCGGCGCTGCGGCTCGCAACCTCGCGGCCCGCGCTGCTGCGGCTCCTGCGCCGCACCCTGCTCGCGCACCACAGGTACGTGCGGGCCGCCGCCCTGCTGCTGGGCGGCGCGGCGCTGCGGCTCGCAACCTCGCGGCCCGCGCTGCTGCGGCTCCTGCGCCGCACCCTGCTCGCGCACCACAGGTACGTGCGGGCCGCCGCCCTGCTGCTGGGCGGCGCGGCGCTGCGGCTCGCAACCTCGCGGCCCGCGCTGCTGCGGCTCCTGCGCCGCACCCTGCTCGCGCACCACAGGTACGTGCGGGCCGCCGCCCTGCTGCTGGGCGGCGCGGCGCTGCGGCTCGCAACCTCGCGGCCCGCGCTGCTGCGGCTCCTGCGCCGCACCCTGCTCGGCGCACCACAGGTACGTGCGGGCCGCCGCCCTGCTGCTGGGCGGCGCGGCGCTGCGGCTCGCAACCTCGCGGCCCGCGCTGCTGCGGCTCCTGCGCCGCACCCTGCTCGCGCACCACAGGTACGTGCGGGCCGCCGCCCTGCTGCTGGGCGGCGCGGCGCTGCGGCTCGCAACCTCGCGGCCCGCGCTGCTGCGGCTCCTGCGCCGCACCCTGCTCGCGCACCACAGGTACGTGCGGGCCGCCTAAACTGTTAAAAGTAGCCTAAGTTACTCCTTATTACATAAGCTACCTGCCAAAACAAAAGGTCCAGCCATTTCAGAAATTAGTCGGAATAAACAGATAGACCAACAGACAGACTAAAATAGTAAAAAATGTTATTTTGGTGTATGTACCGTATTTATATTCATATGCATGTACTAAAAAACGGTTATTTCAATATTACAAACAGACACTCCAATTTTATTTATATGTATAGATCTACCGTCAGTTCGGAATTATTTCGAGATGAGAAGAACTGACAAGAAACTTTCTTTTCAAAGAAATGTACATGTTTACATTAATATAGATTCATTTAAATTCAAATTTAGCACCATCAGCACGTAACGGTATAGTTCGTAACTGTTGTATAACTAAAAAAAATGCTAAACATATAATCGTAAGTTGTAATTCCAGTGATGATGCGGAGTTGGAGACGCTCTGCGATGAATCCTTGTCCGCGCTGGTACAGAGCGGAGCCCTGGAGCAGAAAGCAGACCGCTTCACTGTCAGCTCGCTAGGAGACGCCGCTATAAAAGGTACTATTGTGTTTCAACTAGCGGTTAGACCCGGCTTTGCACGGGACAAACATTCAATAGATAGTTGTTTAAATTTACCAGATTGTATGTTCACGTCATAAGAAATGAAGGAGGGTTAAAGAAAAAAGGCATATATTGAATATATAGAAAATATGTTAGGACACTTGTTACGGCACGATAAATATGTGAAAATTGTTATTGAGGGAAAAATAGAGGAGACAGAGGGAGCGGAAGACCAAGGCACAGTTACAGTCTTCTAGGGATAAGTCTACCTTTTCTCAGTGTCTCTAGATTGTTATACACTAGCTGACCCGCGCGTCTTCTTCTGCACCACACTTATCATTATGTGTCGCCAAATTTACACAATGTCTTTTTAAATTATAGTCTATATGTAAAGTTTCAACAAAATCCAGTAAGTAGTTTTTGCGTGAAAGAGTAACAAACATCCATTCATACTTACAAACTTTTGCATTGATAATAATGGTAAGGTATGTACATAATCTAGCTTTTACCCGCGGCTTCACTCGCATTGAATCTATTCAATAACTTCATTACTGGCTGCGAGATAGCGCTGAAGTATTGCAAAATGTTGATATTTTTGTTTTTAATTTTATAAAAATAGTTTTTTTTAAATAAAAAGTATCCTATGTTCATTCTAATACCTCTAATAATAATATCTTCACCCAGCACAACCTCTCCCACACTTGGCTAAGGCCCGTGTAGGTGAGTATTACCTTCTTTTAAATCCATAAAAGAAGAGAAAAAAAAGTACTACAAGAAAAATAATAATAATAATAATATATTTATTTGTCAGAATATGGTATGTACAATGGTGGTAACTATATATAACATATGTTTTATTTCTAAGATCATGATTCATGAAATTTTATGATGTTCAGTAGTTTTTTCGTGAAAGCATAACAAATATCCTTACTTTCACATTTATAACATTAGTAAGGATTGGATTCAATTATTTTCGTAGGTGGATTAAGTTTGGAAGCAGCGAAACAGTTGTTGGAAGATCTGAACACCGCGTCCAAAAGTGTCGTTCTCATGGGCAGCCTGCATCTGCTCTACTTGGTGACCCCACACGACTTCGCTGGCATCAAGCCCGATTATAGACACTATTACACAGTGGTAAGGTCCAATATTTCTTGCACTTTATTTATAATAGCTTCGATTGGGTTACTCTTAAAAGTTATACAAACTAATATATTAGTGACGCCACATGAGTTCGCTGGCATCAAGCCCGATTATAGACACTATTACACAGTGGTAAGGTCCAATATTTCTTGCACTTTATTTATAATAGCTTCCATTGGGTTACTCTTAAAAGTTATACAAACTAATATATTAGTGACGCCACATGAGTTCGCTGGCATCAAGCCCGATTATAGACACTATTACACAGTGGTAAGGTCCAATATTTCTTGCACTTTATTTATAATAGCTTCCATTGGGTTACTCTTAAAAGTTATACAAACTAATATATTAGTGACGCCACATGAGTTCGCTGGCATCAAGCCCGATTATAGACACTATTACACAGTGGTAAGGTCCAATATTTCTTGCACTTTATTTATAATAGCTTCGATTGGGTTACTCTTAAAAGTTATACAAACTAATATATTAGTGACGCCACATGACTTCGCTGGTATCAAGCCCGATTATAGACACTATTACACAGTGGTAAGGTCCAATATTTCTTGCACTTTATTTATAATAGCTTCGATTGGGTTTCTCTTAAAATTTATACAAACTAATATATTTAGTGACGCCACATGAGTTCGCTGGTATCAAGCCCGATTATAGACACTATTACACAGTGGTAAGGTCCAATATTTCTTGCACTTTATTTATAATAGCTTCGATTGGGTTACTCTTAAAAGTTATACAAACTAATATATTTAGTGACGCCACATGACTTCGCTGGCATCAAGCCCGATTATAGACACTATTACACAGTGGTAAGGTCCAATATTTCTTGCACTTTATTTATAATAGCTTCGATTGGGTTACTCTTAAAAGTTATACAAACTAATATATTTAGAGACGCCACATGACTTCGCTGGCATCAAGCCCGATTATAGACACTATTACACAGTGGTAAGGTCCAATATTTCTTGCACTTTATTTATAATAGCTTCGATTGGGTTACTCTTAAAAGTTATACAAACTAATATATTTAGTGACGCCACATGACTTCGCTGGTATCAAGCCCGATTATAGACACTATTACACAGTGGTAAGGTCCAATATTTCTTGCACTTTATTTATAATAGCTTCGATTGGGTTACTCTTAAAAGTTATACAAACTAATATATTTAGTGACGCCACATGACTTCGCTGGCATCAAGCCCGATTATAGACACTATTACACAGTGGTAAGGTCCAATATTTCTTGCACTTTATTTATAATAGCTTCGATGGGGTTTCTCTTAAAAGTTATACAAACTAATATATTTAGTGACGCCACATGACTTCGCTGGCATCAAGCCCGATTATAGACACTATTACACAGTGGTAAGGTCCAATATTTCTTGCACTTTATTTATAATAGCTTCGATGGGGTTTCTCTTAAAAGTTATACAAACTAATATATTAGTGACGCCACATGAGTTCGCTGGCATCAAGCCCGATTATAGACACTATTACACAGTGGTAAGGTCCAATATTTCTTGCACTTTATTTATAATAGCTTCCATTGGGTTACTCTTAAAAGTTATACAAACTAATATATTTAGTGACGCCACATGACTTCGCTGGTATCAAGCCCGATTATAGACACTATTACACAGTGGTAAGGTCCAATATTTCTTGCACTTTATTTATAATAGCTTCGATGGGGTTACTCTTAAAAGTTAAACAAACTAATATATTTAGAGACGCCACATGACTTCGCTGGCATTAAGCCCGATTATAGACACTATTACACATTGGTAAGGTTCAATATTACTTGCAAACACTTGATTTTTTAACTAACTTTTAGTCGCGGCTTCGCTTGCATTTTGTAAATTAAATGTTTATTCTGATATCTTGAAGAACATGTGTACAAAATTTCATGATGATCGGTTCAGTAGTTTTTCCGTGAAAGAGTAACAAACATTCCTACTTTAACATGTATAATATTAGTATATAGCTTCGATAGTTTTACTCTTAAAAGTTTTATCAAACCAATATATTCAGTGACGCTAGTCTATACATCTATACATATAAATAAAATTGGAGTGTCTATTTGTAATATTGAAATAACCGTTTTTACTGCATGTAGTAAATATGAACACGGTACAAACACCAATAAACCACTTTACAAATTTTGTCAGTCTGTCTGTCGGTCAATTTGTTCCGGCTAATCTCTGTCATGGCTGGACCGATTTTAACAGGACCTTTATTGGCAGGTAGCGGATGTAATAAGGAGTAACTTAGGCTACTTTTATTTTAGAAAAATAAAGTTAAATTCCACGCGGACGAAGTCGCAAGTGCAAGTGCAAGTGCTAGTTAGATAAATAAAATGTTTACACATATCTGCTATTTGTTACAGTACAGCGGTTTGGATGAAGAGGGTGTTCAGACAGCGAAAGTGCTGGGCATTACGGAGGTGAACGCGATGCGCATGATCACTGGCAAGTCCATCACGGTCAGTACACTATACTTGTATAATAACCCACTACACAACACTCACAGATTTATTGTAGGGTACATGCACCAAAATAATATTTTTTACAATTTTTCTCAGTCTGTCTAATTTCTGAAATGGCTGGACCGATTTAGATGGAACTTTTTTTGGCAGGTAGCTGATGTAATAAGGAGTAACTTAGAAATAGAAATAGAAATAGAAATAATCTTTATTCAAATAAACTCATTACAAGCACTTTTGAATAGTCATATATAGTCATATTGATTCTACCACTCATTCGGAATGCAGATTCATCACAAGAAGAATGAGCAAGAAACTTGTGTGTTGCTCTTTTTAATAGATGTTTTTTTATATAAATAATTACAGTGTAACAAGTAAGAGGCATGCGATAATCAACATAGACTACTTTTATTTTAAATTAATTCCATATTTTAGGAAAATAAAGTTAAATTCTACGCGACGTGGAACGCGACTTACATACTTCCTACGTTAAAAAAATGTTATGCATTCATAATCTGTTATTTCTATGTTATATTACCCGTCAATCTGAAACACATCTTATAAAGGAAAATGTTCAGCGCCATTAATAGGATGCGCCCACGCAGAAAATTTTGTACAGATCTCTTTTTAATTTATAATAATAATAATAATAAACTTTATTGGCCAATGAAACACTTTTACATTCAATACACATTACGGCGAACCACACACTAGACATGCAAGTCTGTATCGTGTGGTTCAGAAGATATCATTACACATAATTGATATGTTAGGTGCTCGGTCTGACTTTAATGAAACAACTTAACAATATCATTCAACACTTATGAGGTTATATTACAAAAGTATATATATAATAAATAAATATTAATAAATATAAAATATATTAATACATACAATAGATATAAACATATTAAGTACTACTGAGGCTTTATGAAATTAAAATCCGGTTTGAATAATGTTCGTATAGAATGTGCCGGAGAGAGTGTTGTGCCGGTTCTACCTCGCGCTGATGCTGCACGACCTGTGGAAGCAGGTTCCGTTCCACGTCGTTGCTGAAAAGTGAGTAACTTTTAGATTTTTTCTAATTTAGAAAATTGCCAGCTAGCAACTAAAATAATAAACTAAGAAATGAAATACACACATTATTATATGTATATATTGAAAAGTTGTAAATTTTAAATTACAAACAGACGCTTCAATTTTATTTATTTCTGTACATATAAAAGACTCTGAACTCAGTATTGTATGTATGTATGGTACACAGATAGTCCAGACCCTGAGAAAGGATATAGGCTACTTTTTAATGCGATATAAAAAGGTTGTAAAGGGTTGAAAAAGGAGATGAAAATTTGTATGACAGTATTGTCATTTTTAAAGAAGCTTGATATATATTTTTGGGCTATTTATATATATATATTTGCGCTGTTTATCAACCATCATATCAACATTCAAATACAATGTACATTGTTCATGAATAAATAAATATTAAATAATATTGATTTAATATAAAGTATTATGAGTATGATTGTTTGTATCGGTCTGGATGTTTTCTATGTATATTATGTATGTATTTACAATATGTATATATATCTAAGTATTTATTTCAGTTGTCTAGTACCCATAACACAAGAGCTGCTAAGCTTGGAACTAGATGGCGCTGTGTTAATTCAAATTTAATCTATATTCATACATATCTTATGATATGTCAAATCTACAGTCAGTTCGGGATGATTTCGAGATGAGAAGAACTGACAAGAAACTCAGCTCTATTTTTAATATATATAATTGTTCAGGATTATTATTATAAAGTACATATCAAAAACATAAATCCCATTGAATTATAGTTCCCTCTGCTTTTGTATTGATAGTAGTTTAAATACCACTAGATACGTGATCCCGCGCGGCACGGTGCAGTCTGTGGTGAGCAGTGCGACAGCGCTGTCGTCGAGCGCGGCCCGCTTCAGTGCAGCGCTGCAGCCGCTGTGGGCGTGGGCGGCGCTGTTCGCGGAGCTGTGTCCGCGGCTGCAGCACTGCGCCGCGCCGCAGCTGCAGCGGCTGTTACAGCTGCCCGCCGTCAAGAAGGTCGCTCGCTACTCTATATCCTCTCTACCTTGCTTATTCTATCTCCAATATCCCTCCCTTTCCTTTTCCTTGGGGTAAATCCCTCATGGAGACCTGTCCGTCAGAGGGCCCTCCTCGACGCGTGGGGGCACTATTCCCAATTCCCCCGCCTGCCTACCAAGGAGGAGTCGCACCGGAATACGGGATGCGACTCCCCATCTAGGCTTCTGTTGTGTGGGCGGACTTGAACCGCTGAGACTATAGGGCAGAGTCACGGCAGGAGCGGGCCTCCCACGAGATGATTGACGGCCGGGATGGGTCCGGACCCATAGTTCCTGTAGCCGCCTCTCTTGTCACACTATTTGCCATTAACCATGCCAGAAGCTAATATTTCTCAGCCACCGTTCCTGCGGGCGGATCCACAATGATGGGGGATTTAACATTGGTGGAACTCGCACCTTATCTCTAATCCACTTTTATTTGCTTGGAGAAAATCCCTCATGGTAGTGACCTGCCCGTCCCGGGGAAGTAAGGGGATACTGAGACTCCTACTCATTAACTACCGTACACAGTTGTAAAAAACATCACAAAGAATACTTATTAAAAAAACAAATTTTAGGCATTCCACAGAAATTTCTTGGCTAGCGGTTGTAATCTCACGTAATGGTTTTTTAATATTTTTTTTTTCTATGTTACTCTTATTCATATTTTCTTTTTTTCTTTTTTTCTTTTTGTTGATCCTTACCACTCAGTTAAAATTATATCAAATTATACTCTGACCTATTTACATTATTTTTATTATACAACCACCGCACAGACAATCACCAATAATATTGCTCCTGTTTATTTTATATTTATTTTAATTATTATTTTCACGTACCCTCAAATGGGTTGAAGCTGAAAATCAGTGTTTTGTTCCCTAAACAATGTTCCACGCTGAGCTTCGACCTTTTGTATTGCTACAGATCACACATAATAACACAATTCTATAAATCTTATGTTGTATTATGTATTTTATATTCTTATGAACATGTTATGTTTGTGACTAGTAACAAACAAATAAACGATATATCTATCTATCTATCTATCTATTAAAAAGTCTAAAATATCCCTCATCCAACATCGTGAGCTGGAGTCGCAGAATCGCTGTTTCAGTCCACCGGAACTCCGACAGCGGTGGCTCACTCTAGCAGCAGTGACCTCTCTGAGGGTTCTCTATGCGGAATTCACTACTTTCTCTCCTCTCTGCCTACTTATAACGGCTCCGCGCTGTCATTTCAAAATTAAATAAAAATAAAAACGCAAATAGTGCGGATTTGGAATATAACTCCACTATTTGCGTTTAGACGCACGCGCGTTTAATGATCTATTTCATATATTGAAAACCAGTGAAATTAAATCCACTTTACGAGCAAGTGTTTTTAAAATATTATTATACCATCCTGATCATCTGATGAATGGCGGTCCTCCACAGTTTGGTAGTGCGTGGCAAAATATTCTAGAAAACCGTTTCTAAAAACTTTTTGCCGAAAAACCGATACGATATTGAAACCTTCAAGAAAAGAGCTTATTCCTTTTTAAAAGGCCGACAACGTACTTGTAATTCCCCTGGTGTTGCGGGTGCTCATGGGCGGCGGTAATCACTTACCATCAGGTGAGCCGCATGCTCGTTTGTCCCCTGTGTTATATAAAAAAAAAAATTAAGATTATATATATTTGTTTGTTTGTTTACACAGGCCCGGGCACTGCAGTTAATGCGAGCGGGCTATAAATCAATAGAGGATCTGGCGAAAGCATCAGAGGATGACCTCGTCTCTTCCATCTCTCACCTCTCCAGGACAGCTGCTAACCATCTCATCAGTGCTGCCAGAGTAAGATTAATTTACGACTTTACGACTTACGTCTACATATTTTACTTCCGATGGTCGCGGGTTCGATTCCTCGCGCCATAATAAACATTTGTATTTATGAGTACGATTGTTTGTATACAGAAGGAGTCTCAATATCTTAATCTTAATTCTTAATCATTATTATCATTACATGGTATAAAACAAAGTCGCTGTCGCTGTCTGTCCGTTCCTATGTATGCTTAAATCTTTAAAACTACGCAACGGATTTTGAAGCGGTTTTTTTTAATAGATAGAGTGATTCAAGAGGAAGATTTATATATATAATACATGTACACCCGTGCGAAGCCGGGGCGAGTAGCTAGTAATATTATAAATGTGAAAGTAGGTATGTTTGTTACGCTTACACTCAAAAACTAAAAACCGATCATCATAAAACTTTGTAAACATGTTCTTGGAGGCATTAGATTGAACATAGGATACTTTTTATTTAAAAAATAATCGAATATTTTCTATTCAATGAGCGAAGTCGCGGGTAAAACCTAGTAATGTAATAAAACGCGAAAGTTTGTAAGTATGGATGTTTGTTACTCTTTGACGCAAAAACTACTGAACAGATTTTGATGTAACTTTACAATAATATAGCTTATACATCAGAATAACATATAGGCTATAAATTACACGCATGTGAAACTGCATTCGCACTCTAGTGTGCGAAATGTCATATTTTTCCGTCCGCGCAATTTGCCTAAGGGATACAAAGTTTTTGCTTCACGTATTAATGTGGTAACTTTCAGATGATGTTAATAGAAAAAGTGGAGAATCTCCGCGCCGAAGCTGAAGAAGTTATGGAGGAGCTCAAATTGTAAAATTTCGATGATTATATCATGAAAATATTCATCTGAAATATTAACCAGTTTAAAGCCAATTTTAAGACTGATAGTTATTATGTAGTAGATTAGTATAGTTAATGACGGCCGCAGTGGTCTGGTTGTTTAGGACACCGCCTTACTTCTATGGTCGCGGGTTCGACTAGGACACTGCATTATTTCCAATGTTTGCAGGTTACATTCCTTGCACAACTAAATATTTGTATTCAAAAGTGTGAGTTTTTGTATCGGTCTAGGTGTTTTCTTTTGTATATTATGTATATATTCAAGTATATAAACAATCATACTCATGGATGCAAATGTTTGTGCCGTGCGAGGAATCGAACCCGCGACCATCGGTAGTAAGGCGGTGTGCTAAACCGCTAGACCACCGAGGCCGGTGGAGGATGGGGATATGACAGATTGTATGGAAGTATTGTCATTATTAAAGCTAGAAACATGTAATAAATAAGTTAATGAACAGCCTTAGTGTCAAAATCTATTACAGACTATTATGATTTAAATCTACCAATATTTCGTAGTGATTTCGAGGTGAGAAGAACTGACAAGAAACTCAGCTCTTATTCTTTTCAAATGAAGTATGTGATTATAACTATATTTATAAAAAAACGTGATATTTTTTATAAGTAATTGAATTGTATAGAGAATTAAGTAAGCCTTATAAATAAAATATCTTGACTAAAATTATAAATGCGTAAGTAACTTTGTCTGTCTGTCTCGCTTTCACGCTAAAACTACGGAACCAATTTAAATGAAATTTGTTACACAGATAGTCTATACCCTGAGAAAGGACATAGGCTATTTTTTAATGCGAACAAGGGTTGAAAGGAGACATGAAAGGGTATATGGAAGTATTGCCATTTTGAAAATCTAATTCTAGAAGCTTGTAATAAATAAATAAGAAAAGTTGATCACCTATATGTAGGCAGTATCAAAATATCTTTATTCATGTAGGTCTGTTACAGACTCTTATGAGATATGTCAAATCTACCGGCAGTTCTAAGTGATTTCGAGCTGACAAGAAACTCGGCTCTTATTCTTTTCAAATAAAGTATGTAAACATATCTTTATAAAAAAACATGTGATATTTTTTATAAGTAATTGAATTGTATAGAGAATTAAGTAAGTATAAATAAGATATATGTTTATATACAATGTTTCTTTGTGTATCTTCTGAGGCCTGACTTGTATGGTATTGTTTCATTACCTAAACTTAGTATGTATAGGTTCTTAATTATAATACGATTTCTAACTAATTCTCATTTGCAACAGATCTATTATATAATCTTATATATACAATTCTCGTGATACAATGTTAGTTACCATACTCCTCTGAAACGGCTTGACCGATTTTTATGAAATTTTATATGCATATTAAGTAGGTCTGAGAATCGGCTACTATCTATTTTTCATACTCCTAAGTGATAAATGTTGTCCACCCCTAACATTATTTTTTAATTTTTTGCTAATTTTTTTATAATAATGCATTAAAAATACATTCAACCCTATTTTTTCCCCTTCTACTACTTATTTTTAATAGCGGCTTTAATTTATATGGCAAAACAGGGTTTGCGGGGTCAACTAGTCAACTTGACGACCTCGGTGGTCTAGCGGTCTAGCACACCGCTTTACGTCCGATGGTCGCGGGTTCGATTCCTCGCACGGCACAAACATTTGTATTCATGAGTATGATTGTTTGTATCGGTCTGAGTGTTTTCTATGTATAATATGTATGTATTTACGAAAAAAAAATTATCTATGTATTTGTATCAGTTGTCTAGGACCCATAATACAAGCTTTAGCTAGCTTAACTTGGGTCTAGATGGCGCTGTGTGAATTGTCCTGAGATTATTATTATTATTATTATTATTATTAACTAGTCATCTATAATACTCTACAATTTTGAACTGTACAAGCAATACTTAGCTTGCATCTAGAAATCAAATTGTTTATAGAATACATCAAGTCTTAATTTTAATGTTACAATAGAATTGTTAGTAACAGTGTTAAATAGTTAATGTCATAGTTTCTGTATCGAAACAATATTGTAACACATGTCAAGTGTGAAATACAACCTATGAAATGTTAATAAAATGAAATTGGTTATTGAACTTTTTATTTAATTCACAGAGTGCTCTGTGCAAGCACGCTGTTCCACAACTGTCAGTATTCAGATTTATTTATTAGACATGTAAAACAGGTTTCATTTAGATTCGTTATAAAATTATAAGTTAATAATAAAATATTGAATGGATGTAAGCATAATACATCGATTTTTTAAGGGATGTAAAAGGAATGGTACATTCGCCTGCGCATGTGGGGCACACTAGTGCCCTACCTGGACCATTAGTCTTGACCTCATACTCATCCTCCACTAAGAGGATGAGTATGAGGTCAAGTCAGTGCCATTGTGGAAAGTTCACCAAGTATTTAACATGATGGTTTCCAGGGGGAACCGCGTTGTAAATGTACCATATTAGGTTGACTTTCCAACCTAATATTGTACATTGATAGCAATTATATTTTTTATAATTAAGTTCATATTACTAAAAATCAATCCCAATCGATTTTCTTCAAATCAATGTTTTTACAATTTCTATAATAGAAATTATCAAAACCTTGATTTTGAATCTGTTTCAATTAAGAATTGTTAGTAACAGTGTTAAATAGGTAATCTCATATGGTTTCTGTATCGAAACAATACTGTAATACAAAGTCTAAATCCCAAAAAAATATGAAATGAAATAAATTGAAATTGTTTTTTTAACTGTTTATTTCATTCACCTTCGTTTATACAAGCATGGTTTTAATGACATAGTGGGTAGTTTGGATTTCTTCACCGGCGGCTCCCGGATCTTGGTGAACTCCATGAAGAAGAACACCTTATGGCTGTTGTCCAGTTTCTTCAGTTGGAAGCCTAGTCTTTGTACTTCTGACGTGAAATCCTCCACGTTGTCGAAACGGCTCTCCACCTCTGCTATTAGTAGGTGACCACTGGAGAGAAGAAATTTTATTTAAATTGTTAGCATTTTCCATATCTTAGGACAACTCACACAGTGTTATCTAGTCCCAATCTAAGCAGAGTTTGTGTTGTGTCGTGTGTGGTACTGGACAACTAGTATAAATACTTAAATTTTTAAACATCCAAACCGATACAATTATACTCAGGAATAAAACTCTTTGTAACCTGCGGGGAATCGAACCTGTGACCGTCTGAAGTAAGGCGGTGTATTAAATCGCTAGACCGACGAGGCCGGAAATATGTTTTATAAATAGTAACAATGTAACAACAAATTGAAGAAAGGTCTCCAATTAATTTCAATGTGAATTGACTGATTGTAGGTTTGTCCTAGCTAATCACTGAAACAGCTGGATGGATTTTGACGGGAATTTCACACGCAGATAGCTAATGTTATAAGGAGTAATTTAGGCCACTATCATTATTATAGAAATATATATGTATTATAATTTTAAAAAAAGTTTAATTTCACGCAGACATACCTAATAGTGGGTAACAGAAAAAAATATTGCTGCAAAAAGAGTTAATGTATCAACACTAAACTCACCCCATCTTCAAGACTCGGTTGGCTTCCAGCAGGTAGCGTGTTAGATCTGTACCCATCAGTGCTAGACAGTACACTGCCACGTCTGTGGAGCCGGTGAGAAGCGGAGTATGCGCCATGTCGCATACTTCGACAGCTGGCGCGGCCGCCACCAGGTCGAACGAGCGTACGCTGTGCGGGACTCTTCTGGACAACGCAGCCTCACCACATCCCATATCCGCTATCGTGTAAATCTTCGGCCTGGAGACATTAGCTGCCTTTATTACGTATATATATATAACTCAAAGGTGACTGACATAGTGATCTATCAACGCACAGCCCAAACCACTGGACGGATCGGGATGAAATTTGGCATGCAGGTAGATGTTATGACGTAGGCATCCGCTAAGAAAGGATTTTGATTAATTCTACCCCCAAGGGGATAAAATAGGGGATGAAAATTTGTATGAAACTGATAATATTAAACCGATCGGATCTGAGACTGCATGCATAAATCTACTATGACGTAGGCATCCCCTAAGAAAGGATTTTTGATAAATTCCACCACTAAGGGGATAAATTAACGCGAGCGAAGCCGCGGGCAAAAGCTAGTTACGTATAAAGGCTTTAACGCGCGTCTTTAACCCTTCGAACGTTGTGTCCGCAAAACCGTGACTTCTTTTTAACCAATTTCATCCTTATTTAAAACAAAATATTGAAACGCATTTCAAAAAATACAGCTGGCGCGCGCATACCGCCTCTTCATTTTCGATCGCTGCGATAAACGACGGACATTCGAAAGGTTAATGCGCGAATCGGCATCACTGTTTTTTTTTTATTCGTGTAGGTCTATTACAGTCTTATGATATGTCAAATCTACATTCAGTTCGGAAATATTTCGAGATGAGAACTGACAAGAAACTCAGCTAACATTTGGGAGAATAGAGTCATCACCAGCATATGCTATTGCCAAAGCAAATAGTCATTAGTTTTCATAAACATAACAGACCAGGCTCCTAATATAAATAAAAAATACATATTTAGTCAAAAGATATAAAATTAAACAGCACAAGAAAAAGTGACAGTACATTATATTCATCCAAAGGATAGAACGCAAGTAAAGAAGACACTCCATATGGCTGAAGGCAAACTCCTGGCTAACATCTTTAGTTTTAGGACACCACTAGGGGTTCTAATGTCGGCTTAAACATTCGTAATTGCGATCCCCATTTGATGTGGATGGGGATTTATATTAAGTTAAACATTTTCAAATACTCACATTTGAGAAATTCTCTTGACAATTATGTCAAGTGGATTGACTGGCCATTTTTTGACCTGTAGCTGATAACCCTGGTGGTAAGTCTGGAATGCTTCAGGGTCACTTTGGAACAGCTGCTTTGCTTCTGTGCCTGATGATGTGTACAGCTTCTCATTCAGGTATCGGAACTGTGCCGCTGAAAATATTTAACCTATTGCAATTATTAGAAATTAATAAATGTTGTAAACTTACAATATAAGCAAATCCTTATATATTTACTGGTTGAACCAGCAAACGTTTTGCCATATAAATTAGAATCGCTATTAAAAAATAGGGGTCGGTGAAAGAAGGGTGAAAAGTTAGGGTTGTATTTTTTAAATACACTTAAAAAAAGAAAAAAAATTGTCCTAAAAAATTTTTGGATTGGACAAGTCTTATCACTTATCAATATGAAAAATATATATTAGCCGATTCTGAGACTTACTGAATATGCATATGGGTATGGTAAGGAACATTGTGATATGAGAATTTTATATATAAGGTCATTATAAACTTTATTATAATTTACAAATAATCAGCTGTTATTTTTTTTACTGTTTTTAATCATAATTAGTTATTACAAATAAGTTACTGTAAATAAAGTTAAAGTTAACTTCAGGTAATACAGACTTTTTAAAATAAAATTATGAAAAAGAAAAAGAAATTACCCATGATTAATCTGAAACTATAGAACTGATTTATTTTGTTCTTTAATTATGCCAAAAATATCAATTACTTTTGTAATGTAAATTAGGTAAAATTGTAAATTATTTGGTTAGGTAAAATCTGTAATGCTCATTGCTTAAAAATGTATATTTTACCTTTCAATTTCTCAAGCATCCTTTGCCTCAGATTATTGCCTTTTTTAGTAACATCAATATCGTTTCTATTATTATTCATGGCAAGTATTTTCTTCAATTTTTCTTTTTTAGCATTCCTTTTAATTCCATTAAAAGTTTTATTATTACCCAAAAAGTTGTTAGAAATATTTGAATTATCATCATCATTATCAGATTTTACTTTAGTTGTACTTTCAGTTTTATATTCAGAATTATTATCAGAATTACTTTTATTTCTTTTCTTGCGGTTTTTAGATTTCTTATGTTCTAAATTGTTTTCATTTAGTTTAGTCACAGTGTCTTTAATTATTGATTCGAATTTTGTATTAGTCTTAGGTTTCATAAATTTGGATTTACTTTTGTTGTCAAATTTTTCATTAAATTTCTTTTTAGTTGTCTCAATTTCTGTACCATTTTCAGACTCATTCAACTTCATAACATTCTTAGTTTTTGCAACATTATCAGTATCTTCTAGGTTCTGTTTGTTTTTATTTTTTTTCTTCTTTTTCTTAGATACAGGAGCCTGTAAATCCTCTTGATTCGTAACTGGTTCATGGAGTTTCCGTTTTCCTAAATTTACCAATACTTCATCCGGTTTGTTGCTTCCATTTAATTTGTTGTTAGCTTGTGAATGATTTTTATTTATATTTACATTTTTTTTATTACTACTTTGATTCTGTGTGTTTTTTACAGTAAATAGATTTGTATTTTTATCTTTCTTTGTAAATACATTGCTATTATGTTGTATAACAGATTTCTGTATATTGTTCTCATTTTCAGAATCTTTTTTATTCTTTTTCTTCTGTAATAAAAAAATATTTTAATACCTATAAAATTTGGTAACTTTACATTTGTTTAAACTATACATAACATGAAAAGTGGAATTATGGACATTTTACATCATAGAATATAATACAAATCTGTAAAATAAGTACAAATTGTCAACACAACCGCATAAACAATATATTTATACCATTACAAATAACAAATGTAATATTTACAATCTTTATAACCTCTAAGATATTCTTATGAATCAGTCACTTTTGCTTTAAAATCTAGTAGTAATCTTCAATAATATAGGCATGTTGATATCAATTTAAAAGGAAAATGTTATAATTAACGTATATACAAAATTATACTGATATTTAAAAATTTTGGAATAAAATATGCAGTTGCTGCCGGAGAAAGTTTTCGCATACCTTTAGAGCTCTACCAAAAGCGATATTGGTCTTCGGCACGTCTTCTTCCCATTTCGGTATTTTAAACATTATTGCATAGAATTTTTACAAATTATGTGTAAATACGATTATTATTAGATAATTAATCGTTTAATTTATAAATTAACAAAACAAATCGAACATGCGTGAACTGTCAATGTACCTTCAGTCAGATCACAGACGTAAGTCATTCCGCTATCATTCTGTTTTTAGGGGAACTATTACATTATCAAAAATATGGCTAAAAACTAAGATCAAATTATAATACTAGCGGTACATTGTTTATTTACATTGTAACTCGGAATAGTACATCTATATTAATAAAAGAATGTAAGCAAGAGTGTACTTATCTCCGAAATAGACCGTTTTCCGCCAACCTAACTGACTCAAAGACAGTGTTAGTAATATTGTGCAATGGTGCGAGTGTTGAACAGACTATCTAATTATAATTTTAATATCCTCAAACAAATTTTGCAATATCAAGTTTGCTTTCATTTATTATTTAAGCGCGCTCTTGTTGGTGGAGGTGGACGATTATTCTATAGGCGAGATTGGTCGTATAATATCGATCTTATAAGATATTGTTTTTAAGTATTTATAGTACCATAAACTTTTTGTCTTTTCTTACAACTATATTTAGTTGTATATATCTTTATATAGCTTCCGCTGTATGTTTACTTAGATCTTTATAAATACGCTACGAATTTTAATGACGTTTTAGCGTTAGATAGAGTGATTCAAGACGAAGGTTTATATGTATAATATATGTACACCCGTGCGAAGCTGGGGCGAGTAGTTAGTATATAATAAATAAACATTGTTTGTATGAAAAAGACACCATTGTTACGCACAGAGTTATGCGAGTGATATTTACCACTAAATTTCGTGTAAATAGGTTGAATTGGTTTCAATGAAATTAGATTTATAATAAATCTAGTTCATAATTATTGCAAATACTTATTACCCTAGCTATTAATAATTATAGGAGATGCAGTTAATATGAATGAAATAATCCATTATTATCTATATATCTATCTATTTATATAATCGGTTATTGTCATTATTTAAATACTTATGTTCTTCATTTAAATATTTAGTATGCCAAAATAAAGAAAAAAAAATTTCTTTTTTTTCCTCTATATCTTATAGAGAAAAAAAACTATATATTAGACACGTGAAGAAAAAAAAAAGCGGATGAAGGAGTATAAAATTTCGCACACTTAGGTACAGTTTATATAGAGATGCAGTGTAGAATGCTATTTATTTTTTAATTATGCATAAAAAATACATTAAATCAATAAAAAAAAAAAACATTAAACACACATTATCATGTATTTTTTATGAATGATAATGGTTTACGCTGTCGAGCCACCAGTGGAGGATGATAAGACGAGCATAAGGTCAGATCAGTTAGCCCATTGTGACAATTCACCAGGAAATTATCATGGTAGTTTCCGCGTGGAGGTCAACCTGATTTGGTACATTAGCAATGGAGTAATTACTTCACATTACTAACAATCTCTTTCCCCCGGGCTATTCAGGTTTCGACTATTGTTTTTTGTTACTTTTCTTTACGTCAACATTATTATGAGACAGTCGACTATTTAGCGCCTATATGCGAATGGGCGGACATTTCCCATGTCATATTGATAGTTGTTTTACTAATTTTATAAACATGAAAGATGTCTGGATGATTGTACTTTATTTAAAAAAAAAGGTCATTGACCTTGTAAATATTAATGTATAAAGAAATTCTGTTAAAACTAGCTTTTGCTTTCTACTTTGCCTACTTTTTTTTAGATAGAAGATATGCTATCTTCTTCCTCATGATACAAGTTGTCTACACATTAAATTTCATTCAGATCAATGCAGCAGTTTAGGCAATATTATGTTACAGACAGACACACTTTTATATTTAAATTATTACTTTAGAATGCTATATAGTCGATAAGTAACAAGTACTGCCTTGTTTTAGTTAAAGAATGAGCTATTAACCTTATCAGGTCAGCCTCCACGTGGTTATCCCTGGAAATTCACAGTGCGAGGAATCGAACCCGCGATTATCGAAAGTACAGCAGTGTGCTAAATCGCTAGACCACCACGCCGTCATTATAAACATCAAAAGAATAGAAAGACTTTTTCGCATTGCTTTAATGTATATTTTTTAAATAATTACTGTATAATAATAATTCATGTGACCACTCAAAATATGTGGCCGAGTCGTTACAACAGAAGTCCCGTGTAAAAGTTAGTATGTGATAATTGCCGTTATAGTGTATGTATCGTATTACCACACCATACCACGCCTATCTATAACCGATAGTGGTATTGACAGTTTACATAGTACACAGTGAATATTTTATCGTTAACAGATTACAAGTAAATTCAGTTACAATAACAAAACGTTACGGAATAGTTTACCACTTGTAAACTATATTATAATTAATTACAATTTATATGTAAGTGATATTTTATTATAAATTTATAAATTTATTAATATTTTATGACAGTAAATAAATGGTTTTATTCTACGGTACGTGTTTATAAGACGTTGGTTCTCACGCTGTTTGATGGCTTTGAATTAGTTTTATAATAAATTGTTAGGATGACAATTCTATATATCTTATTAATATTATAAAAGCGAAAGTTTGTGAGTATGGATGGATAGATGTTTGTTACTCTTTCACGCATTTTCATGAACTGTTACAGTAATATAGTTTATACATCAGAATTATACATAGGCTCAAAATTGGTGAAACCGCGGGTACAGCTCGTTATTTCATAAATTTCTTACAGCAGTCAGTAATATCGGATTTTAAGAAATTGTTTGTCATTTGGATTTGTAGCAGAAAGCATAATTTAACAGGTTTCAAATTGGTGGTGCATGATAGTAAACAAGCGGTAAAATATGGTCTGTATATATACATTATCACAACATGACGTTATCATTTGACTCCTGAGATAACACAAATGCTATTAAAGAGCACTAATATATCATACTTCTTATCATGTAATTTCACTGCCAAATCTGACCCTTCAACCGTAAAAGCAGCTTAGAAAGTAAACTATTTGGCGGCGAAATAGGTTTGAGGTAGTTATTTTTAAACTTTAGTGTTTAATATACATTATTTATATTATTAAACGGGTCTTAACAAGAAGAATTTTATGGCAGATAAAGGTATTTACCTCTAACTGTAACATCCCAATTTCAACAGAGAGGATCGCTTAAAATTATCTTCTGAGTGACCACGGCTAGTGAAACCTAGTCGAAATACCTTTATTTGCCATAAAATTACTCGAGTTTTTTTTATTAATTTTATTTGTTTCACTGACATTATTTCTTATTAACATATTGACTTCAGCTGCGATTTGATACAGCAGAACTTTTCGTAGGGCTAGTTATGTTTCACTAGGCGTTTATTATATATTTATATAAATGACACACATATAGATCCTTACATTATTTATATATAATATAGTTTATATTTATATATACATAGATATGTTATTTTAAGATCCGGTTAATAATTTAAATAAGGTCTGTGTGAGTACACAGATGATTTTAGTCTACCTATGGAATGTATCTTGACAGGCCAGCCCAACCGAGCTTCAAACTGTGTCATTTATAGACCCTTGCATATACCTGAAGTATACCCCGGTAGATACCATCCGCAGAGCGCATGTCCAAGTTCTAAGCATGCGTACTACGCCCCCATGAGTCCTATGTTATTGTTACTTAAATTGTGTGTAAATACATAAATAACGTTTATTAAAGCTTAATATTACTATTAAAATATTAATTTATTAAATAATTAAGCATAAACGGGATGTAGACTTTTTAGGATACAAAATTGTACAGAAAAATAACCTAAAGAATGAATATTTGATGTGATTTTTTTATTATTAAATCTGCAACAATTTGGGTACATGGAAAATCTTTATTAAGGTCGAATACAGTTATATTTGTATTATTGTGATTGCAACGTATATTTATGTGACGTATAGATATACATATATACTGAAGAACTATATATCGTAAGTAATTGCTGACAATACCTTTATATCTTCTTTCTATTTGCTTTCTGCATGATGGTCAATTTTTATTTATTTATAATGTATTGTGGGTAAAACCAAAGTGAAATATATAATCTAGAGTTATTTTTAAACATGTAACATATTATTAAAATAGTTAATTGAGTCTTGACTCGAATAATTTTATTGGTATTTTCCTTTTTGACCTTTCCTCTATGTTGCCTAGTGCAACCTTGGTCATCAAAATTATTCACTAAATTGGATAATCTAGTGACAGTAGTTGAAAAAATGTACTGACACCTACCAGTACCGACATTGCTATATTCCAGTCAGCTCGGATATCCAATTTAAAGAAATTTAAAACGCTAATACCAAATCTATTATAATCAAACTTCCTTTACTCAAAATTGAATTTAAATTGTTTGTAAAGTAGATATAATTTCTAAGCGTTATTGTTTATTTAATCACAGATAAGATAATCTTTTCTTAATCTTACTAATATTATAAACGCAAAAGTTCCTGAGTATGGATGTTTGTTACTCTTTCACTCAAAAACTACTGAACGGATTTTGTTGAAACTTGGATATAAATTTTAGGCGAGTTAAACCGCGGGCTTAGCTAGTATTGCATAGTTTAATAAAACGCTATAATTAAACAATATTATTTTGCTCATTATTTATAATAAGGCATGATTAGTGATATTATCAATTGTGTTTTTAACGATATACTGAAATATATGTACTTACTCAAGCTTACACCATTTTTTTTTTCGGACTACTCTAATGCTGTTGGCCGTAGCTGGCCTTTACAGCTTCACCGGACGTTATGGGGCGAGTGCAGATGGCACTCCAAACCCGCGGAAGGACTTATGGAGCGGCTGAAGGCCAACTCCTGCCTGACGGATACGACTTTAGTCTGAGGGCACCACTAGGGGTTCGAACCTCGGCTCAGGCCGTCGTAATTTCGATCCCCGTTTGAATTGGACGGGGGATCGATCGGAGGGGCAGCTTACACCATGCGTGATTGTAGTTGCGTAATAATAATAATAATCTCAGGACAATTCACACAGTGCCATCCAGACCCAAGTTAAGGTAGCTAAAGCTTGTGTTATGGATACTAAATAACTGGTACAAATATATATATATTCGTGAATACCCATAACACAAGCTTTAGCTAGCTTAACTTGGGTCCAGATGGCGCTGTGTGAATTGTCCTAAGATTATTACGATTATTACTATTATTACTATTTTTCAATTATCTTACTGATACTATAAACTTGAAAGTTTGTAAGTATGAATGTTTGTTACTTTTTATGTTCAATTCCTTGCACAGTGCAAACATTTGTATTCGTATGATTGTTTGTATCGGTCTGGGTGTTTTCTATGTATAATATGTATTTATTCACAAAAAAATGTATCCATATATTTATATCAGTTGTCTAGTACCCATAACACAAGCTTTGCTTAGCTTGGGACTAGATGGCGCTATGTGAAATATAAAAAAAATCCTCTTTTTTTAAGATGGGATAATAAATCTATTATTCATTCTAATGGACTACTCGTGTGTTCTATTGTTACATACATTCCCATCATCATTACGCCTTTATATTTGGAGTCGCCGTATTGCTATAACAATATAATAATTGGAATGTGTTCGTGTAGGTAGGTACATCGTTGATTCATTTATGAGAATATATTTTTAATATCATACGTATTCAATATTAGAGAAACTTATTCATGATCAAGGAGACACGGCTATTGTACAGGTTCAGATATAGTAGTGTAAGTATAGTATTAAAAAAGTCCATAAAGCCGTAGTTAGTCGTAAAAGAATCCGAAAATATTACCTTATTTTAATAATATAGTATCTACCATAAACGGTGGTACCATAAACCTCGGTGGTCTAGCGGTTTAGCACACCGCTTTACGTCCGATGGTCGCGGATTCGATTCCTCGCACGGCACAAACATTTGTATTCATGAGTATGATTGTTTGTATCGGTCTAGGTGTTTTCTATGTATAATATATATATATTTACGAAAAAATATTATCTATGTACTTGTATCAGTTATCTAGTACCCGTAACACAAGCTTTAGCTAGCTTAACTTGGGACTAGATGGCGCTGTGTGAATTGTCCAAAAAAAAAAAAAAACAAACCACGAAACTTTGTGAGTATGGATGTTTGCTACTCTTTCACGCAAAAACCACTGAACGGATTTTAATAAAACTTTACATTAATATAGTTTATGCAGCATAATAACATATAGAACATAAATTTCAGAATATTTTTTTCGGGTGTAAGCGCAGGCACGGCTCGTTTGTCTTACAAATTGAAATTATAGTTATTTTTCGTGAATGATTTTTAAAATAATGTATATGTACCGTATTTATATTCATATGCATGTAGTAAAAACTGTTATTTCAATATTACAAACATACACTACAATTTTATTTATATGTATAGATTATTCTCGAGTGGTGGTTATAGATTTTGGTAGATTATAATAATATAAGTGGCACGTATGATAGGTGTAATGACGTTAAAAGAAGAGATAACTTTGGAGAGCATGTGATAACGTGATATTGTTTTTAAATTTATTGTCAAGTACTTTCTATACGTCATCTGAATCAGACGCAAACAAATTCGAGTAATAGCAACTTAAATTAAATATTATTTTATTAACAGTTTGCAATAAATATGAATGTATTATAAATTCATATATAATTGTAGTATTATTGAGTTATATACTCAACTAGCTTTTGCTTGGCTTCGCTTGCGTTGTTTGTGGAATTTATCAAAATCCTTTCTTAGGGGATACCTACGTCATAGAAGCTTTATCAGCTCAGCCCGATCGCTTTAAAATTGACAAATTTTCATACAAACTTTCATCCCCTTGGGGGTAGAATTAATCAAAATCCTTTCTTAGCGGATGTCTACGTCATAACATCTACCTGCATGCCAAATTTTAGTCCGATCCGTCCAGTGATTTGTGCTGTGCGTTGATAGATCACTACGTCAGTCACCTTTGAGTTATATATATGTAGATAATGCTATAATTACTATATATACGTTTTAAATACGCACGAAAAACAATTTAATTGTATGTAGCGTGATATGGATAAGTACTTTTTAAGAAGATATTAAATTCTCTCACGGTGAAAGAAACATATGCTGATGATTCTTTTTTTATTGTCCACAGATTGAAGTGACTTACGAAGAACGAGACGAGAATGAATTTCGAGCGACTTAGATGATGTTCGGCTGAAAAAATTCGATGGAATATTTGTTGCCAACACGACCCATGGCCAAGTTACGAAGGGAGAAAATTGTAAGTATTAAATAGAAGAGTAATAGAGTAGAGCGGAGTGGAGTGGAGTAGAATCGAATAGAATTTGCCACAACCGACGTGCCGAGGTTTTCTCACGAGACTACAGCATGGGGTTTTTCAGGGTATATGAAGGTTTCTTAAGGATCGATAACTCGCACGTTACACCTCTGGTGTGTGAGTCGTCCATAGGCTACGTTAACCATTTATCAGATGGGCCGTATGCTTGTTTGCCACCATCGTAGTGTAAAAAAAAACTACACTTACAGCAAACATATAAAGACATTAATAGTAAATGTATATATCACAATGAAGAACAGTTACAAAAACTATAAGACATAGGTTATTTACTATTGTGCAGCACAACCATCACGTCGTTGTGAAATGGCGTATGTGTAAGGGATCCATCTCAGCATTATGTTGTTACTATAGCAACAACACTGATTTTCTGCGAACCCCGAAAAATGACGTAATAGTACTTATATGTATAAGTATAAATAGGTCATCATCATCATCATCATCGCAGCCTGGAAGACGTCCACTGCTGGACATAGGCCTCCCCCAAAGATCTCCACGACGATCGGTCCTGCGCTGCTCGCATCCAATGCCTTCCCGCGATCTTGACCAGATCGTCGGTCCACCTTGCTGGAGGCCTTCCCACGCTGCGTCTTCCGGTCCGTGGTCGCCACTCGAGGACTTTACTGCCCCAACGGCCATCTGTCCTACGAGCTATGTGCCCTGCCCATTGCCACTTCAAAGTCGCAATTCTTCGGGCTATGTCGGTCACTCTGGTTCTTCTGCGGATCTCCTCATTTCTGATTCGATCACGCAGAGAAACTCCGAGCATAGCCCTCTCCATTGCCCTCTGAGTGACTCTGAGCTTGTTGATGGGGCCCATAGTTAGCGACCACGTCTCTGTTCCGTAAGTCATCACTGGCAACACACATTGGTCGTAAACCTTCGTCTTGAGACACTGCGGAAATTTGGACGAAAAGATATATCGGAGCTTCCCGAACGCTGCCCATCCGAGTTGGATTCGACGATTGACCTCTTTCTCGAAATTGGATCTACCTAGCTGGATAGTTTGCCCTAAGTATACGTAGTGATCGACAATTTCGAGTGTAGAATCTCCGATTTTTACGGGAGCAGGTACGACATGGACGTTTGACATAATTTTCGTCTTGTCCATGTTCATTTTAAGACCTACTCCTTGTGAGACTCTACTGAGGTCTTCGAGCATTTTGCTAAGGTCTTCCAGGGTCTCAGCCATGACCACGATATCGTCGGCAAATCGAAGGTGATTGATGTACTCGCCGTTAATGTTGATGCCCAGCCCGCTCCAGTCCAGAAGCTTGAAGACATCTTCCAACGCAGCGGTAAACAGCTTTGGCGATATGACATCGCCTTGTCTGACACCTCGCTGCAGTTGGATAGGCTTCGAATTCTGGTCGTGGAGGCGAACTGACATAGTGGCGTTTTCATACAAACATTTCAACGCTTCGATATATCGATAGTCAATTTGGCACCGCTGGAGAGACTGTAGCACAGCCCACGTCTCGATCGAATCAAAGGCTTTTTCATAGTCCACAAACGCCAAGCAAAGTGGCAGGTTGTATTCTTCGGTCTTCTGAATTACCTGCCGCAGCGTATGAATGTGGTCTATGGTACTGAAGCCTTTTCGGAACCCGGCTTGTTCGGGAGGCTGGAAGTCGTCAAACCTGCGCGCTAGACGATTCGTGATGACTCTCGAAAACAACTTATAAACATGGCTCAGCAGTGTTACGGGTCTGAAATTCTTCAGAAGCGATTTGTCTCCCTTCTTGAAGAACAGAACCACCACACCCCTTTGCCATGCTTGAGGCGTTTTGCCCTCGAGGATGACGGAGTTGAATAGCTTCTGGAGGATTCGTAGAACAGGTCTACCTCCAGCCCTCAGAAGCTCAGCAGTAACTCCATCATCGCCCGGCGCCTTGTTGTTTTTAAGTTGTTTAAGAGCCATACCAATCTCGTACAGGCTGACGTCCGGGATATCTTCGGTATAGTGTCGGGTTAATTTGGTATAAATAGGTATCTACAAAATATTTCGTTTAATGGTTCATTAAAACATTAAAATACAACTTAATGACTTTTATATTCACAATAGTGATGTGTAATTTGTTATTTTGAACTTTATCATAAGTTAATAAGTCTTTATCACAGGCATTGCAGGTTTATGAGTATTCGATATTAAATTAATCTGTAAAATAAATGTCATTCCAAAGATCTACATACATATATACATGTAATAAAATTATATATAATTTTAGAAGATGTATAAGACAAGTTATTATCAAAGGACTTTGTCAAAGAAATAGAAACCAAAACAATAAAATTTTGAATTTTTTTCTGTGTCTTGAAAGAATTGAACAAAATAAAATCTCATTCCTGACTTTAAGGATGCTGTGCTATTTGATAACTGTTCCAAATAATTTGTCAACAGTGGCGCTGGCGGTGCCAATGGAGTGTGGTCACCATCACAGCTATAGCTCTCGTGATATACAATGCAGCGGCCAACGTGTGGTTACTGCGCCCGCAGCCGTGCCCCGTGGTTAGCACACCGCCCTTACCAACCGAAACGTTGACTTGCGAGCCATGCATTGATACAGCCCCCAATGCTGCTCTAGACGACGACCCTATATCCAGACTAGATCTTAGACTCGGCAGGTGGGATGGATCAAGGTCTTTCCGAATGTTTGACTACGCAACCGTTGGAGATATGTACGCAGAAATATCAGGCAATCGGCGAGTATGTTTAGCTACACAGAGCTCTATAGAAAGGCTACATGAATTGTTGCGAATAGCAGCTCACTGGTCCGGGCCTATATCTGTTGCTGTATTTGTTGCTGGAGATGAGTTGAGGCTCTTGAGGGCATTTGCTACTTGGTTGTTCCGTTGTCAACCAGAAATATACTCCCGATTGGCGCTCCATGCCGCCACTCCAGCTGAAAGACCAGGGACGCATGGAAATATGCCTAATTGGGCGAAGAATTGTGAAGCGATGCCATTACCACCGGGCGAAAGACGAGCCGATACAGTCGCTTGGAGGGCAAGACATCCATACCCACAAAATCATTTGCGGAATCTAGCAAGAAGGAACTGCCAAACACCTTATGTTTTCCTAGTTGATGTGGACATCGTGCCTTCAAAGGGTATGGCAGAATCATTGGACAAGTTCCTGGCGAAGGCTCCCAAGTGCCCGTTGTGTGCTTACGTGGTGCCCACTTATGAACTAGATAGAAGAGTAGCAAATTTTCCAACAAACAAGTCAGAATTATTGAGATTATCAAGGAAGAAGTTAGCCATACCTTTCCATCGGAAAGTGTTTATTTACAACCAATATGCTTCGAATTTTTCAAGGTGAGTGTACGAAAATATATTTCAATTGTAATACAAGAATTCCGACATTGAACATAAACTGTGTGACGTAGGTTTTAACGAGCACATAAAAATGTAATCTACATTATTACATTGGAATCGGTTCCATATGTCACAGCTGGTGATTATATTTATTTTATAACTAGATACTGCTGTGTAAATTGCCCTGGAGTTATTATTGTAATTTAAGTACATAAGTTGCACGAGTAAGTAAATCCTTTAGAATTATAAATACGAATATAACATTACATATACTGTGATGGTCACTAAACTATGAATCTATTTAATAATTCTCTTATAGAAGTCCGGATAGTACATAGTCATGTTGAAATGTCCGCAAAGAAGCGTACGTAGCAATAAATTAATATCGAGACTGTAATGGTATAAATAGGGTATTTAGGGCCAGCAAAAATGCTTGGATAGAGCGAATTAGTGTATTAACGTTTTAAAAAAAAGTTATAATAGAGTTTTCGTTATATATTATGTCAAAGTTATTACTAATTTAGATCTTCTTCATGTAACTCAAATGCCGTATTTTAATACTAGAATAGTTACTAAACTAAAGATAATTGTAACTGCTACTACCAAATGCACTATGGAAATTTCCTAAACTTCCAGATGGGAGGCGAGTGGAGGCAACGAGAGTTTGGACACACATGTCAGCCACAACGTGACCAACTTCGAGTTGCTGTATGAACCATTCTACGTGGCCCCTGACACAGTTCCTGCCCATGACGAACGCTTCCTGGGCTACGGGTTCACTAGGAACACTCAGGTCAGTGAGAGTTTGCTTATTTCTTTATTGAGGGTTTTGGCTATTGTCAGATGTTTTGACCTGTAGCACTGCGACCTGATAGATCTATTGTTCTTGCCCTTCTTCAAAGTTAGCTACCTAGATCCGTCAGGAACAAGAATTGAAGGATATTCTTAGGAGCGATGGTTTTGTCTTCTCAGGATAGAGTGTATACTTTCCAAAGAATATATTTTGTTTACGCATGAGTGTACCACTGTAGTTCCTCTTCAGCTTAGCAGAATCTGATATTCGATTAAGCAAATAGAAGAGTTTGCTGTACCGAATATCTTTTTATTTCTTAAACTTGAATACACAAATAAATGTGCAGATAGCGGACTTGAGTGAAATTGCTCCTGGAGGCAAATATTATATTTGCTTATGTTGGATCAATTATCCTAATATATTGATGATCTGCAGAGGGACTGGTTTTAAATGAGGAATTACGGACTTTGAAAATCGGTAGTGTCAATTTAATAACCGAGGTTTTTTTTAAATTGGATGTGGTTTGAGATGTACTGGATTTTTATTATACAATTTATCTAAACATTTATTGAACTGGACTGATTCTCCTGACTTCATTTGAATCTATAATTAGATGTAAGTTCTAAAATTGGATCTCCAATCAACGACGCATTATAAATTAAAGTACCTATTGACCGTAAAAAAGAATCATCTGATACTACAATTGCAATGTAACAATTATCCGAAGCGATTGAAATATTTAGAGGTGCAATGATTTATAACGGTGTGGCTAGTTGCCAACAGTAGTGACCTCATTTGCAGGATACGTGTGTTTACTGATCGTTCACTGTTGGTGTGTCCCAGTATCATTTCTCTTTGTCTATACCAGGATTGTTGATTATCCATTAATAATAATATCTCAGGACAATTTACACAGCGCAATCTAGACCCAAGGCCGAGCTTGTGTTATGAGTACTAGAGAAATGAGATGAATATACATTTGTATTCATGAGTATGATTGTTTGTATCAGTCTGGGTGTTTTCTATGTATATTATGTACATATGTATTTACAAACAAAACTGCATTTAAGTATTTCTATTATTTATCTAGTAACCATAATACGAGTCTGATCTCCTTGAGACTATGTGGCGCTGTGTGATTTCTTAAAAAAAAACTACTACATACTACATATATGCTATTTAGTTGTGTGTGCCCTACATTGTTGTGTATTAAATAATTTGCTTGCAATTTAATCATATTACTTAAAGATCCAAGAATACAAGGCGATGTATGGAGCAAAGTTCTTCATAAGAATAAGAATTAAGACTAATTGTGAGTTAACTATATCTTTACGAAATAAATACATGTTTTCGATTTATTTTTGTGGGTGACTGAGGTTAGTGGCATTATTTCTATGCGTGTTTAATGAATGTTCTCTCATCGTGGAAAAGTGGAGTGTGAAAAATATAGAATCCGGTCGAGGCCGGACGAGCATGAATTTGTGAAATGCCGGTAAAAATAAACCTGCCGTAAATAAACCGTTCTTGTCCGCAGCTGTTAGCTAACTTCTTAACAATAACAATTATATTATCGAGAATAGACACCAGACGCTATTGTAATGAATAAATATAATAAGAATAACAACACTGAACAATTGTCCCAAGTTAAGCAATGCTTGTGTTATGGGTACTAGACATTGTGTACTGAATTCGACGGTAGGGAAAAAGTTATAATACAAAAAATTTTACGTTCATAAGCGGCTAAAATCTCCTACATGGATAAATGATTACAGAGTTTTAATTTGATAACATATATAAATACTTAAATATATTTTACTGATTATATTAATTATTTTGTGTTGTAAATACATATATAACTATATTCTTGACAATTTAATGAAATGAAACGTATTTATTTGCATGAAATATGGTTTAAATATTAATAGAATGTCAGTATTAATAAGATTGTCTTAACTAAGTATTTTCAATAAATCAATTATAATTAATTATTATCAAATGTATAATTTTTTCATTGTTTGTTTATGAATTTATTCAATAAATCAATAAAAAAAATTACACAGGAAACACCCAGACCAATACAATCATAGTCACGGATACATCGAATATTGAATTGTACAAGGAAACGAACCTGTGACCGTTTGAAGTAAAGATAGACAGATAGAACGTTATTAAGTAAAGCTGTCTTCTAAACCGCTAGCTAGACCTACGAGGTCGTCAAACGAATCAATGATGATGATGATCCCGCTCCTGAATGTTATTTCAGCTCTGCCTGTATTATCAAACTTATAGACTTCCTTGATACATTTTTCAAAATCGACTCAATACTATCAGAATTACCATGACATCTTACCTCACTATCTTTATACTCTGTAATATTAGGATTATATAAAAATAGATCGTGTTATGATTCAAATACGCATTGTGAAATATTGACATGCCAAATTTTATGTTCTACTCTTTGTTATCTGTTGACAATGTCTTTGATTATCTCATCTGGAATTGTTATATTTTCAACTAGCCACATCTATTATACACATAAAGCTTCCTCTTGAATCACTCTGTCTAAATACTGCAATAGAATCAGTTGCGTAGTGTAATCAGTTTTGTAGCCGTCATATTTAAGTTTAAAAGAGCTTCTGCTTATATCAAAGGCATAAAAGCCGAAGCTCTTTTAGACACAGGCAGTTCTATAAGTTTCATTAATGAAAAATTCAGTAAACTATGCAATCTCAAGAGTAAATCAAGTCATCAAAACATTTCCATGGCTTCGTTGAGTCACACTGCCCCTGTCGCTGGTGAAACGTAGTTAAAAGATCTAAGCGTACAGATAGCGGAAGCGACTTAATTTTATACTATGTAAAGATTAACAGATAGAAAGGAAATGGCGCTAGTTATTATATTTATTGCAACTATTAAAATTATCGTGACCGACATAGCCCGAAGAATTGCGACTTTGAAGTGGCAATGGGCAGGGCACATAGCTCGTAGGACAGATGGCCGTTGGGGCAGTAAAGTCCTCGAGTGGCGACCACGGACCGGAAGACGCAGCGTGGGAAGGCCTCCAGCAAGGTGGACCGACGATCTGGTCAAGATCGCTGGAAAGCATTGGATGCGAGCAGCGCAGGACCGATCGTCGTGGAGATCTTTGGGGGAGGCCTATGTCCAGCAGTGGACGTCTTCCGGGCTGCGATGATGATGATGATGATGATCGAACAGTTGGATCGTTTCCCAATACGTTAGCTACGGATATGACGTCAAAGGAATGCTTGACGTCACACTTACCGGCTTTATGTAAATAAATATTCTTTTAAAGTTTATTATTATTTAGACGAGTCATTATGTTTATTTTCTCGTGGTACTTTTAAGAGAGACGTAGTGTGGTAAATAAAACACCACTTGTTTAAAAGAGCCGCAGGCAATATAATACCAGAATATTTGTATGATAAAATTACGTGGATGAAAGATGTGCATAGTCGGAACAATAGAAGCAAACATACAGACAAAATCGCATTGCCTGCGCATAAAACTGTATTTTTTAGAGGAGGTTTCAGATTCTCTGCAGCAAAGTTCTGGAAGGATCTCCCCCCACCACTTCGTCTTAAAATGTCCCAATTTAGTTTCAAATGTAAATTGAAAAGAGCTTTACTGGAAAAACAAATTCTAAGTAATTGAGAAGCTGAATATTAACATAACATACGTGTATCATAGTCTCATGGGTGCCTATGGGCTTGTACTCGTATATACTATTACATACTGTGATTATGAGCGGCGACACGGATTGGCTTTTCTTTTTATCTTGTAATTTCTTTTTTTTTAATTTTTTCCTTTTGATACTGTTTTTGTAACTGATTTCGGTTTTTGTGAGCATTGAATATTGTAATTCATTCTATATATATTTATATTTGTGTATCCTAGATCTTATTTAATATATTTTTTTTTGTGTTTAAATTATATGTATCTGTATGTAGTAAAAAACCCGCTTCTTAGTTTTTTTTTTATGAGTAAAGGGGGCTGCCTGAAAACCAGCGCTGTATAGGTGCACCTCACTAAGGTTGTGCTTATATCAGCAACAGCTGAGGCAGCTCCTATTGCCAACTTCCATGTTATTATTTATTTCTTGTTTTGTGTCTTATTGTAAATTGTATTATTTGTGTTATGTTGGCAATAAATCAATTATCTATCTATCTATCTATCAATATGCTTACTCATACAACTTGGCTGAAACTGAATTTTACATTAACAAATATTAAATTTATTTGATTTATTCTATTTTAATTACTAGGGGTATAAAGGTCAATAATAGTAATATCTTAAAACACTTCACACAGCGCCATCTGGTCCCAAGATAAGAAGAGCTTGTGTTATACCTAAACACTAAGTTACTTAACACAGTTTAGTTTAGTGTACCTAAACACTAAACTAAACTGATACATATTTGATCGAGATAAACTCTCATTTACTCTTAAAACCTAAAATAGAGTACCACCCAGTTCTCGGACTCAGATCGCCCGTAAATTATATTTACTTTCATTTTTATTATTTCTATACTAAGGAGAGTTTGTGTTATGGGTGCTAGACAACTGATATATATTCAAATCGAGATAAACTTTTTTACCCTTAAAACCTCACCCCCGTCCACTTCTCGACCTAAATTATTTTTTCTTTAATTATTGTTGACTTGACAACCTCGGTGGTCTAGCGGTCTAGCAACCGCTTTACGTCCGACGGTCGCGGGTTTGATTCCTCGCACGGCACAAACATTTGTATTCATGAGTATGATTGTTTGTATCGGTCTGGTTGATTTCTATGTATATTATGTATGTATTTACGAAAAAAAAAATATCTATGTATTTGTATCAGTTATCTAGTACCCATAACACGGGCTTTATTTTGATTATTATTTTTTTCTCACTTTTTTTATAATTGGTATCATTTACTATTATTTTTTTGGGTTTCATAAACTTATCGCTGATTTATAAACGCAAATAAAGTTTTATATA